TAACGTAAACTTTTAAGTATTAAAACGCGATTTTGACTGTATTGTTTATAATGATGTAGAAATATTTATTCCGAAATTATTAGTATGATGATAATGTTGTGACACATTTTACATTGGGAAATAATAATGGAATTAATATTTCCCAGAAATGATTTAATAATTGAGCCGGACTAGTATTGAAGACGTAATGATTAGTGACTAATTAGGGAAAAAGACATTATCCAAAATACGTGCCTACCACCACTACTCTCGTGATTATGATTAATTAATAATTAATGACGTGATTAGTTAAGGTGCAAATGACAACAACGGCGATAACAAACTTACCGGAGAAAGACGACTGGTTAAATCTGTCCGCCAGGTTCCCAGGGATGGGACCGGCCAAATCGTTACCGGAGACGTTAAACGCCGTCAACGGCTGTTGAAGGTCGGGGATACTCCCACTAAACTGGTTCCCTTCCAGGCCCAACTCGCTAAGCTTGTTGAGCCCAACAAGCGACCCAGGAAGCGGGCCCACGAACCGGTTGCTCCCGAGGTAAAGATCCTTGAGCGAGGCCATCCCTTTGAACGCATCGGCCGGGATCTCGCCGGAGAATTTGTTCCCGGAGAGGTACAGGTTCTTAAGGGAAAGCTTGCTAAACGGCGGTATGGGCCCGTCGAAGTTATTCCCCATGGCGCTGAACGTTCTCAGCTTGGGGAGCTGGGAGAGTGAGTCCACGTCGATGATGCCCACCAGGCCCATGCTGTCGAGGATCAGCTTCTCGACGGACCCGGCCGTGCAGCGGAGCCCGGCCCAATCGGAGGAGTCGCGGTTGCACGGCGGGGAAACGGTGGCGTTCCACGTTTGTAAGGCGGCGGGGTTGGAGAGGGATTTCTTGAAGGTTAAGAGGACTTCTGCCTCGTCGGCGAGTGCAAATGGGAAGAAACATGTTGAGGATGTGGTGAGGATGATTAGGGTTGTGATTAGTGAGGGTAATGATGATGGTGATCGAGGTGGTTTAGTAGTGATCATGGCGGTGATGATGATTAAGGGGGAGGGGTTTTTTGGTTTATGGTGAGGTGGGATGGAGGAGATGGTGGTGAAACATGAAAATTGGGGGAGGAAAGGGAGAAGACAAGGAAAGGAATTGGGAGTTGTGGTTGCGGAGGACTAGAGGGAAACTCTTTTGTGTAAGGTTTTGTTGGGGGGAGAAATGCTACTAGCTAGCTTTCCTTGGACAAATCGTTTTAAATGAAAGCCCTCATGGATCGCAATGTGAAATTATGAGAGAGAGAGAGGGGATTAATAAAACCTTTATTATAATAATTAAAAAAATATATCACTTTTTTTATGAGGAAATTCTTCGACAAGCACCACTTGTGTTAATGATATTCGTTCAAATAGATCGATCATGAGGAGCTGGGAGATGGGTTATTGTGAGGCTGGGATGAGGGTCTAACCAAACTGCAATAAGGGCTAAGCCACTTCTCTCACCTTAGCTGCTACCAGAGGTACTCGGCGACACAACCCGAGCTAACATGAACCCCACAGATGGTTGGGATAGTGGCACCCGAGGATCGAACTTGAGATCTAAAGATGGCTCAGAAAGATGGTAAATCGTTTGGCTACCGTCCTCCTGTTCACTAAATATATCAATTTTTTTCGTATAATGTTTTTTTTTTTGTTAATATACATGTCTACACTAATCTAATTAAGGAGCAAGTTAAAACGACATGTCTGATCAAAAGTTTCTTCAATTTTCTTGTACGTTGCGCTGCTTGTAACGTGCTAGATCGATGATCCATTGGCGACAAACGTCATTTTTTTGATGTACTGAAGCATAAATGAGAATGAATACCGCGACAACCCACTAACGATATTTTCCTGTAAAAACCAATATATTTGTCGGTCAGTATAAGTATTGACTTTTTTGACCATACGGGAATTAAATTGTACATGCACGTTTCATGATCAAATACATCAAAGTGACATAGCGTCAATCTCAATTCTGAAATACATAAGTACTTAGACAAATGACAACATACTTCTCAAGAGATATCCTTTTTACACTTTGTTGTGACGATTATGTTTACAAGATACACATAATGACATTAAAAAAATAATTGGCAAGCCATTGACATAGTCTATTTTGCAAAGACATAATACATGTAACCAAATATGCCCCCAATAAGACGGCACCAGCTGTTTCTTTGAAGCCTTTGGACAGGTGACAGATAGCTAGGTCGGCATTTGGAGAGAAGCTTAGCTAGCAATCGTGTTCATTAATTGATAATGGCTATGCGAAGCCTTTGTTCCCATTCGATTGATCCTCCTTGCCTTTGGGTTTGTTGGCACATTGTTCAGTTGAGGAATAATACTTCTTTAATAGAGAACCACGAATTGTTGATTTTGCTCATCTTCTGTAGGCATGTGGAGGATCCTCTAGATAGTCTTCATTTATTCTTGAGATTCATTTTGGATTCTCAATCACAGAACTTAGACGTGACGATGTGCTTTTACCAACATTGTCACATACGTTTGAAGACGGCTGAGATTTCATCGGGAAAGTTCAGATTGTGATCGAGGATAAGTTTGGCGGGTGGGTTGTCGGAAGTAGTAGATCGTTTTAAAAAAATGAAATAGAAGCGAGTAGTGAATTTTGAAATTATTATTGTTCGAGTGATCAGTTATCTCGAACGCGTGTGATTTATGGGTGGTAGATCGTGAGAGTATACCTTATTTCCTATAATCTCTTACTGGAAGTGGCAGTATATATCTCGTCTGGATTGGAATTTGTGAAGACAATTGAGCATGCATGTCAACGTAACTTGCACTTTTCGGTCGATCTAATCCTAACAGAGGTCGACCGAATACACTAATGTGGGCACCCTGATGACTTATCACGGTCGACCTTTAAAATGTAGTGGTCGACCGCTTTTAGTTTAAGTTGTCATTGTCAGTCGAACACAATAAAACACCGGTCGCCCTTTTCATTGGAGTCAGAAGCAAAATGGTCGACCTTAAAGGTATATAGGTCGACCACTTGATGGCGGTCATTAACAAAAGGGTCGACCATTTACAAAAAGACGCTGACCAGATAGAAGCGAAGTGCTGTATCCATTTATCCATCACCATTTGACGTAAAATGAAGACCAAGAGTGTTGGTTTCGAGGTCGACCTAATATGGTACGAGGTCGACCGAATATAGGAAAATCAACCTATGACCTGCGTCTTTTTTGCTTATGTATGTCGATGTGGGCGGTTCTTTTGCTCGTACAAATTACGTTTCAAACCAACAGAATCAGTTATAAATAATGATAGTAATGACTCATAACATCATAGCATAACAACTAAACAAACTAACAAGAAATACAATAAAACACACATCATAATTGTTCACGCATAACTAAAATCTAAAACCACATAAAAGGTCAACCGCGTCGTTGAACCTCACAAAACTGAAACAACATACTAGGTCGACCTAATCCTATATGAGGTCGACCAAAAAGTGCAAGTTACGGTGACATATCACCGTAGCAAAGTCCATAAAGTTGTCCAAATTTAGAATACAACTTTCATAATGGTGCTATTTGAAAATCATCCCCGCCTATATTTCTAAATTCCAATATGCACCACTAACAAAGACCTCCCAACCCAAGCAACCTTATTTTGAACAAATCAACTTGTGGGTGGATTTGAGGCAACAATCCACTGCCAAAATCCATCAGACAAACATATGTAACTTGTATTTTTAGTTTTTCTTTTAAAAGTGCTTAACCTATCTTCATTTGCAATATTGTTAATGATCTTCTTGTTCACTCCCAACCAACCGTATGTCTGATTAAGAGCTAGCAAAATAACGCCTAGAGTGATTCATGTTGTTCTTTCCGCCGTCTTCTTGAGGGTTTCATCGACCTAACAACAAGGTTCCTCCATATGTGAGTGTTTTTTGCAATTGCTCTGAAATCAGCCGCCATTAACTGACCTGGCATGAAATTGACTGGCTCAGAAAGTACCAAAAATGCTTTCGGGATTCCGGCTGCAACAGCATAACAACTGAGCAATCGCAAATGGCAACGAATCGATTGCTCAGCCTTTTTCTCTCCACCGCGATCGTAAAGCCTTTTCACTTGGCCACATTCTTCGCCAAATGGGTACAACAACTGCTCGACCCTTTAATTCCAGAATTTTATATAATCGAAAGGGACAGAGAAAAGCTGTAGGCATCCCAGCCGTCCCGGTGGTTCAGGCGCTGAAACCCTGGCTGCAGGCTTGATTCATTAATAAGGTACACACAATGTCCTTGGATGCTTCATAAAAAGAAAACAGGGGAGAAAACTGATAGCCGATCGATTAAAAAATGAGTATGCATTTTAGAAGCACTTTGCCTCTGTGTTGTGCCTGACATTATTGTACGTCGTAGAGTTTAATTTACAAACAGAGTAAGAAAATTTGAAGACCCGACTACATCATAAGGTATGGACCAAACTGCAAATCGTATAGTGATGGTATAGTTTGGTCCATGATCTCGGCGACGAAGGGACAGTGGAATGAGGCGAATCTTGAGAACCATCTTGGATTGCGATTGAAAATGTTAATTAATGTTTTTTCACCAAACTAAAGCTAGTTTTTTTTTTCCCCAGTAATTTTTACCCCTCGGAAAATGTGAAGAGAAGGCAACATTACAAAAGAAAGAACTCCCACAACCCTGACTCACTGCAGCCTCCCGAACAATAGCCTACAATAACAAGGCTGCAAACGAGTAACTGTCGATGAACGGCGACCGAGTAACCTCCAATCCATAGTACACCCTCCCAGACTGCGGTTCGAGTAACCAACCTAAAGACTAAAGAAGTAACTAGCACCAGTGAACGGAGATCGAAACCAAGCTGTCAGCACGGACCGCAAAGAAACTATGGACCAAAGGGACAAAAAAGATGCGAGACCATGACATCAATCTAACATGCTCGTTCCTTAAAAAAAAAACATGCTCGTTTGAGCCACGAACGACGAGACCAGACCAGACGAGAATCAAACATCATAGCGGACTAGAGTCTAGAGTAACAAAACAAATGTTCATGTAGACCTCGGAAGGGGGAAGCCACAAGGCTGGTTATGCAAGAAAGTTTATTGGGCTGGGTCACCACTGGCCTGCTTGGTACTGGACCTATGACTCTAAGCCTTGTTAATGCACTAATCTCTATCGAAGCCCATCAAGCACTTTGTTTCGTCCCCGTTGGAAAACGATTGTGAGTTGTGTGACCCCCCGGAAAACATATGATTCCTCTTCTTTTTTTTAGTTTTAGTCACGGGCCACTTGCCCATTTCGCAACCAACATTTCCCACCAAAAAGACACAGCTAGTTAGTCAAACCTTCGAAGATAACCAATCTCCATACACGCCCAAACAATCTCACTCCCATAAACGCTTCAAGTCAAATCATGAGCAGCCAAACCATCCACTCGTCCGACTGCCACGTCACATTTCACGATCAAACACCCCTCCCTTCCTCCTCCTCGGACTCCGACCACCACGACCACCGTCCTCTTCTACTCCGACCTTCCTACGCGAGATCGAAATCCCTCCTCTTCGACGAGCTTCGCAACTTTCGTATAAGCCTCAAATGGTGCGCCCTCGACCACTCCACGCCCCTCGGCCGATCCATCTCCTACCTCACCTTCTTCTCCCTCGCCGTCCTCGTCCCCATCCTCACCTCCCTCTCTTACCATGACGACGACGAGGACCACGAATCCACCGACGACCTCCCGTTATCATTCAACAAACTCGTGCAAATACCTGAATCCGGACTAGCCCTCATCTCCTTCCTCACCCTGACCTCCTTCTTCCGCCGCTACGGCCTCCGCCACCTCCTCTTCCTCGACGGGCTCCACGCCGACTCCCCTCACGTCCGCCGCGGCTACTCCCTCGAGCTCCACCGCGCGTTCCGCTACCTCGCCGCCATACTCCTCCCTTCCTTCTTCCTCCAGCTCGCCCACAAGATCGTCTTCTTCTCCACCGTCCGCCTCACCATCCCGCTCCCGGCCTCTGCTTGTCTCCCCGTGGATTCGATCATGTTCCTTCTCGTCATGGGGTCGTGGGTTTACAGGACGGGTGTGTTCCTGCTGGTATGTGTTCTGTTCAGGCTGACATGCGAGCTTCAGATCATGAGGTTCCAGGGGCTGCACCAGCTGTTCCAAGGGTTCGAATACTCGGACGGCTCGTGTGACGCGATATACGGGGAGCACGTCAGGATCAAGAAGCAGCTCAGATTCACCAGCCATAGGTATCGCTCCTTCATTATTGCCTGCTTGGTTACCATCACGGTTAGCCAGTTGGGTGCTCTGCTTCTCATTCTAGCGTCCCGCTCTCACAAAAGCTTCCTCAACTCCGGCGATCTCGTCGTAAGTGGAACAATACCTGTTTCGAGAATAATTAAACGGACAGAATAGTATGTTATGTTACTCACTTTGGTGATGTTTGTTGTAGATATGCTCGGCGGTGCAGCTGAGCGGGTTGTTCTTGTGCCTGATGGGAGCGGCGAGGATCACGCACAGAGCTCAGGGGATTGTGTCGTTGGCGACGCGGTGGAACATGATCGTGACGAGCACTGGTGCTGCAGCTAGAAGCAGCGGCGCCGGGAAAGGGACGAAGAACCATGCCTCCAAGGAGAACAGCGGCAGCGACGGTGACTCTGACGATACTTCATCGTCGTCGACGTCGGAAGTTCTGATCTCGGTTTCTGTTGATGGGGATCATAACGGATCTTCTTCCTTCCAAACCAGGCAAGCTCTGGTGGCCTATCTGCAGCACAACAATGGAGGGATAACACTGTTCGGGTTCCCGCTGGATCGAGGATTGCTGCATACCCTCTTTGCCTTTGAGTTCTCTTTGGTGCTTTGGATACTTAGTAAAGTTGTCGTTCTATAATTGATCATGAGAAAGATACCAAATCTTTTATCTGTGGCTGTAGCAACTGAAAATATAAACCAAAGCTACACTATTTTACACATCCATCTTATTCCGGAAACCGAAAACGACGTCCATAGCAAAGCTACATAAACTGCACAATGGAACGAACATAGACAGCAAGCAGCAACTCTACAATACAGCATGAAGAACTAGACACTTTAACAGTACTACCGTTAGCTGTATTTTTGGACGAGATAAGGATACTGTTCGAGTATACTCAGAATCTTACCTAGGGATGCTATAAGCTGGTCCGCTTGACGCCTTACAAACTCCGTCTTGGCCGCCTCCACAGCAGCATCATCGCCGAATCCAGGCTCCGGAGGAGGAGTAGGGTATTTGGTTTCGGCTATAGCGATCATTAACTTGGCATGCTCGTAAACTTGCTCCACCATCTTCTCTTCTTCCACCAGCGCTTTCGGTTTCCTTCCTCTCTTGTGAGGCCTTTGTTCCCCCAGCGCCGATTTACTCTTCTCATCGCCGTTCTTCTCCCCTTCCACCTCCACCTCCCCAGATGGAATGCTTTCGCTGCCGTAGCTATCATCACCATTCTGTTCCTCAACGCACATTTCCTGCTGACCGCCTCCTACTTCTCCATTTTTTACATTGACTCTCTGGACCCCTTCTTCTTCAACAAGGCTCTCGCGTGGAGCTTCCACTTGTAGTACTGCTGCCTCGTTCGTCTCCTTTTCATGGATGCCTAGTTCTTCTTGAGCCGGGATCTCATGATGAGCCTCCTCTTCTACTATTGGTGCATGGATCGTCTCTTTTTCCTGGATGTCTTCTTCTTCTTCAACAGGGTTTTCATTGTGAGCTTCCTCTTCTTCTACCGCTGCCTCGTTCTTCTCTTCAACATGAGCTTCTTCCATATTATTCTCTTCCTCAACTTTGACTGCCGCCCCCTCATTTTTCTCCTCGATCCAACAACGCACCTGTTTCTCTTCTGTGGACAACTGCGGCTGATGCATTTCTTCCACAGGAATTTCTTCACCAGGACCCTCCTCTTCTTCTGGATAATCTAGCCCGGGCATTTCTTCTGCGTCACCCTCTTCTGGGTAGTATAGCTGAGGGTTTTCTTCTGCGTAAGTTCCCTGAGATAGCCCTTCTGCAGCACCTTGCAACGGCTCTCCTTCAACTTCCAAAACAGATATATAACGTTTTTTCCTCTTGGACCCTGAGATATACCATAACACTGTCAGTAAGAGAGGCAGATATCACAACTTCACAAGACAACAATCAGCACATAACTATCGTTATTAGTAAGAGAGCAAAACATGATTATTGTCGAGTAGCAACAATGCGCCCCAACTCCCAAAGTAAGCTTGAAGTCCATAGTGAAAAATGGCAGGCGAGAAGAGAGAACAAAGCCATGTTTTAAGTGATTTTGTGATGTCAGATAGATAAGTTATCAGTCTAACATCGTGGATTTTCGGCCACGATGAGAGCTGTTTGCAGAAACCTCCCATAACCCGGAAAGTTACCTTAGTCTTAGACATTGAAATTTATAACCAAAATGGGAATGGAGCTACTAGTGTTACATCAACAACAATTTGTTGACATGCCATACTCAACATTACAACCTACCTAAAATGATCATTCTCGACCCTAACTCGGGCCGATCAACGCCACGAATGGACAGCCATTAACACAACTCGAGATACGATTCAAATCGGTACAACCATGGAGCATGCAAAACCAAGAATCAGCACAATTTGACCACCAAAAGCAGTATACTATACTTAGAACAGCAATCAAAGCTTCAAGCAAAAGTGTAAACCCAATGCATTACCTAGCCTGGCAATCACCTCAAGCAACTCGGCGTCAGCATCAGGATCCGTTTCCGGATCGGAATCCATCTCGTCGGCCTGCGACCTAACGTACTCGTCAATCGCCTTGAACAGCTCATCATCGAAATTCTCAGGCAATCCAAATTGCTTCCTCCTCTCCCTATCCAGTGACCAGTACGGATCGCTCCCCTGCCTCGCCTTGCAACCCCACTGCTTGATCAGATTGTAATCCGTCAGCAGCGAGTTCCACTTGCCCCTGCACTGGAACAGATTCCGCCGCACATCCATCGCGTTGCAGTGCTCCACCACGATCTTCCATTTCTGGTACGACGACAGTGCTTTCAGCCAGTCCCCTTCAATTGCGGCGATCTCGTTCACCAGAACCAGCGCCTCCTTCGTCGTCCACTCGGGAGCCGCCTGCGACCGCGTGCGCCTGGTACTCGGACCCTCCGGCTCCTCGGCGGCTTCCTTCGGCGGCGGCGGCATCTGCGTTTCCCGCTTTCTACTCCTCCGTTTTGGCTCCGGCGAGCTCTCCCTCTCGCTAATTGCTTCCGCCTCTTCCATTACCGTTAATCTCCTATGCTTCTGAACAGTAATAGAAAGACTTAATCGTAAATTCCACTGATCTCGAGAAGAAATGCGGAGGGAAAATCGGAACAGAAAAGAAATTAGGTAGGGGAAAAGCTGTGTAGAGAGATAAAAGAGTTGACCGGGGAATCGACTATTCCGCAGAGTTCAGTTTAGAGAGTGGCGCCATCGCCGGCAGGAGCTTCGGGGAAGGAGTGGTCGTTGTTTCGTTTGTTGGCTAACTTCATCCGGCGAGAATTGCCAATGTACTCAGTGACTCTACAGTCTACACTGTTGCTGATGTGGCCTGGAAAGGCTTGTCTCGTGTGGTTGGAGTGTGGGGGAGCAGCGAAACAAAAAACAATTGTCTCCTCCGGTAATTGTGGTCGGCAAAGCTTTGCATGACTTGGACACGTGGATTCGTTTTTCAATTCTTAATTGGGATGGGCCTGGACTAACGGATGAGACTGCGGGCCAACTATTTTTGGGCCTGGCTCGTCTTTACTATGATGAGCTGATAAACTTTTAAGGGTTAATACCTTAGTTTGGCCTGAACTATACACATACTTTCTACTTTGGCCAGTGGTATTGAAAATTGCTATTCTGGCCTGAACTATGTAGCAAACTTCCTCATTTGGCCAGGAGGCGGGTTTGACCGTCAAATTAGACGGTCAAACCTGTTGACCGTTAGTCAATGTCCACCTCACCTGCCACGTCATCTTTGAGGACATAAAAAATTATTATTATTTCTGAATTTTATTTTCTTTCGATTAATAAAAATAATAAATCAAAAAAATTAATTAAAAGAACGAAAAAGGGCCTATTTTTAGCAAATGGCAAGAAAACAAAATTCAGAAAAAAAAATATTTTTTATGTCCTCAAACTGACGTGGCAGGTGAGGTGGACATTGACTAACGGTCAACAAGTTTGACCGTCTAATTTAACGGTCAAACCCGCCTCCAGGCCAAATGAGGAAGTTTGCTACATAGTTCAGGACTTCAGGCTAGAATAGAAATTTCCAATACCACGGGTCAAAGTAGAAAGTATGTGTATAGTTCGGGCCAAACTAAGGTATTAACCAAGGACCAGGATACCCTACCGGACCGGCCGGTCGAACCGGAAAAACCGGAAACCGGAGGTAAACCGGCGCAATAGGCCTTTGTACCCTTTAATAACCTGCCGGGCGGTATTTGCGGTTGGACCGCATTGGGCCGAAATTTCGGCCGGTTTAAAACCAACCCGGCGGTCCCTTCCTTTAACATAAACGGCGCCGTTTGATGAAAAAAAAAAAAAAACGGGAAGGGAAGCAGAGACTCACAAAACCCTACCTGCCTCTCGTCTGTCTCTCCCAACACTCAGAGCCGCGTCGCGCCGCTCTGGTCTCCACTCTCCCCGCGTCGCGCCGCTCTGGTCTCCACTCTCCCCGCGTCGCCAGCATCCCCATCAACCCCAGCAACCGGCGATCAACACCACCGGCGATCAGAGATCGTGGCCGCCACTTTCCCGCGACCCCGCCATCACTTCCTTCTTCTTAATCCAAGTTGAAGGTGTGGATCTCTCTCTCTGTTCTTCTTCCCTGCACGCAGAAACAAAATCCATTTTAAATCACAGAAAACTGAAATTTGTTTGGAAACAGCGGTTTGTAACAAATTTGGGAAGCTTGTATTCTGTTTTTTTTTTCAATTACTGTTCTTATCCCTAGTCTGTGTGGACCTCGTAATTCCCATACCTAGTTGCAGGTGTAATTTATGGTTTTCTACGGCTGAATTCTTTTTTATGGGTTGTTAATGTCAAGATCATAAGTGCAAACATGGTGAATTGATTTGGTATTGATTGTTAGCCTAGCTAGTAAAAGAAGGAACAAATTTCTACCTGTGATGGGGGCTGACTGATTGTTGTTTTTTTTATTATTGTTTACTAACATTATGTTTATTGTTTTTATTGTGACAGCAATGGCTAGCGGGGAAGAAACCCCGGCAGTTGAGCAAGGAGCAGCTTCTAGTACACCACGAGTGTCAACAAAGAATGTACGGGCCAAAACTGATCCGACTTGGAATCATTGTACCTTTCATCTTGAGGGAAAGGTTGAGGTACGCACTTGCATATATTGTGAGAAAGTATTCAGAGGTGGAGGAATCACTAGAATGAAAAGACATCTAGCTGGATTTAGTGGGGATAATACTGTATGTACAAAGGTTCCTCCTGAGGTGAGGCAAAACTTGAGCAAACTTTTGACTGATTATGAAGCTAATAAGAAGAAATCTGAACTTATCAAAGCTGGATTTAAAGAACCTCGTGAGACTAGTTCTTCTAGTGCACATGATGATGGTAATAGTTCTAAAAGAGTTGCTACTTCCACAAATGTGTCTACTGGATCAGTTGACACTTTCTTTGCTCCACGATCAACTTCTGGTAGCCAACCAGGAATAAAAAGTGCCTTAGCAACTAAAGAAGCTGTATTGTATGTAGATCGAGCATGGGCGAGATGGTTCTATGATGCATGTGTTCCTTTAGAAGCAATTAAATCTCCACAGTTTAAAATTGCATTGGATGCTTCTTTAACCCTTGGTCCTGGTTATGGTGGTCCTACATATTATGCTTTGAGGTTTACTTTATTGGATAGCATTGTGAAAGAATGTCAGATATTGATTGAGAATCTTAGATCTCATTGGAAGGAATCTGGATGCACCATTATGGCAGATGGTTGGACAGATAATAGGCATAGATCTTTGATCAACTTTCTGATTTATTCTTCTAATGGCACATGCTTTGTGAAATCCGTTGATGCTTCTGGTATGGTGAAGACTGGAAAGAACTTGTTCAAGTTGTTCAGTGGGGTCATTGATTGGGTTGGGGCAGAGAATGTTGTGCAGGTGGTGACGGATAATGCATCTAATTATAGATCTGCAGGGAAGATGATTCATGACCATTATGGTAATATATATTGGACTCCTTGTGTTGCTCATACCCTGAATTTACTTCTGCAAGACATTGGAGGGCTGCCTCATGTTAGGACCCTTGCATATAGAGCAACCAAAATCTCTAAATTTGTTTATAATCATGGCCCACTTTATTACTGGTTGAAGACAAGAGATAATTGGAAAGAAATAGTGAGGCCTGGAGCTACAAGATTTGCAACTACATTTCTGAGTTTGCAAAGTATTTTTGAGCATATGAATGACTTGGAGGCTCTAGTGATCAGTGAATTCTTTCGAGATAGTGAGTTCTCGAAAATGCAGGTTGGAAAGGATGTGAAGTCAATTGTACTGGATCAACAGTTTTGGGTGGATTGTGACTTCATAGTTAAGTTGACAATGCCAATAGTGAAGTTACTTCGCATTGTGGATTCAGATAGTAAACCAGCTATGGGGTATGTACATGATGGGATGATTAGAGTGTCAAAAGCTGTGAAGGCTGTTTGTGGAGATAAGGTGGAGCAGTACAAGCCTTACATAGACCTCATTAATAAGAGGTGGGATAAACATTTGAGCCGTGATTTGTTTGTGGCATCATACTTCCTTAATCCGGCTTTCAAGTATGCCAACGATTTTGAAGATACAAGGCCTATTAAAAATGGCATTCTTGATCTTCTTGAGAACCAATCCTTATGTCCTGATACAAATGTGGTGCTTGAGGAGCTGACTTTGTATTCTGAACGAAAAGGTAATTTTGGGAGGAAGCAAGCAATTGATTCTGCGCAAAAGCTACAACCAGGTAATTGAATTTATGTACATTAATACTAGTTCTGTTTATTAAGAATTAAGATACTAACATGTATGCTTAATATGCAGATAAGTGGTGGAAATGGTTTGGTATTGATGCTCCGCATCTGCAAAAGTTGGCTATTCGCATTCTTAGCCAAACTGCTTCTTCTTCTGGCTGTGAACGTAATTGGAGTGTATTTGAACGTGTGCACACCAAAAGAAGAAACAAATTGCAACACAAAATGCTTAGTGATTTGGTGTTTGTGAATTACAACTTGCGACTGCAGAATAGGTATGAATAAACTTGTGAATTATTACTTGTTCTAGTTTTTATATTTACTATTGAACTGAATCAATATATGCATTCCACTTTGACCAGAGAGTATTATGCCATGAAGAACAAAGAATCATATGATCCCATTTCTCTTGAAAGCATTCATTCTGATATTACTACTGAGTGGTTGATAGAAGAGAATGAAGGGGCATCTTCTAAAGACAAGGAATTGGATATTGATGAGCTCGATCGAGCACTTGCAGAGGAAGGTGTGTGAATTAGTTATTATGATGTGAATTCTAATACGTCATAATTTATAATGTTTCTTACTTGTTTTTTTTTTGTTGTATTGTAGTTAGTGATGAAGAAGATGAAGGAGACGAGTTCCCGAATGTTGATTTTTCTACATTTGGAGTTGCTTGAAGATATGGATTTGATTTCAAACAAAAGATCCAATTAGTAGTTTCTACTTTCTAGTTTGAGACATTGAACTTGTGGTTTGTGAACATTAAAGTTTAAACTTGTGGTTTGTGGAACATTAAGCTTGTGGTTTGTGAACATTAAGCTTGTGGCTTTTGTACTAGTTTCTAAAAATGTATTTGGATGATTATGAGGTTTATTAGGTATTGAAATCTCGCACTTTGTTGAATGTTACCTAAGCTTATTTACCCTTTTACAGTTTCTCAGGCGGTATAATCCGGTTTTATTCCGGTATTTTCCCGGTATGGTACCCTAATTTTGTCGGTACGGTTTTTTAACAAAAAAATAATTTTTTTATTCCAAAAACGGTATTTGCCGGTAGGAAACGGTTGAACCATGGTTGTACCACGATTTACCATGCCAAAAACGATGCCGGTTTGATGGCCGGTACGGTTTCGTAATCCATGGTATTAACCCAACTTTTAAAAGCGAGCTCAACTTTCGGTGGGCCCACATTGTGGCAATGAGGACCACTGGACCTGCTAGTGAAAAGGATTGTACGTGACTAATTTGTCTTTTTGAATGTATCAACTAGCTATACAGATGTTATATTGTGAAATTATTTTTTGGAAACTATTTTTTGCAAAATGATTATTGTGAAATTATTTTTATTGACCCTTTATTTTGAGATTTTTTTTTAATATTTACACACCAACTATTTCAACCTCCCGCAAAGTGGAAAAGACAAGTAATTGAGGTTTTTGCTGACAGCTGGAGCGATAAGGGGCAAGGCGCAAAATGGAGGGGACAAGGAATTGAAGGCTCACCCACCACCATAATATACATATTTGCTTTGTTGCCCACTTTATTGTTGAAAATGTAGATAGAGAGGGATCTGGAAATGACAACATCATCAAAGAATCCTGATGCAACAACATCACGGGGAATATATTTTCCTGCATTATTGGATACATTTTTTTTGAAATGGAATCCCAATTTGTTGGACTAGATAGCATCGTTGGAAAAAGGTTGAAATTTTGAGCATCATTGACTTAAAAGGCTCTTCTGTATGTTCGGTCTGGTTCGGTTCGGTTCGGTTAATTGAATCATCCTGGCAGGGGAAAAACAAAATCCAAAACAATTAAACTGTCAGACACCATAAATTTGATAAACCCATTATCTGAGTACGGTTCAATATGTATAAACTGAAAAACCGATTATGATATGATTTTTATTTACCGATTTCTTACCAAATTTTTTTAGTACAAACAAAAGCCAAATTCGTTATCTTTTATCGAGTTGATTTCGACCCAAACCGAAATCGAATGGATAGCCCCTCATCATATTGCAAGTCCACAAGAAATATCCTAGTCTTTGGTCTCACACTATATATTATATATTAACTGTGAAATAAATTGAAAAAAACGTGGAGGAGATGGGTCCAATTCTGGCGTCCATTCCCAGCAGCATTACTACAACGAAAGTGACCAAACCCCACAAAAAAAAACCCAACCCAATTTTGACTTCTGGTGCAACGATATGAACCTGGCCACTTAACCCGTCTAGGTTCAACTAACCAAACTCAGACCGGCCGTACCATTTAGATTCGCACCCATTGTTTTACCTCTCTCCACCATTAATCCGTCCAGGTTCATCTTCAAAACTTCAATCAACCAACTAAAACAAATCTTGTTCAAGTTCCCACACCCTCTTAATTACCTTTCCCCCAAAAGCAAAATGCTGGCCATGACCATCCATCATCCATTCCATGCATGGATGCCTGCTCTCGTATATCGGTAACAATATAATACGTAAACGTGTATGAGTAATGAAGTACTCGTCTCGCTCTCGCGCAATTGCGTCGAAACTCGGAATCCATTGTCATTCCAGTAGCGTGATAATATTATTATTATTATTATTATCTGGAACAGGTGGCGTACTATTACGTGTGGCGCTGAATTCGGATTTTCCTTTTATTTTTTGGTTTCTCTTCTCTTGCCTTCTTTTTATATAACTGCCATTCTCCCCCTTTCTTTACACCCCGCCCCCGTCCTTCCAAGCGAGCAGAGAGCCAGAAAAGAAGCAAACTCCGAGCGAGGGAGAGATTGGAGAGAGGGGAAGCTCGCAGATTTGTCTTCGAATCTGCGATTCTCGAATTCCAATCTGCAAAACCTAAACCCCATCGTCCCTTCTTCTTCTTCTCCCTCTCTCTCTCTCTCTGCACCCCGGCCGAAACAAATTTGCTTCGATCGTCGGAGGCCGTGGTTTTTGAATTTCCCGTTCCCGAGATCCGGTTTGCTAGCTGATCTTCCGGCGAGTTCCGCGGCGGCGTTTCTTTTCTCGGTTCCTGTAAGATCTCATTCCATTTACTGATTTGATTGATTTCCCCTTCCACTGATCAATGCCGGAGCTGTTTTAGATTCGCCTTGTTTGCAGAAGTGAAATAGGGTTTCCAGATCACCGAATTCATTGCAGATTCGTTTTTTTGTTCGTTCGTATTTTTGTTTTGTTTTGAGTTTGGCGTGGTGATAAATGATTATGTACTCGTGGTGGGTCGACTGACGGAGCAGTATTTGGTTTTTCTAGATGTTCAGCTGCTCCGTTAGGGTTTCATTGTTGCTGTTGTTGATCAATCTATGAATGACTGTTGAACTTTGCATTCTTCTTCTGGTATAGAGTGTCTGAAGGAAGATGGTGTTCTGGGTCTTCGGCTATGGCTCGCTGGTGTGGAACCCGGGTTTTGAATACGATGAGAAAATCATTGGCTACATCAAGGATTACAGGCGCGTGTTTGATCTCGGTAAGCTTCTAATTAGTAATTACCCCTTTTATCTCGAAAGCTTTGATTTTTGTGGTCTCCCAGCTGGTAATACTTTTTCTTATTTATAAATTTTTTGGCCTTTTGCGTATGGCGCAGCTTGCATTGACCATAGAGGTACACCCGAGCATCCTGCGAGGACTTGCACATTAGAGGATGCTGAAGGAGCAATTTGCGTGAGTATAACATTCAGCAGTTATTTTTCTCTCTGTTTTGCGAATGGGGGATTGCAGCTCTGGTCGATGTGAAGTTCCCTGATTGTTCTTTTGTTCACCATTGGATGTTTCAGTGGGGTGCTGTTTATTGCGTTCGCGGCGGTCCAGAAAAGGAAAGATTGGCTATGGAGGTGAGTGATTCTTCGTTGCTCTTCAATCCTTGTGCCCAATTTGTTTGTGCATGGGTTGATTCTCATCTGGTTTCCCTTCTCCTGATTCTGTAACAGTACTTGGAGAGAAGAGAATGCGAATATGATAAAAAGACCCTTGTAAGCTTCTACAAGGTAAGGCACACGAAACGATTATCTCCCTCTCTATCTATCTATGTATTGTGGATACTCTTCTTCTAGTTCAATGCCTGTAGTGTTCTCAATCTAATGTGTTTGTGCTTTATCTTAATCCAGGAGGATGATCCCTCTCAACCTGCTATAACTGATGTTATAGTGTAAGTACTCAGCTCTTTTTGCCTAGTGATCCACCATTGCTGTTCTGTGTTTTGTAACATGCCCTGCCCAATCATTACTGCAAATTCGATATGGGTTGTTTCTCAAGTAAATGTTTGCTTTGTGTGCAGTTTTACTTCCACTCCAGACAAAGTATCAAACAAGTACTACCTTGGCCCTGCTCCTTTGGAGGAAATGGCTTTGCAAATCGCAACCGCGTTTGGCCCGTGTGGGAATAACAGAGACTATCTCTTTCTGCTTGAGAAGGCAATGTCCGATTTAGGTATAACATATATACACTTCTTTCTACTTCGAAACTAGTTTGGTTTTGGAACAAATCACTCAAAAGCTGGGACATGATGAATTTGTGGATACAGGTCATGAAGAGGACATGGTGATCGAGTTGGCAAATGAAGTGAGAAAGGTTCTGGGAAATGGAGCTTCCACAGACGGGAAGCCATTAAAACCATCTCGAAAGGCAACCACCACCGTGGACGGGAAGCTGCAAAAGAAGGCAGCCTCAGAGAAGAAGATGCCAAGTCTTCTATTGGCTTTCTTTTCCAACCACATCACCATTGCGGTGTTGTTTGTAGCAGTCTATAGCTTGACGATGCCTCTTTCTTGACCACCATCTGCCTAGCCGGAAACTTGGCTTAGAGAGACAGAGTTACTAACCTACTTTGAGATAATTATGTTGTAGTAACAAATGTTATGGGGTTCACCGGTGGCCGGCCTTCCGCGGTTCACACGAAATTTGATGTATTCGCCATTGACAGTATGTGACATGAATTTGTTGCACCAGAAAAGTTGGAAAGAAAATAGATTTTTTCCTTCCCATTCTTGCAATTGTTTGCTTCTGCTAAATGTAGAGTAGCCATTGATTTGTGCTTTCAATTCGATTACTGACATTATAATGAGTTCATCATATAGCTCCAACTAGCAGAGAAATTATCTGAGCAATTAAAGAGCAGTCAATGTCATTCGCTGAAAAATTACATGCATCAAACTCTAGTGTGTTTCATACCTCGGAAAAAAAAAAAATAAGAATCAAACTAACAAGAAACCAAAGGGAAAGTAGGGGGTGACTGGTGAGAGGGTCAAACTGCAACAAATGTAACCAGCAACACGAGCATTTCATTCATGTCATGATCTTCGCAGACCTGACGAAAAGACTGTCGACAACCTTGTCCATGTTGGCAATGGTCTCCAATGTATCTGGATATATAGCATCAGTCTTGGGATCATCGAATATGACGAGGCAGCCGGCGCCTTGATCCAATGTCCCGGCAAACTTCTTGTCCAGAATCATCAGCGAGAGCTTCTTCTCCACATGATCAATAGGCAGTTCGATAAGCTCCGCAATATGTGCAATCTCAACCCTGGCGAAAGGCTCAATCAGCCTGCACAAGTTCTGCTCCAACAATGTGTCATACAGGGAAGAGAGGTGCCGGTGAACAATGGGATCTTCTTCCAGCTGAACCTTGTAATCACGCAGTGCTGTCTCGAACAACTTCAACGACCGCTTGGAGTGAGCATCAGCAACAGCTTTCATGGCATCCAGCTCCGGCCCCACATACTGGAGTCCAGCCTTTGAGGAAATTATCCCGGCAACATCATCAGCTTGGCTCACCATGATCTTGCACAGCAACATGTACTTGAGACTGAAAACTGCCCTGTCGTCCTCTAGAGCATTGAAAGACTCGAACGCTTCAAAGAAGTAGCTGTAGGCTGTCTTGTAATCCTTCTCCTCAGCGTGAAGAATCCCACTCTGCAAATCGACCATGCCTTGCTGCTCCGGAGGAACATATATCGCATTTGCAGCGGTTCTTGCAGCTGTAAGAGCAGCTTTGGCCTTAGGCAGGTTCCTCAACGAAAAGTGAAGCTTGCTCTCTAGCAAGTCTATCTCCACAAGAAGCAACTTGTCATCGAACCTCCTCACCTCTTTTACCAACTCGGTGAGAAGGGCCAACGCTTCTGTGTACTCCTTGTTCTCCATCAGAAGTGCTGCGAGCCTCGACTCAACACGCTGCCTGAGGAACATCCTCTTTTCTGCCCGACACCATTCGACCATTTCCTTGCACAGGGCGATTTGCAGATTGGATGTGCCGGGTATTTTGGCAACAGTATCGAGTACTCCTCTGACGATTTTCGCGGTTTTAGCCTTGGGAATCACGGCAAAGAAAGGTCGCAGCTGAGTCAGCAGGCTGCGAAGATCCTCCGCCCTACTCTCTTGCCTTAGCAGATCAGTGAGTTTTGCAATGGCTTTTTCTTTTATCTGCAGTGCTCCTGAAGACGAGGAAGGATTCTCGAGTACACGGTAGAGGATGGAGATGGCCTCAGATGGAGCTTCAGCTTCCAAAGCCTGAGCAAGAGATTCTTCCGTCGCTGGAAGGTGAGAAGTAGACATGTCCACGGTTCCTGATTAAACTCCTGATGCACAAGAACTCAAAGACGTATCATGCCATTGCCAGGTATCTGAAATTGAAACAGAAGCTATACGAACTTGGCTAGCTACAACGAACAATCAGGAAAACATCAGAAACAAAGACGCATCCAAATCACAGACAATCCTGACATTCAAAGAGCAATCTCCGGATTATACCACACGAAGAACCCTAAACGAAGTTAATAAGTTTCTACTCATGTTTTGCGAGGCAACTTTATAAAAGGAGCTATTACAGAGTTATGAACCCTAACTTCAAAACTTTTCTTACTTGATCAAACACAAGAAGCAAAGAATCAGTGCGTCTCTTACAAAGCCTTTGATTCGCTGCGCCGTCGACGCTGCTCGTTGCTCTAGCGGCGGTCTCTCGCTGATCGGCGAAATTATAGAGCTCGCCGGTCGTCTCTGGTGGAGTACTTATTTGCCTTTGGCTTGTCCCCGAAGTTAGACTCCGCTGACCGAGATTCGATAAACAATGAACCAATAGGTTGAGGCGAGAAGGAGGAGGGGAAATTTATAGAAGTTGAAATCCGGGCTATCCTCGGATAGTATTCACTATTGAGGCCCAATGGGCTATGTTATTACGAATTGGGCCGTATGGTCTCTGTCCCGTAGAGCCCATGGTCTCTTCTTTCTCGGGTTAATTGCACTAATGGCCACAGATCTTTGGGGTTATTCCCGAAAGTGACCATACAACTTTAACTGTTAACAAATTTATCACTGAACTTTCTAAATATTCGTGGAATCAACATTCCCTCTTAGATAAAATTTCCACTAATTATAGTCCAGATCAGCTTGTCACCATATTCAATCTCTATCTTGAATAAAGTGTGACTATTCGATGGATCATCAATCAAATTCCATCCATTTCATTCAAATTTAGTTAATATCTGCGATGATCATAGTTTCGATTTAAATATTTACTTGTGCGTTGAAAGTTGTAGTTTCAAATCCTAGTTTACAATATTCTAAGTCCAAATCTTGGGGTTGAACACCACAACAATTTCTTCGCAGTATATACATGATTTCCAAGATCATGACGTCTGCCTGGAATGGTTCCGGATATTATCCACTAGTTAGATAGTTTTTGTTCTTGAGTATGTTTTTGTTGTAATGTAATATCAGTTGAGGAGCGTTTTTCTTTGTTTTTTTAGTCTTCTCTTTTTGTGTCGTTCTTGGTTTGAGTTTTTGTCCCATCTTTGGGGTTTTTCTTAGTGTTTTTTCGTTGTTGTTTTCAATTTTGTTTCTTTCCTTGCTCTTTTCAACGGTTGGTTGAATTTTTGTCTTATTTTCTTTTTGTCCGTCTCAATAAAATTTCCTCATTTATCAAAAAAAAATATATATATACAAAATTTCCAAGATCCATTGAAGGAAATAGATAGTGTATACTCGTATTTGTTGTTTGTTTGCTTCGAAGGGGGTTTCTTACTGATTTTTGACTAATTATAACTACAGTAATGTTGAGAAGTGTTTTTTTTTTATTTTGAGTTACGTCGTAAACAAAATTTGAAATTAGAAAAGACAGCCGTCTCGTGAATGACCATTTAATGAAAAAATTATTCGGAAACAGGTATCAGAGTTTATGTATTCTTACCGCGGAAGCAATCTCAATATATGCAACACAAACAAAGGCAATTAGGCAAAACTGCAAAAGGGTGTTTGGTGGACGCAACATGGGGGCCGCCTTCTTCTTTTGCAAAACAAGAAAAGGTAATGAAAAGCAGACCATGCATCGTCAGCCAAGTAAAGCTGTGAGATCAACTTCCCTAAAATAAATAAAGCTGCCATCAACTCACAACCTAACCTTTAATTTCAGGACTTGGAAAAGGGCAAAAGCAAAATGGAGAATGATTTGGAATTGGATGGCTAGGTAAGTCTAGGGTTGGGACTTGGGATTATTAAGTAAGACTATAGACTGTCTGAATAATATTATAGACTATATAGCAATAATTTGGTTTATGTTTTTATTTGTTGGATTCGTTGGTCTAGTCTGGTTCGGACTTCGGATCATAGAAAAATTACATTGGAAAGCAAGAGTGATAGACAAAAAGGGAGAATGATTCAGTCCAATAATAAGCAATGTTTAAGAGATCGCAACCTAACGTCTACTAGAACGGGGAATGCCTATTACTGACCTCAAAATGGTAAAAGATTTTAGCGATATGAAATGATTCACCCCTTGATGACACGAGTGCAGTGTAAAATGTGCATCATTTAATTTTTCGGTATATCCTCATTCCTCCAATATATTATTAGTTTGTGAATAAGTATGGTGTTTTTCAATTGATTATTATTAGTTTGTGAATATGATATTATGTTGGAATATGGGATGTGTGTGACTGTGAGTTTGGGGCCAAGATCATGTGACTAAGGGGGTCCCTTAGTCATATAACTAAGTGAATCTCCATCCTTATTTGTCCAGGGAGATGTGTTTGGCGCGCGGAGAGAGAGATATTTTCCGGCGACGTTTTTCCGGCGATCGGAGATGGATGAGAATTTTCGACGACAGTGTTAGATTTGTGATGTTTGTCAACCTGCTTTGTAATGTTTGTAAGTCCGATTTGTAATGTTTATATCATTTTTTGTTTATATTGTTTGCCATTTTTCTCTATCATGTTAGTAATGTTTATATGACTAATTAATTTGTATATATTGTAATTTTGTAATGTTTGTTTGTCTATTTTGTATACTTTGTATTTATTGGTTTGTAATTCCAGTTTATCGATTTGTATTATAAGTAGTGGTGTTTTGTATTGTTAGTATGGTTTGTACTGTTTGTCGGTTTATTTTGTAATGTTTGTAAGCTTTGTTATGTTTGTAATGTTTGTTGGTTCCTTTTGTAATGTTTGTTCACCATGTTTGTCATTTTTGTTAGTCATGTTTGTAACATTCGTATACTTCTAATTTGTATGTTTTGTATCATTAATTTGTATTGTAAGTAGTTGTATTTTGTACGTATAAAATGTTAGTATTATTTGTATACTCTTATGATGTGATCACTGATTTGTCTACTTTGTAATATTAATTTGTATACTTTTATGTTGTGGTCTGTATACTTTGTACTATTTAGTAGTGATATTTTCTGTTTTTAGTAATCTTTGTATATAATGTTATCCTGATTTGTATGATATCATGTGGTTCTAATACTTTTTAATATTGCTTTGTATACTTTTTAATTCTGTTATTTTTATTTTTAAAATAGAAAAAAGTAGAACTTGCAATCGGGTCGGGTTGGATAATTTTGGGTTGGGGACTTCAGTTACGGGTCAGGTCATGTTTGGTTGGCTGGTTTCGGGTCAAATATTGACCCAACCGATTCGGTTTCGGGTCGGGTTACAGGTCATTTCGGGTTACGAGCGTTCTCAGAAATATTATCAAACATGCTTCATATTTTCTTAAAGAATACAAATTTTCACAAATGCATGACAATAGTTTACCTAACACATGTCAATTAACATATTCTCAAATCCTCCCACGCTAATGAAATGAAATATAAATTGCGCAAATCTTCAAAAAACAATCACAAGAGTAATACTACTACAAGAAACACATGATATTTGATTATCCTTAAACTCCAAACATGTCATTCAAATCCTTGTGATTTTTTTAAACATCTCGCCAATTTATGAGTGATTTTATCATATTTTGGGAGTGATAAATGAAATGGAATGGGTCTAACGGGTCGACCCGCTAACCCACCCAACCCGACCCAAAAAATTTCAGGTTATCGGGTTCGGGTCATTCGAATTTCGGGTTACAAAAATTCTAGTTTTGGGGCGGTTTCGGGTCGGATTGTAATTTGTCAGGTCTAGAAAAAAGCTAATAAAAAAGAAGAAACCAAGAATACACACGTGAGTGGGACTGTGAGAGGTTTAAAAATCACTTATTAGTGATTAATAAAGAAAAACCCAGCTCCAATAAAAAAAGGCAGCTGAATTGTATTAAAAAAAGGAGAGTGGAGCAGCCGTGGGCTGTGACCCGTGAGCAGAAAAAAAATAAAACGAAAAAGAAACCATTTTTTATAATACCACAACTACCCTTTTCAATAATTAAATACCCATTCCCACTTTTCAACCATTAGATTAGGATATCTAGATCCAAGGGCTACGAGGGGCTTAGTCACTTGACTAAGGACCCCCTAGTCACAGGATCCGCATTCGTGTTATTGTTATTTGCTTGGAGGAATGACAATTATATATGCACATATTAGACATTTAGGTTTTTAATAAAAAAATAATATTTTTTTCTTTACTCCTTGGTCCTATTTTTTATTTCATGAACCAAATAAATGACTGATTTTATTGTTAAGATTGTTTGTCCGGTCTGAACCATACCATACATTTGTGCTATTGTCAGGTCTAGTGTTACAATTCCTCAGTTTAAATCAAGACAACATACAAGGTCTGGTCTCAAGAGGACCAAACCGTTTTCCAACCCTGCTCGAAAATTACATATTTGCAAAGCCCACACTGGGTATTAATCCCGCACATATAGCGTATGGAGCGCTATTTTTTTCTGAAAAATAACATACACGCTTAGAATATTCATACAATATATCATCTATTTGCTATGAATGCATTAGTTCTATTATGTTAGTAGTCTAAATATCACACAATATGAATGCTACAGCTATTTATATGCAATATCGTATTCCTATTCTCATGAGCCTGGTCTTCAACTACTATGATATAACACATAATGTGATAAGTGGCTCCGGTATCAAAGATCCATATTGTGGTAAGAAGTTGCAAAACACCTCCAGTTTTGGTGCGGAGAGATGCATTAGCGAGTTGGCCAACTTGATTTTGTCCTCAACTGGAGGTCCAGAAGCTCTCCCCCCTCAATGGTCAACCCAAATAGCCGATCCACCAACAGTCAACAACCTTCAAAATGTGTAGTCTGGAAGCATCGAAAATTGGACGATAGTATACTTGGTTGTGGTGGTTCGAACCCAATTCGTGAGAAGAGTCCAAGAGAGAAATTATAACATTCAAAAGGCCTTTGGTTCACTATATCTGCTTCTATTTATTATAAATACTAAAGGAAGTAAATGATTGAGACTGATATTCTTTATTGAGAATAGAATAAAGGAAAAAATGAAGATAAAAAGTAACGATGATGCGCAGTACAGTGAAGAAAGCTGCAGATTTGATAGAGGAATAGAAGGGGCTTTAATTGTTCAGGGGCTACTGAAAGATTCTTTTTAAATGATGGTTTTTCTCGACAAATTTTGTTTTTTCTGTCCAATTATTTTATCTTTGAAATAGGTTTGCTTTGTTTATTGATCTTTGTCCACTCCTAGATCCAAGAATGTGCATGCCTCTTACATCAAGCTCCGCAATAGAGGGAAACTAAACACCTCCATATCATCGTAATTAAATTGCATACTGCTCAGAGAGATAATGGTCAGATTCTTTAGAAAGTATTTTAAGAAAATCCCCACAGGGATAGGTTGGTCCTGATCCTTGTCCCAAACTCCCAGTTTCAGCTGACGATGCTCCTTTTCTTCCTGATCTTTGGACACGTCTATTAGTTCTGTTATGGTGTGATCATATCAAACATAACCCCAAATATGTGGTCACTAGAATTCACGGTGAAGTTCACTGTCTTCACCTTGCTGCAAACGACACTCACCAAATCATACCAATTGTTATTCAGATCAGACTTGTACTTGGAGAAGATTTTGCACTCTTCATCGCATAAAGAAAATGTAGTGAACTGTTTCCACACATCCATCCACTAGATAGAAAAGGTCATATCTCTTACCATGCTAAATGTATCTATTATACTCAAGACTTCTAATTTAAGCTCCAACGGGAGTTCAATGAGCTAGTTTCTTTACCCCTCCATCTTTAACTCTTCATTGCCCAAAAAAAAATACATGAAAGAAGATAAATCTAAAAAGGTTATTGTTTAACGAGAACAACATAAAGAGAAAGAAAGATTATGACACTTCTGGTTTCCTTTCTATCGAGGACCGTGTGCGCAATTAGTGGGAAAAGGGAAGAGAGAGTGTAGGATGAGATTTCTTATCAAAAGTTATCAAAGTCGTATAGGAGAGCTACTGCCTACTAGCAAACATAAAAGAGATGCAAAAAACTGATTAATTACGTCTAAATTTCTGCATTTATCGCGCACAGTCTGACTGCGAATTATATAACAGGGGACAGAGAGAAAACGGAATGTGGAGGATAAAAGATTTAGAAGTGACGAGACACGAGAGAAGGAATACCCAGACAAGAGGAGAGGAGGTGTGTGAGTGAGAGAGAGAGATGAGAGCTCCCCTGTGGCGCCTTAGAGAGAGACGGAGCCTCTACTGTAGCATCTATTTCAAATATCCGGTTCAAGGCTAAAGAACAGAGATATAAAATAGTCTTTTTTGTTAATACAATGAGAGGACCAAACCATTTTCCAACCCGGCTCGAAATTAACAAATTAGTAGATTGATTAACAAGTTATCATCCAAATAAATTGAAATTTCTTATCTAGCAAAACAACAAAAATCAATGCAAGAGTTTCACTCAACATAACAAACTTATGTCACACTATTAAGTCATGTTGAGAGAAATGACAATTACTTAATTTGCGTCATACCTTTTTTGTGGATCATTTGGTCATTGGTCGGTGCTAAAAAGAAGGGGGTAAAAACTTAATTAGATTACCATACTAGTGGACAATCCCAACAAAAAGGCAAGTTAGCCACTAATATATAAACAAACCATCCCTCATCTCTTCCGATTTCCTTTCTACTCGATCGCACTCACTCTCCCTTTGCTGTAACAGAAGAGAAAACCATGGAGGAACAGAAACCAGGAGGCATGAATCAAAGCGCCGGTGGAATGATCGGCAAAGAAGAGAGTTTCGATCAATCAGCTTCCCCTCAATCAGCTCCACCTCGTTACCCGACCACCGCCGCCGCCGCCGCCGATTATTTACTGCGAGACGAGAAAATCGGGGGGATGGTGCAGGGTCTCCACAGAGAGGCGTCCTGCTTCGCCAGCGAAATCGAGGGCTTCTTCGGCGACATTTACCCCGACGATCTCACTTGCTTTACCTTCAAAACTCCGGTCAGTCAAAAGTCTTAAGTCTCACACCTCATCCTCTGTTTTTCCGATTCATTTTCCGTTTGGATCCGGGTCAGTCCCCGGCCCAATTCATTCTGATAAGCCCATGTGGCAAGGGGTTTGGGCTTTGGAGGGGGAAAAGTTTCAATTGCGTTGGGCTTGGGTTGAACCGTTTATCCGGCCACAGCCACACCCATGGAAGGGGAGGGAAGTGTGAATCCGGTTCGAATCCAACCCGACACGAATTGGTTGTACTACTCGTAAATATGAGTTAAAATCGAATCAAATGTTATGAGACATGAGTAGGTATGATGTTTTCATTATCCAACTAAATTTACTTACTATACATGCATGTGTTTTTTATATATATTATTATGGGTACTCTCAATATACTAGGCATTTGTAATACATAATTACATATATCGTGAACATATAAATTCAGAATTCGGCCAACCTGTTAATCCAAACTTGATAAATCGTGAGATTCGAAGGTTACAAAATGTATGAGTGGGTTATCATTCGTTAACTTTGTTGGGTGGATGCGATTTTGGAGTTGGAGAAACCAGACCTGTATTTTTTACCTGTATAATTCTTGTACAACCCACTATATACTCAATATAATGCCATTCGAACTTTAACTATTGTTTGAGCACAACATATTTGTTGTTAAAGATGTTATAGTGAAAGTCTTTCTCATCTCCAAATTATGTTTCTTAACATATTGAAGACTGAGGTCATCCAAGTTAATAGCAGGTAGGGCTTAATATGTCGATGATATTAGGTTGCAATTACTTTATAATTTGAAAGAAAAATACATAGAAGTTAATGGCTTGTTCTTTTATTTACGTCCCATTAAACACTTATAACTTGTATATTAAAATTTTACGCAATATAAATAAATGACAAAAATCTTGAATATTAGTGTTCCACACGGATTATTTCTTTCTCCTAGACCAACCCAAAGCCTGCTGCATTAATAGGATTTTCATTTTCATGGTTGGATTCTGGATAGGAGTACTTTGTTATTTAAATCGTATAATTTTTTACTTTAAATGCCTAAAACAGACCCACTCGATCCACGTACACTCCTACATTGAACATCTCATAATGTTTGGTATTGCCAATTTGCCATTCTGACCTCTAATAACAACCAAAGTAACACAAAAGTTTAAAACACTCCACTAGCGTATGGAAAAATCCTTATAATCAAAGCCAACTTTTGAGTAGATTCTTGCCGAAAGCCAAAGCAAAAAGTACGCTTTGTGACAGGAGATGGCGAGGTGGAGTTGCAATACACTGCTTCAAAAGCAGAACAGACAACAAGCCCACTTTCTGGATCCAAACTTTACTACGTGGCCATGATATCGACATTTTTAGACGGCTTTCTCAATTCACAGACGTTCTTTTTGAAACTGATTCCATTTCTTTCTGAATACAGCATTCCATGGAGGGATTTGCAGCCTGTGATGGTGGCCTAACAGATTCATTCCTATGGTCACATAGCAGCAGCAATACTAATGTCAACCCCAGGCAATACAGCCATTCAGTTTCCATCGACGCCCAGTCATCCATCTGTGGTAATTAGAACTCAGAACCCTGCTCTGCTTGAGTTTCTCTGGTCAATCCAATTCACATTTTTAGTAATGGGTAGTTTTGATTTGATTGAGCAGTTGACAGCCCGACATCAGCTAAGCCGAACGTGCGAGAGATCGAACCGAAAGTCACATGGAGCGGTTCGTCGCCAGAGCCATCAAACGAGGATGAAGAAGATGCTGAGATAGAAGCAGGGCCCTGCGAGCAGAGCACCAACCCTGCTGTTGATGTCAAGCGCGTCAGAAGGTGATCGATTAACGATCCACAATGTGGTAACAAATGTGTATAGCTTGATCCAAATTTGGCCTTAATTCCTCTCTTGCATTGCTTTCTCTCGTCTAGGATGGTCTCGAATCGCGAGTCTGCTAGACGATCTCGAAGAAGGAAGCAAGCTCATCTGGCTGAACTGGAATTGCAGGTATTTTTTTTACTGCTGCATTATGTTTGATTGATCAAACATTATGTTTCACGTAACGCGACACATAAAACCTGTTCTTAGCCAACCATAGGGTACAAGATTCTGTTTGATTCATTTTTGCAGCGGTTTTTGTTCTTGGTTTTTTCCAAGGTTGAGCAGCTGACAGGAGAGAATGCAACGATGTACAAGCAGCTCTCTGACGCGGCCCAGCAGTACCGCGAGGCTGGCACCAACCACAGGGTGCTGAAATCGGGCGTCGAGGCCCTGCGAGCCAAGGTCAAGCTGGCTGAAGACATGGTGGCTCGGGGATCATTCACATGTAGCATGAACATGCTGCTGCAGAACAACAACAACAACAACATTCAACCTGATGCAGTAACAGTAGCACCTCCTCAGGTTATGAACAATCACGTCAATCTCAATCACCATCACCATCATCATCGGATGGCAGCCAACGTGTCGCCGAGCATCACGGTTCGAGGAGGAGAGGAGGTGTCGTATGGTGGCGGCGGTGGTGGAGCAGGAGGAGGAGGAGTCTCAGTTGGTAGTGCAAGTCTGAACAATGATGTGATTAGTGAGACTGGTGTAAGTTGTGTGTCTAGTGTAATCTGGCCTTAATTAAATTACTGAGCTAGCTAGCCGTCATGTGATCTATAGTCTTGTTCTCACTTTTGCTTAGTGCAATCTGGCGTGTATGTAATGTACTTAAATGTTCCAATAAGTGTCTCCATGTAAGCTCTATTTGTAATTTTGTATGGTAATGTGCACTATGTAAAGAACTTGGTCCATTGCTATGGGCAGCTTCTTCCTGTTTGTTTACTGTGACTGATCATGTCATGTGGACCATGTTTTAAAACTACAATTAGGATGATTGACGGAATTGTAGTGTCAACATGATAAAATTGTTGTTGTTAAAGTAGTTTTTTGATTGGAGTTGTTGTCAATGACGTTCTATGAATAGTACGTATTCATACTTTGATCTATTCATTGGTTTCGGTCTTCTACATTATGTGAATGTCAACCGTTCTCAAATATTTATGCGTTACTTATATCATTACACAAGCACATGATCAAAGCCTAGTTTCTTAGACATGCTCTGAATTTACGAACATTTGTCTGCTAAGTTGAAATTATATATAGAGTCATTAACCCTATAAATTCATACGTTCATGTCATATATTTTTTTCACGGTACATTCACCCCTCTAACTATATATTTTATGTACAAGCTTGTCCACATTTGTTCAAATTTATAGAGTACTGCTTGTGTCTCGAACATTTAAAATTAAAATGTGCTATTTTTTAAAATAAAATTCTGACTATTTTCGAGAGAGGAAGTATATTTGGTATCATGGAAAACAATTTCAAAATGTATTTCAAAGTTACACTATTAAATTTGTATAATATATATGCCTTGACTGTCCTAATTACAAAATCGTACATAAACTAAGCAAATGTTACATAAATCCTTAAACCTATCCTAGTTTACTCTTAACTCCAATATTTACAAAATAATTTCCCAAAAATTAATAAATGAACTAATAGTACCTATTCAAAGTCTCTTCTCTTCTTTTCTACTTTGTCTCTCAAAAGGGTACCAATAGACAAATCAATATTTAGAAGCTAAAAAATAATCATCGTTGTTTCCTTCTCCGGTTCCTACGCCCTCTCGCCCGAGACAAGGCTCAAAACTATTCAATGGACGAGCAATCATTACGGGACTTCTGAGTCATAGTATTATGGTGGATGTGTAAACAACAATACTAAATCTACGTTACGTAAGCATTTTCTTCTTTCTTTCTTGATCAATTTCATTCTTCCCCATCGATCACCACTCTCTGTCTCCATCATTCCATCTCATTTGGGCATCACATTTTCCTTATAATCATGGCCTCTATTCCTCAACAGGTCTGTCTGTCTTCTTCTTGTTTATTACTTCTAGTCTCGTGTTTCCTTTGAGTCCTCATATAATCGTGTGATTTCAATGTCATTGAGTGCAACTTGTGCTTATTTCAATTCGAGTTTTGTTCTAGATATATCTTTAGACATTTTTGTACCATATAGTTTGTTATTAGTCGATACTTAGATATCAGCATATAATCATGTAATGATACTCTACTATTAATCCGAGGCCCATAGATTGGATGTGTATGAATCAATTAGGTTGGATTTATACATCATTGTCCAAATTGACAAGTTATTTAAATCGAACCATAAGCAAGAGTGAAAACTACTAATTTCAAGAAACGTTTGAATTGACTTTTTAGGAGTTGATTCAATCAGCACAATAACTATCATCGTCTAATTTATAACGAGTAACTAGCAAATGAAAAACAACTTGCAGGCAAACAAAAGAGAAAAATCAAATAAAACATACCAATAATTCAATAAAGAAACATTATACCAATTCCTTGGATAATTTTACAACTTAGAGAAATTTTTATGATTTTTTTAAAACTATTTTTGTGTATAAAAGATGAGTTTTTTACTATCCTTCCATATATCGCGATCGCCATTATCGAACCCCGCTCATTACATACGTTGTTGCAGCAGCCTTCAAATGGCTTCAGAGAAGAGCGAGACACATTTGGGCCAATTCAAGTTCCTGCTGATAAGTAAGTTCGGTTGAATCCTCGTTTCCCTTTTCCAAATGGCTTGTTTCATAATCAAATTTTTCTCTGATTCACTACAACAACTTCCTTCACTCCTGTAGATTGTGGGGCGCGCAAACTCAAAGATCGCTGCAGAATTTTGAAATTGGCGGGGAGCGAGAGCGGATGCCGGAGCCAATAATTCGTGCATTCGGAATCCTCAAGAAATGTGCGGCAAAGGTCTCGAATTCTTTCTCTTTTTCTCTGATTTGTACCCAACCAATCGCTTCCGTGATTCAGATTGTAGTTCTGAAATGAGAATTCTTCTGTGGTGTGTATGTATTGGTTGCAGGTGAACATGGAATATGGGCTTGATCCCGCCATTGCTAAGGCCATTATGCAGGCTGCTCAAGAGGTGGCTGATGGAATGCTAAATGAACACTTTCCACTCGTCATTTGGCAGACTGGTAGTGGCACTCAAAGCAACATGAATGCCAATGAGGTCAGGGTTATGATTTGTGTTCTATTGATTTTGGATGAGGAACGCCCAATTTGGGGGAAACATTTGATAATTGCGCTTGATTGGAATTTCTAGCATAGTGGGGAAAGTTGAATTCAATTCATTTCATCTTTCAACATTTTGACTATGGTTTAGTTCAGTGGCCATCAGTTGAAAGTTCCAAAATGTGAAGGGAATCTGATGCTTCTAAACCAAAACATATAGCTCCACCATGTTTATTCTTCTGAAGATGTTTAAATGTTCATTATCACTATAAGTTAGTTGATCTCTTCAAGTTTATTTCCTGTTAGTTGAACGTGTTTGTTACAAAATTTCCAGGTTATTGCCAATAGAGCTGCTGAAATCCTTGGCCATAAGCGTGGTGAAAAGTATGTGCATCCAAATGACCATGTTAATAGATCACAATCTTCCAATGACACTTTTCCTACTGTAAGCACAATTTGCTATCTGATCTTCTACGTAACTCCCTAATATGATGTTACTTTTTGTCTTTATGTGTATTTGCCATCTTCAAATTAAAATTGTTCCTTTTTTCATGTGGGTCATCTTTTATACTTGTAGGTGATGCACATCGCAGCTGCTATGGAAATAAACTCAAGATTGTTACCAAATTTGAAAACTTTGTACGCTACTGTACATACAAAGGTGACTGTTGTCATTAAGTTTAATTGTTGTAGCTGCCTATATCTTAGTTTTCCTGCATTATCCCTGGTTTTCCCATGTGAAAGATATTCCTAGTCTCCTTGTGTTTGTTTCAACTTCATAAGCTTCATTCACTGTAGTACGGTATTTATGATTTCAATATGAATGTTATGGCTACTGCTCAAATTTTGAGTCACGTTGTGTATCTTCTTCTTCCTTAGTCTATTGAATTCAAGGATATCGTTAAGATTGGACGTACTCATACTCAAGATGCAACCCCATTGACGCTTGGTCAAGAGTTTAGTGGCTATAGCACCCAAGTGAGATCCTTCATCGCGATTCATTTTGTCTTCAACATTTTGTTGATAGGTTGTCCTTTTCTCATATTTGCGTATGGTTTCCAGTTGCAATATGGAATTGATCGTGTCACTTGCTCTCTACCCCGCATGTATAAGGTTGACTAGACTGTTCCACATATGTAATTCACAATTCTGTTTTTCCCATCCCCTCTTTTCCAGAGAAGTTTTGTCATTTTGGGATGTTGAATGCAGCTTGCTCAAGGTGGAACTGCAGTTGGAACTGGCTTGAACACCAAGAGAGGGTATTATATATTTTCTCTGGGTTTTTGGCGCCTGCAACTGCTCTTTTGCTTGCGTTTGCATGCTTCTTGACTGTTTTCATCACTAGACCTCTTTTTGCATGTAGTTTCACATTACTACTACATAGACCTTATTAGATAAAAGAACACCAAAAGAAGGTTAAGGTCAATGATGTCTGGTGCTCCTATTGTAATTTTTTTGTTATATTTTAATGCAATCATGGTTCGGGAGTGCACTATTTTATTTTAGGCAATACCTCATTTGTTGTTGACTTCCCTCGGGTTGTGTTAGCTTTTTCATTGATGCATCTAAATGATTCAGAGGGCATGTATTGTCTACGCACCTGTAGGTTTGATGCAAAGATTGCTCAAGCAATAGCTGAAGAAACAAGGCTACCATTTGTTACAGCAGAGAACAAGTTTGAAGCTCTGGTTAGTTTTTTGTGTACTTGCTGATGTTATAGATTTTTATTGCATTTGGTTAATATTTTTGTTTATATTAAAATGGGGAGGAGACCATTATGCTTGCTGAAAAGACTTGAAATTGTTAGGCTGCACATGATGCTTTTGTTGAATGTAGTGGAGCTCTCAACACCATTGCTACTTCTTTGATGAAAATCGCCAATGACATACGCTTCCTAGGAAGGTGAATATACTTGTATCGAATAAACCCCAACTTCTCTATCCCTGAAGTTCCTTCCATGTTTGTATATTGTATGACGTTCTTTGAACTTCTCATTTGATCAGTGGTCCAAGATGTGGGCTTGGCGAACTTGTTCTTCCAGAAAATGAGCCTGGTAGCAGTATCATGCCGGTATTGTTTTTTCTAGTTCTTTTCATGCATAAATGAACATCTTCTAGTCCTTAAATAGGTTTTTGTTGGTTGATAAAGCTGGCTTTATGGTTTTCACTCATTATGGCTCAACATATTCCAGGGGAAGGTTAATCCCACTCAATGTGAGGCGCTTACAATGGTCTGTGCTCAGGTACATTCTGTTTTGGTTTTCTTTTTCATTTTCTATCTGTGGAACTTCTTCCTTAACCGTTCTTCATCTTCCTACTTCTGAAAATATGTCTGGTTATGATAATGTTTGTTCTCTTGTTATACAAGGTTGGAGAATGCCCTCTGAAGCAACTGTGATGAGTTTATGTGACTACATTCTCATGATTATTGTTTCCATTATGTATTTTACAGGTTATGGGAAACCATGTGGCCATAACTATTGGTGGATCAAATGGCCATTTTGAGTTGAATGTATTCAAGCCTATGATTGCAAGTGATCTCCTTCATGTATGGAATGTTTCTATAACTTCCTAGTGTTTCAGAGTAGTTCTTCAAATGATCTTGTTCCCTAGTGCCTAGGATCAAAATTTCTTTGCTTTGAATTTCTCTCCATCTATAAAATCAAGCTGTATTGCATAATGAGTTCATTGTCTTATTTAATAACCTGTGAAACAGTCAGTGAGATTGCTTGGAGATGCATCTGCTTCCTTCGAAAAGAACTGCGTGAAGGGAATCCAAGCTAACAAGGAAAGAATTTCCAAGTTGCTGCACGAGGTCAGTAATTGGAACTGATCACAGAAACTACAATTTGTATTGGATTGCAATGACTAAGAGATCTTGACGGATTGTCTCTTTTGTGGGCTCTTTTCAGTCACTCATGCTTGTTACATCACTGAACCCCGTAAGTTCCCTTGATTCATTCAAGTAACAATACCAATCAAAACTCAACCTTCACTTTCTTGACGTTTTAATTACTGATCTCGTGGCATTGTTGATTTCGCATAGAAAATTGGGTATGACAATGCTGCTGCACTTGCTAAGCTTGCTCACAAGGAAGGACTTACTCTGAAGGTGACTCTACTCCTTCCACCAACTGATTCATCGTGCTTCTTCCATTCTTTACCGTCTTTCTGTTAGTAACAACAACTAGGTATGGCCATAATTATGTCTGCAGGAAGCGGCACTGAAATTGGCAGTTCTGACCAGCGATGAGTTTGATCAGCTGGTTGTACCTGAGAAGATGATAGGACCATCTGACTGAAGTGAATACACTTCTTTTTAATGCAGAAGAGTTCTTCCAGCAATTTTGGTAGTAGAGAACAGAGGAAGTCTTGCAACTTCGTTATTCGTCATTTGATATATTGAATTCTTAGTCTTGCTTCACAGTTCACATAGTTAGGAACGAAGCTCTGTATCTATTGGTTCTAAAAACATGTTTACGACACAGATTGGTAGAAACAAGTCATTTTATTGGATTCACCATTAATGTATTTACTGATTTATGAGGTTTATCCATATTTCAACAATCAAGACTTGTGATCTTAGAGCACTAATAACATCTCTAACAATGTCGTCCATAGGGAATAAGGTCACAACCAATGATGTTAGCTTTGATAGTAGTTCGAGTTATTGGTTGGAAGCCTGTGTCTGTGTGAGGTTGGGTTTTCATGAAGTTCTCATAGAGCATCACCTAGCAATCTTTCTAGACGCCGAAATTACACAATAAGTTTCTTCTCTAGTTCAACGAATTGTGTAAATTCTAATAGCAATGTTATCTCTATTTTCGTCTTTGTTTTGTGGATAGAGGATTGTCATTATATAATAGATATGTTTTAGTTTTATTCCTAAAAAAAGCTACAAATATTAATTACAAACATCAACAACATATCGAAATCTTTAAAGTAGCGTTTCAAGATGGAAATTGAGAGGAAAGGGATGATGAGGTATTAGTTGTTGACATTTGTCTGGTTTAATGAAGGTGATTTTATAATTTTCAATCTTTGATGATCAATCGACATAATTTATCCATACTTAACGTCAAACCCAAATTAAAACTAACGGTAATAGGCTCGTTCAGGAATCGTCAACAAGTTCAAGGGCTAGGACAGGATAAATCGTAGTTAAAGGGCCATCATTGAGACAGTGGTAAATTTGAGGGTCAAATTTGACATTTTGGCCCTAAAAGAAAAAGGAAATTGGTAGCCGGAAATTTCTTACTTGTTCCCTACGAAGCATTAGGTCTTCTAAAAATATAAATCAGATACCACTTGATCAGTGAAGGCCTAAAGCTAATTTACTTCAATCAATCGAACTTCTTCTTTGCCCCTGCTCCTCCCGCTTATCGTCGCTAGGATTTTCCACCATGGATACTACTCTTCAGGATCTGAATGCTCCCCACTCGATGGGCACCACCATCATCGGCGTCACTTACAATGGCGGGGTCATCCTCGGTGCAGATTCCCGTACCAGCACCGGTATGTTGTTAGCCCTTCTCGGAGTTCTTCCTGCTAAATTTATCACCGTTAGGTCTTTCCTTCATTGATAGATCTGAGGAGGTCGCTGGGTTTGATTTGATTGTTAAAAGAGAGGACATTTTTGTTGGGTATGGACTCAATCGAAGAATTATGTACGTTTAGGGTTTTGTTCTGACGAATTCCGGTTCCTGCGATTTGTAGGAATGTACGTCGCTAACAGGGCTTCGGACAAGATCACCCAGCTCACAGATAACGTCTACGTCTGTCGCTCGGGATCGGTACGAATCGCAGCTTTGAAATTATTGTGAACACTAGGGCCTTTTGAACTTTGTCGAAGATGGTTGGAATAGTTTGTTCTGGGTCATTGGCTCTCCAATTTCAGCTCAAGCATCAATTGCATGCATTACTCTATTGATAATCTCAAAGCTGTTTGTGGGCTTCTGAATTTACGATACATGTTCTTCTATATTGCAGGCTGCTGATTCCCAGATTGTTTCTGACTATGTTCGATACTTCTTACATCAACACACGTGAGTTGGCCAGCCTTATGATGCTTTACTTATATTCTTGTGCCTTCATCTATTCTAGCCCATTTCTGAAAATAGCGAGGCTTAGCTCGTCACCAATTAGACTGGCTGTTTGTGTTCGAATTCTCTATTTGTGAACGAGTTTCTCCTCCATGATATGCACAAGACTACGTTTTAGGAAGAATAATAGGAGTTAGAAACTAATGCTATATGGAAACTTCCCTCTTGAAAATATCTGTCCCTTCGGTTCTGCAGTAAGCTTCCAAGAACTACTCTGGTATTGATAATATTTTTAGCTCAAGAAAAACCCAAGAGTTCTAAATGTTAGGGATCAAGTAGCTAGCCACTGGTTGGCATTGTATGACTGCATTGTTGACACCAGGATGGTGGTTCATATTTAACAGGTTAAAGCCTTATTAGACTCTGCTCATCCTAGTTATGTACAGATTTTCTGTAGGATGCTTATACGTGATGGTCTTCTGTGATTTCGTTCCATGCATAGTTGTTTCTGTTTTTAAGATATTGAGGCAGGCAGCTTACAGCCTTGTTAAGCTTATGTTTCAAATTTCTCATTTACTATGATCTATTCTTTTTGCAGCATACAATTGGGACAGCCTTCAACCGTGAAAGTGGCTGCAAACCTTGTCCGCTTATTATCCTATGGCAATAAGGTTCACTCCAAGTTCTCTTTCCTGTGCTAAAGTATCTGTCTCACTCCATCGATACTGCATACTGTCCACTGCAATCTACATGCTGCATTTAGTTGACAGAAAAGGTTGCCAGAGAGGAGATAGGAGAAAAAATTTGTTATGGAAGTAGAGTGTGTTGGTAGGTAGAGAGCTGCTTGTTCTATATCTATCTTGCTTTCTGTACTAACTTTGTCTTCGTGTTTTCTTTGAGCTTCCAGAACATGCTACAAACTGGTATCATAGTTGGCGGGTGGGACAAGTATGAAGGTGGGAAAATTTATGGAGTTCCTCTTGGTGGAACATTGGTAGAGGCACCCTTTGCGATTGGAGGTACTTACTTTGTATTCATCTGCATGTACACACGTTATTGTTTCAGTTTCTATTCATGATCCAATTCTAAATGGTCCGTGAAGGTGTTTCACGGGTAGTCATAAGTAGGTTTATTAAGTCGTAGCCGAAGTACCGTTTTCCGTGGTTTTCTCTGTGTATGTTCTTTTCTTCATCTTCCCGTGACTTTTACCACTTCATTATTTTGGGTTTTGCCATACATGATAAGAAGCTATTCTGCTAAAGTTATGAATAATGGTTGAGTAAGAGGGGGAAACTAGTCTAGGATGGAGTAGTGAACCCAAGATGGATGAAACCTCCTACAACCATGGTTGCCAGGTCTCATTCATGTTATCATAGTAAAGAATTAGGAAATTTCTTCATAATGGCAGAGTAGGCAATGTGAACAAAATGTATGATGTTTTGCAGGATCTGGCTCCAGTTACTTATACGGGTTTTTTGATCAAGTTTGGAAAGAGGGCATGACCAAAGAGGAAGCAGAGGTGAGAGACTGTTAACACCACTGTTTCCTCCTGTCAACCAAAAATTGAGACGAAACAATTATTTCAGCAGTGTTTTAATTTTCCTTCTGCCTTGGTGCATGCAGCAATTAGTGGTGAAGGCAGTTTCCCTTGCCATAGCAAGAGATGGTGCTAGCGGTGGTGTCGTTCGTACTGTAGTTGTAAGTATCTGGCTTCCCCACCTCTTTACAATTTTGAGTTTGTGTATGAGAACGCAACTGAAAAACTCCGTTGATTTTCCTTTTTTGGGTAGATTAACTCTGATGGAGTGACGAGAAACTTCTACCCTGGTGACACTCTACCTCTGTGGCACGAAGAGTTGGAGCCGCATAACTCGTTGTTGGATATACTCAATGCACAGGGACAAAGCCCTGAGCCAATGAACATATGAAGGAAGGTATGGGGATGGTAGATGGTGTTGGGGTTTCCTAGTTATGCCGGGAAATCCCTTTTGAGCATCAGTTGGTTTGGTTCTATGTACACCTTCCATTTCAAAAAGGTTCTGGGTTTATGAATTACCTGGTGAGCTGCTGCTACATTAGTAATGTACTGTGTTTGGATCTTTTTTAGTGCATTACTTGAGATGTTCTGTTTAAATCTGCGTGATCATTGACCGCACTTCACCGGGTGCCTATGTTGGCTGACTACTGTATATCGTTTCGTTTGCCTTCGTTCCCCTTCACATCTGAACCCTAAACCACAGAGCAACTGGTCCGTTAACATCCCTGGATATAAACGAACGGTGGTGCAATGATACGTTATGTGAGCACACTTTGTTTGTGGTCTGTGGAGGATGTGGAAGTCACAAATAATGTTAGTGATTTATGAGCATGTTTAGCCCCTGATTGCTGCTCGATTTTCCCATCAAGTTCTGAGGTTGTTTTAGCTCCCTGTTCGACCCGCGCTTCCTTGACTGCTACTAGCCTGCTCCCCTCTTGATAGTTGGTTATAGCTCAACCTTGATGCCACTGTTCTCCCTTCAGGTCGACGTGTGATCGTTCGTGGCTGTACTCCCTAGAGTTCGATGTACTTTGAGCGGTTCATGTTAGTGTTCAATTGCATGAACCGCTTCCAAATTCCAATCGAGTTCGGTCCCTCACGTAGGTTGTGATTCGTTAACTTAAATCAAGCCCTGATCGGGAGGCAATCGATGGCTCAGTGGTTCATGGTTGCCTTCAAATGATGTCTTCTCCAGATGACGCTATCAAGTTCGTCACAATCTTCATGATCATCAATCGAACTGCCTATATAATGTTGAACTGTACTGAAGCACAAAATATTTTTCTGGCTTGTTTAGATTTTGTTACGACTATTTAATATCATCGGACTCTCAATTATGGCCACTAAAAGTTCTGTAACATCCAAAACGTAGTCGTAGTCCACCTAATTGCAAGGCCATACTAGAAGGTAGACTGGTCGAAGCAATACCGTGAATTAGCAGAAAAAAACGACGGCGAAGGGCAACGTCGGCGAGTAATCGAAGCAAATTGGAGAGACAGAGTACTGAAGGAAGGATGGGTTCGGCAGCAGCAGCCATGGATGGTCACAAGGTGTTCGTCTACGGCAGCCTCATGGCCGATGAAGTTGTTCACGTCCTGCTGAACCGCGTCCCTCAATCCTCAGCCGCCAGCCTCAATAACTAGTCTGTTTCTCTCTCTCTCTCTCTCTCTCTCTCTCTTTCCGCGTTCCTTTTCTTTCCTTTTCTCCAAATTCAGATCGTATTGCAGACCAACTGTTTGATGATATGCCTGTGACAGTCACAGGTTCAGCATCAAAGGGCGGGTTTATCCGGCAATTCTACCAATCGAGAACAAGAGCGTTTCTGGTAGAGTCCTGTTTGGGCTCACCCATCCTGAGCTTGAAATCCTCGATACGTTCGAGGATGTTGAGTACGAGCGTCACACTGTTGAAGTTTCACTCCCGGTAAAGCACTGTGAAATTTTCCCCCAAAGTTTTCTTTTTTCTCCCATCTGCTACTTGGGATCATTTCCCCCTTCTTTAAAAATGGAGTCTTTATTACTTTTTCGTAGGTGGAGCAGAAGCTACAAGTGAATGCCTATGTCTGGGTTGATAAAGATGATCCTGACTTGTATGGGGAGTGGGATTTTGAGGTACTAACTCGTTTCTTTTCTCTCATTTTATGTGGGGCTTGAATGAGAAAGGCTTCATAGTCTGGAGCTTCTGGCCTCCATGATTCTGAGTTTTGATGGGAACAAGATGCTTACTGAAATAGGTGAAAGGTTTAAATTTCATGTGTGGCTGAACTTATGTCATGTTTGCTTGTTTTGATGGGTGGGAAGGAGTGGAAGAAATCACACATGAGTGATTTTGTGAAGATGACGGCAGAATTCATGGAAGAAATCCAGCAGCCTGATTCTAAAACCAGAGTGGCTACCTATGAATCTTTCTACAATGCAGCAGATGGTGGCACCAACACTGCTTCTAACTAGCTTCGTTGGATGAATGAACATCGATCCCGCCATTGCGAGATCAATCTAGTTAAATAATCAGTTTCCAATTTCGAAACATCGTTTGTTGATTGGGTTCAACTACTTGGTTGTTCGGCAATCAGACAGTCTACGATGTTTAGATAGATGTAAAGTGTGTGTTGAAGGTTTGAAGCCCTCATGAAAAGATATTGTATTGAATGTCCAGAATGTAGTGGTGTTATGAGTGGCTTGATCTTCAAAAGCATGCAATTGCATGTGCTGCATATTTAATTTCCCTTTGATTAAATCAAGCTTGGAGTTCAATAAGATGTTTGAATAAAATTGAAGGTAAAAATGGAAGAGAAAGTCTGCACATTTGTGGTTAAAATGATGCTTGAGGCTATGTAAATGGCTAAATTCTTCTGGTGGATATCTTCTTTTTCTTTCAGATTGTTTGAACCTGCTTAAAGCTCCAATCTATCATCTCTGTCTTTCACCCTGGTAATTTCGTGCTTGGATTGTTGATATGAAGGATGTCTTCTATGGGATCTTTTGGATCACAAACACAAGCTCGTAAGTTGTATAATTTTTACAGCTACATCCCTTTCGGTTAAGTGGAAACTACCAGGATTTGTATTGTAACACAGCACCAGTTAAACTACATAACAGGTGATCAAGCCGGTATGGCATTATCAATCATTTGCACAAGATGTCGCAATACTGTACTACTAGAATCAATACCCGTGGCTACGCGGAAAAAATCCCAAAGTACACTAGTTTTTAAAAAAAATTCCCAAAATACATAAGTTATAAAAAAAATTCCAAAAGTACACATGTTTGAGCATCACCGTTTTAGACAAAAACGGTGAAGGTCATCACCGCTTTTGACCAAGACGGTGAATACTTCACCGTTTCAAACTAAAACGGTGAAGGGTTCACCGCGTTTGTTAAGAACGGTGAATACTTCACCGTTTTAAACAAAAACGGTGAAGTCTTCATTTGAATTCCAAGTATTTTGATAACTCTAAATGGTTCTCCTCGTCGATACGATCGCGCTGCCGAAAACGGCTCGTTATTTCGACCTCAAACGAATAAGATACGCGCGTTTTAGTTTTTAGTACGCAAAAGTTACTTTAACGACATGTGCAGCTTTGAACTCACTTATCTCACTCGTTTGGACTCGGAATTGAGATCTGTAAAATTCTATGTGATCGTGGTTGATTTTCCCAACCTTTTTGTGTTGAGGGAAGATAATGATTCTTGATAAAATGATCCAGAATATTCATTCGACAACTTAAGTGCGTAGGATAAAATGTAACAACATCATGGGTTCTCTCAATTCCAACATCCGCAACAACAAACTCCGAACCCCCCGATCATTCGTCAAGCTACCGGTCCAACTCAGCCACCACCACCACCATATGTAACCCCAGTTGGGGCTCGGGTCAAGAGAAATCCGCGACCAGCCGTTGAGCGAGCCCGCCAAGAAGCAGTGGCGGAGGGGGGAAGAAGGGGTCGAGAACGTCGTGGAGGACGAGGAGGAAGAGGTGGAGATAGGGGCCAAAATGAAGCAAATGAGTGAATTTATCATTTTATCATTGTAGTGAACTATCAATGTTGTTTTTGTGATTTTTAGGTGTTGTTATTTGAGTTTGCATTGTCTAAAAACTATCCTACGCACTTAAGTTGTCGAATGAATATTCTGGATCATTTTATCAAGAATCATTATCTTCCCTCAACACAAAAAGGTTGGGAAAATCAACCACGATCACATAGAATTTTACAGATCTCAATTCCGAGTCCAAACGAGTGAGATAAGTGAGTTCAAAGCTGCACATGTCGTTAAAGTAACTTTTGCGTACTAAAAACTAAAACGCGCGTATCTTATTCGTTTGAGGTCGAAATAACGAGCCGTTTTCGGCAGCGCGATCGTATCGACGAGGAGAACCATTTAGAGTTATCAAAATACTTGGAATTCAAATGAAGAATTCACCGTTTTTGTTTAAAACGGTGAAGTATTCACCGTTCTTAACAAACGCGGTGAACCCTTCACCGTTTTAGTTTGAAACGGTGAAGTATTCACCGTCTTGGTCAAAAGCGGTGATGACCTTCACCGTTTTTGTCTAAAACGGTGATGCTCAAACATGTGTACTTTTGGAAATTTTTTTAAAAACTAGTGTACTTTGGGATTTTTTCCTGGCTACGCCACATGACGTGTTTAGAGCTTTATAGTACATCAAGAGCTAATTATTGTGATCCAATACCAACCCAACTGACCATGATATGCAATGCACTTGTCGAGCCAACCTTTATATAAATTACTTTACCAAACTCTCCCTTTCAGTATTGCACTAAATCTAGAAATAATGTTAAACTGTATTTGAAAATATTGAGCAAAACTCTAAAACTAAGATGAGAAGCAGAATTCTAACATCGAGTTTTAGATGAAGAGTGATCGGACATAAATCGCGTATGTATCAAATTTGCCCTGTCAGATTCGTCACCCAATATTGCAGCTCAACAATGGCTTCCTGAAAACCCTGGAGAGAGAGAGAGAAAAAAAAAGCAATTCATTAATGAAAAGCAGTTCAACAATGGCACCCGAGAAATAAATTGTATTCAAATTCAGTAGATGCAGTGAGCAAGAACATACGTGCAACTCAGATAATCGATAACTCAACTCGCCCTTTGCCGAAGTTGAAGTGCATACAAATGATACATATGTACACACTGTGAAGTTGCAGTTCATAAAACCGAATCAGCCGCTTAAGCAAGTCTCCATCGATGCATAGGGGTTGAACAAACAGCTTCCATCATTGTTGGTCAAACAGATATTATTCTATAGAAAATTGAAACATTTTGCAGCAGATAGCAGTAACCGTCGCTCGCCACTTTATTCGGCAACACTTAAATAATTTAGTTTATCGCCTTTAGCATCAATCGTGATATTGTAGCAAGTTATGTTCATTAAGGATAGAAGTTGTATGGCCCAACATCATGAGTCTAGCCTTAAAACATAAACCGGTCCATTTCATAATGTCGGCCCATTATCTGCTTCGTGGCCGAATAAATTTGGAATTAGGGTTACGACCTTCCATCCTCTTCTGCGCAAGTAGCTGTCCAGTTCCGGAGTTTCCCTAAGCGCATAATTTCATCACTGCACCGCTTTCTCTCTTCTCCGGCAAGTGCAGCCATGGAAGTAGAGGCCCAAGTTCCAGTTCCTGCTCCAGCTCCAGCTCCAGCTCCGGCGTCAGTTACTGGTCCCATGGACGTCAAATTGTTCAATCGCTGGGTGTTCGATGACATTCATGTTCGTTCTCATTCATTTTTAGCTTCGTTATCGTCTTTCCTCGAGTCTTAGAATCAAACCGTCGATGTTCATGCGTACGATTTTCGCTGCTTAGTTATATTAATGCGACTGAGCTCTTGATTATGCTTGGAGGGTCTTGATTCTGCTCTCAGGCTAATTAGGGTTTTGTATGTTTTGTTTTGTGATTTGGAATGGTTTAAGATCAACGACATTTCCCTGTCCGATTACATCGGTGTCCAAGCGGCCAAGCACGCAACTTTCGTCCCCCACACAGCTGGGAGGTACTCGGCCAAGCGATTCAGGAAGGCTCAGTGCCCGATCATTGAGAGGCTTACCAACTCTCTTATGATGCACGGGAGAAACAATGGTAAGAAGCTGATGGCTGTCAGGATCGTGAAGCACGCCATGGAGATCATCCATCTCCTAACTGATGCAAACCCAATCCAAATCATCGTTGATGCTGTGGTCAACAGGTCTGTGAGATCGTGATCGAGACCGAATTTGTTTTTGGTTTGTGGATGAGTTTGTTTCTCATAGTAATTTTCGTTTGCAGCGGTCCTCGTGAAGATGCAACTAGAATCGGTTCGGCTGGTGTTGTGAGGCGTCAGGCCGTCGATATTTCTCCCCTCAGGCGTGTCAACCAGGCCCTGTACCTCCTGACCACTGGAGCTAGGGAGTCTGCTTTCCGTAACATCAAGACTATCGCTGAATGCTTGGCCGATGAACTCATCAATGCTGCAAAGGGATCCTCGAACAGGTTTGTTTGCTTATAGATTGATTTATGTTGATTGTTCATGGATGCTCGCATTGCTGATTATGCTCTCTCTCTCTCTCTCTCTCTCTCTCTCTGGTTGCTTTCCAGCTATGCTATCAAGAAGAAGGACGAGATTGAGAGAGTTGCCAAAGCCAACCGTTAAGAGATTTTTGTATGTCTGCTGTTATCTTCAGCTTTAGCCTGTGTTGCTGGAAAATGTCAGGAGAATTTTGCTGTTTGTCTTTTGAGGTTTAAGGTACTTTTATTGTCAGTTGTTAGTGAATACCGAGAGTTTGTTTGGAAGCCGAATGCAACAATCGTTTATTTGATACTTATAGTAATGTCATGCTGAATCCTACCTCAATTGATGCCAAATTGAGGTCGTGTTCTTTCCAGTGGTCTGGATTTCAAAGTAATGGAAGTATGGTTGGCAAACCTTTGTATCATGAGTTTCATAGTTAATTGTCACTGTGCTTTGATTAGTCAATCTCATAGTCAATTGTTACCGTAATAGCTAAATAAGGGCAGAGAAGGGGGAAAAGAGGGAAGCACATATAAACTTTATGCAACTTTATGCAGTGGAACGATGTCTGCAACAGTTGGCGTACGTCCGGCAAGGGCGGCAGCTAGAATGGGCAACATCAGGGCGCTGGAGGTGAGGAAGCTGCAGATCTGCAGGTACGGACGGTGAGGGGAGGAATGGCCGCTCGCTGGATTTGGGGAAGGCAGAAGTCCGTAGGTGGGCGAAGAGGTGAATGGGAAGTCGTTCAGTGAAAGCTTTTGAAACCCGCTAAACGACGAAAAGTGATACAGTAACGGACAAAAAGCGTACCCAGCTTTTATATATAAAAAGAAAAAGAATACCCCTGATCGACCAAGGCCAAACACGTTTTAACATTAAAAGCAAAAACTTGTACAACAAGGGTTTGTTTTGTTCATCCTTCTCAATTTAATGAATACTCTAACACACGGCTTAATTGCTGCCCAGTAATCTTATTTTCGAAACTAACTTAGCTGAACTATGCTATATCTATTGACCAGAATGTCATTTCGAGGTCATCGTGTGTGAAGAAGTTGCGAGAGTGACTGAAGTCTGAAGGCAGCTAACTATAAGGAGCAGCTGACATAAACAGGTGATCAGTGGGAAAGGTGGTGGGCTACCGTCGACGAATTCTCAAGTATCCAAACTTCCCAGCTCCAGGAGAAGACCCCTCAAAGATAAATGGCAAATACCCAGTTGCTACTTTGTACTTCTGCTGAACCTGATGAGACAAATGTGAGAGAGAATCCATCAGGTGGTAATAACTCAGTTCCTCCATGGAGAAAGGGATCCAAAAAGCACTCTAACGGATTTACTACTCTTGTATTGCACACATGAATGCATACCTCTAGAATTTGTTGGCTGCTGCACAAGGAGTTCCTACCAATAACACAAACAGTGCCACCAGAGCCTCCACCGGTTATTTTGGCTCCGTATAACGTCCCACCTTCAGATTTCGACTTGGAACTATGCTGCATTTCCTGGACCATCCTTACAAGCCTATCTGTTCCGTCTGTGCCTAGCCCGCACGCACTGTAGCTGTAATGACACTGCAAACAGTTCAAAGTTCCACATGCCGTTAGGGTTTAACTGATTTTGTCTCTTCTCTCTGGACATCCGTTATCCATGTGACAGCCACTGTTGAGAAATCAAATACCTGATACAGTAATTCTCCTAGAGCTGTGAGTTGATCATCCGACGTTGTAGAAGTAAGCAATGCTTTGAAGTTCTGTGATAGGAAAATGATTTCGGGGTTAAAAAACAGTAGACTGTAGTGTCAGAAATTTCTCACAAATGTATGGGAAAATGTTAGAGCCAGCTAATAACAGACCTTCACTCGGAAATTCTCATAGATGGGATGTTTAGCCGGCGCTCTAACCACATATTTCCGGTTTGTATCAATCGATGTAACGGGATCGCTGTGATCAATGTACCTATTCAGGAATTCCTGACCCAGCAGTGTCTCAGGAAGCATCTTTGCATATAGGGCTTCATATCTGAAGAGTTAAGAAGGAGAAACCATATAAGGACTCCCCAGAATAATGAAAAGGCAATAGTTCTGTTCCCTGTCTTAAAATGCTAAGTAGTAAGGACAAATCTGTCCACAGACCTGTGTGGTGCCAAGTTGCACAAGTAATCTAATGATGCTTCAGCTTCTAGTAGTGCCACACCATCATCTTCCAGTTCATCATGGACGAAACCATTACTGAAGTCAGATGATTTAGACACCACGTCAGATGCTAAGGATTTTATGATCTTCCGACCCATGAAGGCTCCAATTCTCACAGATCCATAGTCCGCACCACCAACACTGCCAAAATAAGAGAAGCCAAGTTTTATTTCCATAGGAATATGAAGGCTGAATCAGGGATTGATTCCAAAATATCAAGTTAACATTGAGCATTTTCTACTCAATTAAGGTTTTAAGGGGGGATGGAACTACAGTATGAATACTGAATAGAAGGATTCAAAAACAAAGATAAAGCAAGGGGAGGAATTTGAGTGTTTGACACATATCTGATGGTAGTGAGCAAGACAAGTTACCTGTGACGTATCCCGGAATCAATGCCCCAGAAACGAATATGGTTAGGGATTTCAACTAGCCCAATTACCTCAGCAGGCTGCAACAACAAAAATGATTAGTTGTGCAGTCCAGATTCCAGAAAGCAAGCTCATGAAGGGGTTAACATACCTGGCAAACCATAGCCAGAAGCTTGTTAGCTTCACCACATGCTGAAGTCATCTGATCCATTACACCACAAGGGGCTCCAACGATGTGGTTCTCCACCTGTTAAAGGATTTTGAACCTAAATAACCCAGGGATAAATGACTCTGTGGAACAAGGATTTATGTGAATGCATAATAGTTACCTTTTGGCTGAGCAACGCAATATCTCTTGGGCTGATGCTCAATCCTGCAAATTTACAAGTTGAATTGTCTTAGTAATGCTCCTAAGTCTGTCAAACACTTGGGGAGTAATAACTAGAAGAAAAAAAACATATGCAAGCACTTCAGCCCAGAAAAAAATAACATGTACATGAAGACGATCAGAATAACAAAATTACCATGAGCAGCAGCAATAGCAGACATGCTTGCGACTTCCACAGAGGCTGAAGAAGACACACCTTTGCCTTCAGGGACAGCAGAAGAAACCTACAGATTGGTACATGGAAAACTTGCTTTTATGAATTTAATAATTAATGAAATGTACAACAGCAGATGAAACAATGAGTGTGTACTGTAGCCAAACGATTTTAAATCAAAATGTGACTCATTTGATCATTGAGTATTCCATAAGTCATTCCTTGTGGCGGAAACAGGAGTGAAAGTCATCAACTTATAGCCTATTAGAAGGGAGTTGTGGAGTGCTTCAGGCCACTCATCAGACTAACTTTCAGTGCGAATAACGAAGAAGCAAAAGCTTAGAATTAGACAATGTTGCAACTAAAAGTTACCACAGCGATACAAACATGAAAACAATCACCAAGTCAGAGCTTCGATTATACCAGCATGCTGATGCTATCTTCAAATCGCACACCTAGTTCTTTCATCAAAACCAAAATGGTCCCTGCAACATATGCTGCCCACCTGAAAAGGAACATGATGCATAAGATGTATAATCATAAACAAGCACCAAAAATACAAAAGAGCAACTCACTTTTGTGATGGATCTTGAGCAAAGTATTTCTTTGCCTTCTCATATGGTATTGGCTGCCCATCTTCAATGAAATCAGATAAATCCATGTCAAAAGTCGGGCCACGATTGCTTAACTCAGACCCATAAGACACCTGATAAAAGGAAGAAGCATAAGAGTGGTATTTAAAAGAGCATGTCTAAACTAATGTACTCCTATAATGAGTTCTTGTTTATCTTTGGTCTTCAGTTTGATTGGACAGTCTTCAGCATAAGTTAATAACAAGTCGAAGTTAGTCCACTGCTATGAAACTTCTCCTTTGGGTATGAAACAGCAAAACTGTTAGCCATTGCTCCTCAGAGGATTGTCTGAGGAAGGATGGCTTGAGAAACATAGAAGAGTAGAGCTTTAAGCCCCAACTTACAATCTGAAGAACAGGGGTAGGTTGTTGGCCCTTTGTATTTTGCCTTTCCTGGGCATGTTTCCAGAGCTTATGTTTGTTAGGATCATTCCTCTGCACGGCAACATGACAAGCTTCTCTTGTAGGCAACTGTAGGAACGAATAATCAGTAAAAGAATCAAGTCAGGAAAACCACTTGACAAGAAGCACCAGACACTAGGAATACAGTCAGCCAGAAGAACAAAAAGTTTACGCTTTCCTATCAAATAACCCTTGTTGGTAGAAGACTATGATAGTAATCCAATGCAAACGGAAATAATCCAATCATTCTAAAAGTTGCACCAGATAGTTGGCACCAAGAACAGCATGACAAAGTATATATGTGCATAGAGGCTAGAGAATGCACAAGTGTCAAATGCCCAACAAGAATACAATAACTAGGAGTATTTAAATATTTAGAAAGGTTAAACTGTGAACTAGAAATCCGACCTGTAATACAAGGCTTCCTGAATAGTCAGCTATGCCTCCCATCACATCCAACCTACCGGGCGCTCTAGCCACATAGATATCTTCCTGCTCCAAAAACAACGGAACAAAAACAAACGCTTGTTAATCCACTGAAAAAGAACTTCCAACCACCAACTTGTTCAAGTTTGACGTGCATGAGGGGATGAAAGAAATTGATCCTTTCATAGAGAAACAGTACAATATAGCCGACACTCCAGAAAGAGGTGAGATAACAGGAATGTAAGTATTATATGAAAACTGACCTCCCAATTGAAAAGTCCTGCAGCAGCTTTACGCTCCCGCATTTGACGCTTCTCTGAATTCTTTTCATATTCATTTATAGCATCTAGCTCTGCCATGCTCTTCAAGAAGCTCATTGTATCTGGCAGGCCTTGAAGGTCACCATGAAGAATTTCAAAATCTTCTATATATCTGAGCAAATGGAAGAAATATATATCAATTATGAACTGCATAAAGCTTAAATAAGTTATAAGGAAGTAGGCTAACTCACGAGCTCATTAGGTGTCCACCCTCAGCTGCTGACACAGTTGATGACCCTGTAGACTTACTAAGTTCATTTGCAGCATTTGCATACCATTCTGGGACGAGTATATCCCTTCCAGGGGCCCTTTGTAGTTGATATCCTAGAACTATTGCATCCCGTAATCTTCTTGCGCCACTCAACTACATAACCATGCGGGAAAATCACAGAACAGTACATAAAAAAATGTTGAAATGCTGGAAACAGACATTTTGAGTTCATGCATGGTGGTACATCTAGTTTGACATGCGAGAATGGGACAATAACCAGGTTATTTTGTGAAACGCACTAAAGAAGCCTTAATATAACATCAGTTTGAATGTATGCAAAAACGGATTATAGAACATAGCATAACACGAATATCATCTCCACATTTGCCTTCCAGAATAGTTCAATACTTGATGAGCATTTAACTACAAACTGGAATGAGTCACCACAGTCCAGTCAATATATCCCTTAGCACAACAGAGGTTCAAAAATTCAGAAAGCAATCAGAATCCTCCAGAATTTAATCATCACCCTCACCTGCCCACTACTCTCTCATTTCATAATCTTTTTCTCATGCTTGGGATAAATCAATAGGCTCTTAAATTTGTTCACAACTTGTTTGAAATGCATTGAAGGGACTGCTAATAAGATCAACTTTCATTTCAAAAATTAAGCCAGTCTGCAATGTACCTTATCCGAGGCATAGTTCTTCCCAATAGCTGTCTCTTGTATAATATGAGCTGCGACCTGCATGTTTTAGATGGTAAGTGTCACCAAGCAATCTATCCATGTCTGCATAAACTGTGTCTACTAATTTAATTCTAAGAACCTCAAATTTATTAAAACCTCTATGTTGTGCCTGTGTACCACTTGCAAAAGGAAAACGATGCAGAAACTGTCTACTAATTTCAGAATGGAAAAATAAATCAGATACCCCATCCTCTTCTTTGGGTCTACTTTTTCTCTAAAGACAGTTCTCAAATTTTGAACAGAGGCAGATAAAGTAGTAGTTTGATATATTATTTTGGCAAAGCAGAGGAAAAGAGCACAATACCTCACCACCATTAATCCCACCCTCATAACATGGTTTTAAGCTGATTGCACGTTCAAGGTAAGGTTTCCAGTGCCCAGTTAGTAAATCTCTTCGAATCATCTCGACACCACCTTGATAATACTGTTCACATAATTTGCTTGAATTAAAACCATACAAAGAACGGAGTACAAGAAGAAAAGATACAGAGGAAGCAATGAAAGGATAGACAGGATAATATTATGGAAACACAGAGAAACAAACCTCAAGCATATTCCGTAAGAATGGCTCTTCATTAAAATAATCTCTCCGTACAAACACAAATGGTAATTTGTACGCCAAGGCTTCACTAACAGTCCCATACCCAATCTTTCCTGAAATGGAAACATAATCACTGAGAAGTGAGAATCAAGATCACTTAATATAGTTCAGTAATCAAAGTATCTCATACATACCTAGCATGCAGTCTGATGCTGCCATAACATCAGGTGTGTAGGCATCTTTCGCTAGTTTTATGAAATTTGGTGGAAGCTCTTGAGTGTCAGATGCACCACACACCTAGCTCAACCAAGGGGAGAAAAGGCGTAGAAAGTGGCGTCAGTGAAGCATGCTCCCAGGATATATGAAACAAAATCCATTTATCACCTAGACAGAGCAAGAAAGTTACCAGGCACAACCAACCAGGGGGCAAAAACTCCTCCTTCAGCTTCCAGCCAGACGGCTGCAAATCAGCAAAAGTACTTTGAAGTTACAAACAATAACAGAACAAGGCAATTCAGGACAATTACATGTCTTGGGGGATAATTCTTCTGGGGTTGGTGCTAATCATGGGAGCAGAGAGGTAGTAAAATAGAAATCAACCAATCAATGTTGTATAATTTTAGTTTCCTCACCTGTCCACCAAAGTTAAGGATAACAACCTTCACATCTTCTTCAATGGCAAGTTCCTTTCTTATCTGTAACAAAACCACAAAAAATTATCTACATAAATCTTTAAATATAAGATGGAAGAAATTTATCATTGGGCATTGGCACAGTACGAACCTCTTTGCGGGACTTATGCAACCTCCTGACAACTAGGGGTACATCGATGACATCACGGAATGCTGGCACTGCAAAGAGGGACAACATGAAGTTAGCAAGTTTTACAACCAAAGATAACCTCTTCTAAGTCTTCAACTTGATGTTAAACAAGTAAACAAGAAGTAACATACTGGGGCAATATCCAGGGAGACGGATCAGGAACTCGCAATGAGAATAGTCCTCTGCAATCTACATGATAATGGTAAAGGACTAAATAGTTAACTTAAATTTCTGCCCCTGATATCACAGAGCAGAACGAACAGAAAACTCCAAAACGAAAGTTCAACATGCATACAGGGAAGGTTTACAAGGACTTCTATCAGCTAACATCAAAGTTGCAACATAGTTGGTCATGCTGTGAACACTGGGGATAATTCAATGGCCAAAATTTAGAATGAGTGATGCAATATACTAATGGCCTCGCCGAGTAAGCTGCCAAACAGTAAATCATAGCAGCAATCTCACGTAGGAAAAAGGAAACCACCTGCCAAACTATTGAACGGTGATGATTCCCAGCCGCCATTACATACTCTGCATATATGAAATCCCAACTGCAGCCATAGCAAAGCTTGAGCAAATTTTCAAAGTGTCGTCACCAAAGATTACAGAATGACAGGGTAAGAGTAGGATCGACAACTTCTGCATATACAGACTCATCATATGTCAGGATAAGTTCAACATGAAAAGTGATTTAAATCATGAAGAATTATTGCATATGACTTTCAAAAGCCACCAGGGAGTACTGCATATACATTAAAGACCCTAACACAATAACAGAACTGCATGTAACAGTGAAATACGAGTGCGACTCAGGGTGATTCAACTTCATAATCTATGACCAAAAGGGTTTGGCTTGCCAACACCATTCCTCACCCAGATAGGGAATTCAAAGAACTATCAATCTACCAAAAATAGTAAACAGTGACGACAACTACCTAAAGTTGGTGACACAAACGGATCGAATGCCAGCTTCAGCTGCAGCACGGCAAGCAACTGGAACAACATCTGAAACCTGCAGTACCATCCCAAACAAACATCAGGTACCCAATTTTACCTTATGCCAGAACTTCAACTATTCGAAGAACTCCTCGTCATATTAGTGGCTGCGCTAGAAGAAACAGTTGAGAGACCAGTATATAACGTACCACTAAGTCAGCTTTGATGCTATTGAGCCACTCTACCTCAGTTGCCAGAATGGATTCCCGGGGTATAACTGCCGTCTCCGAGTACTAAAATAACATTCAAAAGACACCAAAAGGGTCCAAACAAGAAGACTAAATAATCAAACAAGGGAACAAACAAGAAAGCATCATAAATCACACAATAAGGAACCCTTGCCCCCAATCGAATCAGCTAATAGACAAATCTATGTTGTGTGAAGTGAGTACCTTCTCCAAGGAAGCAAGCCGATCAACCGTCAATGCATCAGCTTGGACTGCACCGCAGTCCAGAAGTACCTGAAAAACTCAAAACTTCCAATTACTTCTTCCCCACACCACCCAAGTCGAAACTTCCAAAGCAGCAATCTTTCACAATAACAACAAAAGGGGAAACCAGGAAATAGTCATTACCTTGCGGATGAAGAGCCGGGGCGACTGTATCTCTGAAGTGAACACAAAATCAGGAGCACCCGTAACCACGTGGACGTCATGCCCAGCCAGAATCAGATTCCTTACCACCTGCCACACACACGCGCGCGCGAAACATGATCGATCGTCAATATTTTCCCAGACGATCACTAGCCAGTTACAAAGTGGGTTTTTTTTTTCTGGCAACAATACTTCGATACCCATAATTCTACCGTTAGCATAGCTCCAAAATCCAAACACTATCATTGATCAATCCGATCAGGAAACTCAACTAAGGAAACAAAACCATCCTGTATAATCGAGGGGAAAGATCGAGGGAGTGAAAGAGAAAAGATAAGGGTACCTCGACAACACGAGTGGCGTGGCCGAAGCCATGGCCGGTGACGTAGTAAGCGAAGACGAGGTGCTTCCTCGACGCCGAGACGCCTTCGCTCTCTTCTATCCGCATATCTTTCCTTTCCCTTCACGACTCTTTCCTTCTCAGCTCAACGCACCACGCCACACTCCTGCACGATAACGTGGGGAATGCAGGAAAACAGGAGGAAGAAGAGATTTTGACTGAAGGGGCGACGATGGGTCCTGAAAAGGGGAAGGAAAGGAGGGGACTTTAAATGTGGGGAAATTGAAGAACGGATAAGAAGGGTGACGAGGCATTTAGTACCGGAATTAGAAAGGATTTTGATTTGCAGAATCGGGGGAAAAAAAGATTATGTGCAAAGCGCAGGGGAGGAGGAGTTATCGGTTAGGTAATACGTACGGTGAAATCCATCTGGTTGTTGTGTGATCAGATGAACCGGAACTCTAACTCGTCCCTCCCAACTCGTGCCGTGCCTCTGTTTCGATGATAAATACAAGTTCTGTTACGATGATCCTTGGAAAGATTTCCCTCCGGAAAAACGATAACGATCCTTGGAAGACTAACATAGCAAAATTGCCCTGTGCAAGAGCCACAGTTTAATCAGAACAACTTTTCCTGCTATTCAAAACCAATTTCTCTTTCCACCCAATGATTCTGGCTTTGATCTCTTCTTTGATGAATGTAAAGACCACACCTTCTTTGATCAACCAATATAGTCAATAATTCAAGATACCTGTTGTGTTTTGATACTTTTAATCTTTTATACACGATTTTATGTTGATCTCCTCGAAGATTTGTCGTGTTTTATGTCTAAATGTTAGTTCCAGTTTAGGTTCAATCATTTGTTCCGATTCAACTTCATAATATGTAGAATTTTCTTCAATTTGTTTTAGTTTAGAGGCTTGTTCTAGCAATAAGATGCTATCGTCCATATAGAGGAGATGAGAAGTTATTGGAGCATTTTTCAGTATTGAAATCACATGAATATCCTCTTTTACGTTCAACTTCTTGTATCATAAAGGAAAGGCTTTCTGAACACACGATAGAAAGAGATACGTAGAGATTGGATCACCTTGGCTTAGCCATAGATTAAGAAAGACAGATTCTCTTTTGTGCTGTTCAACAAGATTGAATATGATACCGTTGAAAAACAACTCATATCTAGATTCATCCATTGCTACTCGATTCCCATTTTCCATCACCTTCATCAGGATGCACCATTCCACGCGGTCATATGCTTTAGCTTAAACCATATATAGTTTTGCTGCAAAGAAGCCTTCCCCGCTTATGTAAAACATTCAAAGACTACAATACCATTATCAAAGATCGATCTACTTGACACAAAAGCACTCTAAGAGATAATTAGCATTTGTTTATTTTTTTTAATATAATCACTCATTTTTCTCACAAATTGAAAAGGCTTGGACACAAATGTTTTTCACCTTAACAGAAACAAGTATTGCAAATCAAAAATTTTATGTAGTAGAACGATAAAGTTAGAGAAAATAAGAGGTAAATTGATATTTTTTACTCGAGGAAAGCTGTGACATGGAAATGAAGGTAAGTTGAGGGCTAATTCGTCATTGTTCTATGAAATCCGGAAAAGGGTTGCGCTTGCGCCGATACTCTGCCCAGATGTGCGTATATATACATCTCTTCTACTGCTACAAAGAGAAATCATCTTCTTCAAATCCTACGATGTTGAGCTTCAGGAATTAGGGTTTCATTGGTTCGCCGCATAGCGTCTACTCTTCTTTAGCTTCATCCCCCGCGATGTTTTTCTCTGTTTTCGTTGTTTTTTATCCTTTAGGTTTCGAGAAGATAGGTTGTTTTAAACGAAAACGGGGCTGAAGTTTAACTCTTTGGCTCATGTTTTAATGCCATAGAGTTGAATACAGCTACCCAATATCGAGCTCAATCGTTTCTCCCTTTTTCTTCTCAGTCTGATTTCTGGGTTGATATCTTGGGGATGGAAGGGTTGATACATCTCCTTCCATTGCCTATCTCTGTTTTTTTTTTCTTCCTTTCTTTGTCTGTGTTTGCATTCGAGTGGTAATTCAGGCAGCCTCTTAGCCAATGAACAGATGGCTAAGAAGGTGTTTAACTGCTCGTAAATTAATGTCTTTTGACTCTTCAGACTTGCTGAGAATTCTCCCTATGAAGCTGGTCTAGTAAGCTTAAGCACATCCCAAATTCGTGGACTAAAGAGTCTAGGGTTTCCCTCCTCTGTTTCACTGTTGTAGATCTGATCTGGTTAAACATCTCAAAGGGAAGAACTGAATTTGGCAGCACAGACTGGTTCCATGGTGTAGTGGTGAGCACTCTGGACTTTGAATCCAGCGACCTGGGTTCGAATCCCGGTGGGACCTATCGAATCTTTTTTCGAGACAACTTGAGATTTAGGTAAATTCAATTTTGGCCAAACCATGATAGGACTGAAACAAATCATGACAAAACTGTATGATAAATGGGTTGGAAACTTGGAACCCATAGGCATCAGGCGAATACAGAGATTTCCAATTACAGAACATTACTCTATACTTCACCTGAATTTACTATCATGATGGCACAATGTTCCTAAGGTTTGAGCTACCAAATGGTTTCTCCTTGGTTAAAAGCTCTAGTTACTGCAAGTGCATTCACAAAATACTCCAATATGTATAATCCATGACATTTTTCACCAAGTAATCGGAGTATGTATGGTTTGGATCACTCCTGGTAGCATCATCCACTGTTGCTGCTGCTGCTGCTGCTGCTGCTGCTGCTGAGGTTGCCATTGGAATTGGGACTCTTTTCGTTCTGTTTTCCCACCAACCCCAACATCTCTCACTGTACCATTGTAGCTCGCCGGGGTTTCATCTGTATCCATCATGTCAGTATCTTCTGCCTCCATGGCTTCTCCATCTGCTACATTGCTCATGAATAGTTGGGGAGCAACCCACGGAATAACAGCCATGCTGTTGTTGGATATGTTGACATTTTTCTCTGCTGCCAATTTCTCCTCAACAGATTCATCTTGCTTCCGAGTTCCTGGCCACCAGATACGATCTATATCAAACAGAAAGTGGCATGAGCTGAATTAGCTATATTGGTGATCATACATATGATACATTGACTCACACAAGCCACTAATCTGACATTCCACATTTGTGATTGTGCACCTACTTGATCCAGAAACTAATTCTCACAAAAAGACATAACCTTCGAACTCAGGAAATCACATCAAATTATCCTATACACGAGCTCATTTCAACATCAGTTGGTAACTCTTTATTTGGACACACTCTTCAGGATGGATGCAAATAGAAACTGGGTTATTCGTGCAGGATTATGGCCATATCACAGAGTATCAGAGACTTTAAACTATGAACATTTGAAGATCAATTCCTAAGGTATGGTTCTGGAATCTTTACTTAAGATGTTCTTGACCTAATTAGCAGCTACCAGTCCTTCATTGAATACTATCCATGTCCAAAACTTGTTTACTGCACCAAAATCAAGCTCGAAGGATCTTTGTTAAGCTAATCTAGTTTCTTCTCTAACAATCCTAGGGCTAAGCAATGTCACTTAGCCTGACAATCAACGAAACAAGCAGAACATGTAAAGCAGCAAGCGATCGGTGGCAATATAATACTTGCCTCTCAGCCCTGGAATCAAATTGGAATCCAGCACTATGGAAAACTCAGGGGAGCTTGGTGATCGTGGCAGCGTCGGGGGCTGATACAGCACAATTGCCTTCTCATCCGAATCACCGACCAAAGGAATTGCGTCACCAGCCACAGAAGCGGCCGTCTGGAGCACTTCATCGACTGCATTCTGCGGTCCCATCAGCTCTTCACCATGAAACCTAGGGTTCTCTTCCAGAGCCTGTAGCACATCTCCATCCTTTCCACACAGAACAAATAGGAACACAGCGACAATCGATTAAAAACGAAGTTCGTCGGACGGGCGGATTACTCTACGAATTTCAATTACACTTGAAGAGGAGACTAACAAGAGGATACGAGAGCGCACCAGTCTTCTGGACTTTGCGGGGTGAGAGTTGAAAGGAGAAGAGAAATCTTCCTCCTGAAACTCCTTGCGCTTCATTGGCGACGACTACTGTCGAACACTTGGAGCTGAAGGGCTTAAGTAAAAAAAGAACCCTAAATGCTCTGATGGTGCCTCGGATTCCCAAAATTGATCACCGGAAAGGCTACCGACGCCGGCAATCAGGCCTCAATACCTCCGATACGTTCAGGATTCTTCGCCTGCACGAATAAATCAGCCGTTCTCCTTCTCGGTGGTCGGTATTCCTATTTCGCTCTGTATCTTCTGGTAGTTTCTTGTATCCTTCCCGGGGTTTTCCTTTTTCCCGAACCCCACCTAACTTTAGAGATATTAAGGCCGGGTGGACCAACGACCGGTTCATTAAAATACTAGGTCGGACCGGGACATCGAACCTTAAAAACCAGGCCGAGTATCTAATGGGCCTTGATATCGAGCTAAACTGGGCCTTAATTCCAACGCCGTTTACGTCTAACGATTAGTGACGGCGAATCGCCGTCTGCTAGAGTTCAGGCCTCTCCGACTCGCGTCTAAACTCTCAACTATCAACTCCCAGTCTCTCACAGACCATCTGTGCTCGGCGGCCGGCGGTGGTGCTCAATTCTTGGGGAATGGCGACGTCGTCATCCATCTTCAGATTTGAAGTTCATGCCTGCCGCGGCGACTCTCAATCCCTTCCAGGTGAGGATTCTCGCTTTCCGTATTCTTCCCCGAATTCTGAACTGAAACTCTGGTATGTGTGGGGTTTCCCCGTTTCCATCTTTCTCAGGTAGAAAATGTAAATACGCCGGCCAATCAGTGGTAAAGGAGAAAAGATAAACACTCATTTCCTCGTTGAAATTCTCGATGTCCGACTGCGCCGCGACTCATTATCCCTTGTTTGCGATTGGCGGCAGAGAGCTCTACCGGTGCGAATCATCACAGTGGGGAAGAAGAGGAATTCCGGCGTGCAGTTGCTAGTAGATGAGTACGTCGGCAAGCTCAAACACTATTGCACCGTGGCTGACGTTCAAATCCGCTCCAACCCCAGGAATGCGCGGTACTACCCCTCGTATTTCATAATCAGTTTTGGTGTGCAGTCGATTCTTACGAACTTTCTGTTGCTAAATCGTCCATGGGTGCATGCAATTTCAGCGATACGAGGGCTCAGGTTGAAGACGAAGATATGGCGGTGATGAACATTATCAACTCTGATGATTGGGTATGTACTGAATTTCCTCCATAGTTGATTGCTCTAATCTTGATTTTTATACTCCACCACAACGCCAATAAAAGTTCGAATTTACATTCTTATCTATATAGGTAGTGGTGTTGGATGAGCGTGGAAAGGATCTTGATTCAGAGCAGATGGCTGAGTTGGTTGGAGATGCAGGCAATAGTGTACAAATTCACTCTTATCCAACTAGTGCCTCTGAGTTATGCTGTTGTTGATTTTTCCCCAGTTATGTCATTCTGGTTTTCTACTTGTAGGGAGCTTCGAGGTTGTCATTCTGCGTCGGTGGACCATACGGTCATGGGCAAGCATTGAGGAAACGGGCTGATGTAACAATCAAACTGTCATCAATGGTTTTGAATCATCAGATTGCATTGCTTGTGCTAGTAGAGCAACTTTACCGGTGAGCCTCTCTTCATCATTGTGCTATGTAAACGATGCCTACAGTTTAGTCATGGATCACACTTGAAGCTCGAGACGAGTTATGTAGCTTGTCCTGGCCGACTCGGGAATTCGTAAATGGAATTCTGTTATATTCTAATGCAACAGGTAGTGGAAATGTCCCTTTTGTTGTAGTATATAACATGGTTGGAAGACTATAGGAAAGAATGCTTAGTAATCACCTAATTCAACCTTTCCTATTCCCACATTACTGTTGCCTTTAGAAGCAGACAACCTGGTTTGGAAGTTACATGCATATTGTTGCATGTGAGTGTTGCTTGATGAACATGAAAAACACAGAAAATAGCGTTAAGAGGTGCCGTGAGGCTAAATGATGTGTTTGCTTGTATTATGTTTCTCTTGTTCGGAACCCCAGTGTCTAGCTCTAGATTGCTTCATAATGAAATGTGCACAGAGAGAATGCTCCCTCAATCTGGATAGTCATTCAACTGTGAAGCACATGTGGCATGTGCGTTACTTAGGATTGAGTTCTTTGTCTATGTCACTCTAACTCAACGGGTTGTCGATTCACTGTTCCTCCCCGGATGATTGGCCAGCATCTGATTACTGTGTGCAGCAGACTAGCAGCAGCTCTACATTCCTGGTGTAGTAAAGCCTAATAAAAGCTCTCCTTTTGTTTGAATTTGTAGGTCATGGACCATTCTGAAGGGACAAAAATATCACCACTAAAAGAGTTGAACATTGCAGCCTCAAATGCTGATGATGAGGTCTGATCCGTCTGAACCCGTACAAGATTTGCTTGGTGTATGATGGTATGGAAGATCAAAGTTAATGGTTATGAAAATGCTTGCACAATATGGCCATGGTATCATTTCTCTTGGCAGAGCTATTCGTTACAAACAGATACAATCAGTAACTACTGCTGGTCACAGAACACTAATCTACCACCTTTCATGCACAAGCCTTGCTCCCCAACCGAATTAACCAACTTCCCATACCCATACCTCAACGGCATTCTCCCCAGAACCTTATGAAACCGTGTTATGCACTCTCCTCTCCTCTTCCTATGCTCCACTCCCCTACTACTCAACCCCACCTTCCTCACCATACTCCGAGCCTCGCCCTCTTTCAATCCCCACGACCATCTTCCATCAATACTGCTCGCATCATTACGAGCATCTCCCCAGTCCCTCACCTTCTGCGCACCCACCAGCAAAGGAGCCGCATTTGTCCTGTCAGCCACCACGAAGTTCATCAGTATGTCCTCGCAGTTGCGCATTTCGTCGACGATCCTCCTCATCCGGTGCATTGCCTCCCCGCCGCTGCAGCTGTAGTCGAACAAGTACCGTCGGTCGAGAATCATGAACTTGGTCAGCACGATCGAGTACCTTTCCGGGTGCACGGTGTAGATCCACTTCTTCGTCGACAGATCAATGTCGTGCGACCTGACGAAGAATCCGATCAAGTGGTCCTGGTTCGATTTCCATGTCCGGAACGCGAACTCGAACGACTTGGCGTCCACCTCCACATCGTCGTCGATGATCAGCACGGCTCGAGTGTTGATTGAGGGCAAGGGGAGGAAGCGGGAATTCAGGCTGTCTGAATGTTGGCGGTGGAGGGAGATGGTGGATGGGCCGAAGGAGGAGACGGTGAGGTTGTGGGCTAATTGGGCCAGAGTTTGGGCCGATGTGGCCGGGTTTCCCCAGAGGACGACGACGGTTGAGACCAGCGGAGAGGCGGAGTACGTGGCGGCGATCTGCTGGAGGAGTGGAATGCGGAACTCAGAGTAGCCGTTGATCAGCACGGTGATTTGATCCGCCCGGAGAGTTCGCCGCTCCGGCTGATTCGCCGCATCGCAGGGATCTGTCGGGAGAGTGCTCCTCGAGAAAACCGGCAATATCGCCGACGACGATAGGAGGAAGAAGCAAACTGAGAAGGAGAGAAATGCTGGGATCATGCTCCTCCTCCTTGAATCGCCGTGGGATTTCTAACTGAGCGAAGGAATTCTCCGGCGGGAAGCTGAGTTGAGAAATCGTTTCGTATATAATGAGCTTAGAATTTCGTTCTGCTGATATGAAGAAGATTTAGTGGACGGTGGTCGGTGAAGGGCGGCGGAGCAGAACAGTACTTTTCAGAAATTTTTCCTTTTAAAAAGGATAGCGAGAAAAAAGTAAAACCTGCGGGGATGTTTGCGTAATTAGAAGAAAGGACAGGGGCTGTTTTGCAAATTATCCTTTCATGGACACGGGTTATCGGATAATGGGTGGCGGACTGGCGGGAGGGAGAACTAACTGAAGGTAGCTAACGGAAAGAGCGATGGCGCTGGCAATTTTAGCTCCGGCGACGGCGAGTGTGAATTGCTGGAGTAGAGAGAAGTTTTCGTCGTTTCCGTTGAGTAGAAGCTGGGGAAAGCAATTTTTGAAGCCTGTAAATTGCGCTTCTTCTTCTTCCTCTGCTTCTGTTGAGCAAGTCCAAGAACAACAACAGAAGCAGGTAACTGGTTTCCTTCATCGTTACCCAATTTCTGTCATTTGGAGAAGAAGAAGCTGTTTCCTCATGAGATAAGTGGGTTTATTGAAGGTTGATTCAGGGATAATGTGCGAACCTTGCAATGGCCAAGGATGGCTAGTTTGTGATTTCTGCAAAGGGCAGAAAACCAATGTGAAGGCCGAAAACAAACGGGTCTATCGCCGATGTCCATCTTGCAAAGCTGTAAGTAAAACGTAAAGGCAATTGAATTCTTAGCTCTGAATTTCTGTCATGCCTACTTTTCTTGTTCATGGTCAATGAATGGTGTTTGCTTAAATGGTAATGCAGGTTGGATACCTCTTGTGTTCAAAGTGCAAAGTGTTCAAGTGTGTTACATTCCCAAATTACAGTGACGGGGAGGAGCTATCCTTCTAATCAACCACCCTCCCCTCTATTGCCATGGCCAAGTATGATCCTTGTGAGTGATGGAATGATGCAAAATACTGTTTAATTTATTGAGGTTTCTAGGAATCTTGATTTGAAGATTGCTGTCATTTTCCTCATCTGTCCATATTGTTATTGATGTAAATTGAATTCAACGACGAATCAAGAATTCAATTGTTTCTTATTTGATTGTGAAAGACGTCTCATTTTTCCGGCTGTCAATCATGTTCATAGCTTCTCAGAACTGCAGTTCTTCCTTATGTTTGCATAGTTATATCAAGCAATGTCCTGACACACTCTGAAAAAATACCAACTCGTCATAACCAAGTGGTTGAAGTAGCTGAAGGACAATTATGCATTGTTATATCTAGCATAACCACTCTCATCTGCCAATAATATGCTTCTAAAATGTGATACAGTTGTCTCAATTTCCATGATAGGCCCATGTCCGGTTGAATTGGACGAGATTGTTGGCACGTTCAGTTAGCAGAGTAAACCATTTTTCTTAGATTGCCTTGTTATACATTGATTGGCATGTGCTACCTTATCTGCACATCTCATTGATTCGAACTACGGCTAACCTTAATACCTAACTTGTACACTACTCTGATGACGGGGGACCTCGGCGCATACATCTGAGGCTACTGCCGGCCCCTTAAATGCCCGGTTAACTCATGGGAGCTGACGATTTGGGGTTACAGTCCTGTTTGTCGGAAACCACGAAGGCGAAGGGATTTTCGGCTAATGTGTGTGCTATAACAGTGATCAATTTAATGCTTTAAAAGAGTATAATCTATGCGCATGTAATGTACAAGAAGCAGTTTAACCTTCAGTTTGAGGCTTCTGTTTGTCTATGTTGTCCTTCCACAGTTGCACGGGACCTCACAGGATTATGTAAGGAATTACTTTGGTGATTGCACTTAGTAAATTTCACAGCTGTACTTTCTGGCTTGTTGTAGCATCTCATCTGCAAACTAGCACCACCTACCTTGGACTTTGATTAAAGAAGTGGCATATTCATCGAAAAACCAAAGTACTCAGCTGGTTGGTTAATTCAACACGCTTTGGTGCTATTTTTCCTCTGTTTATTTTCTTCATGCTTGCAGTTGCTTAGCTTTTACTTATCAATGACTAACTTTTGCCTGCTTTATTGGCCAATCTTTTACCTTAATCAAGGTGGTGGGGCCGCTAGTTGAATAATTCGTTAGTGAATTAGTTACAGACTGACTTTTTGGGCTGCAGACTTCAGAGTCTATTTGAACCCCTTTTACATTTTTCTTCAGGGGTTCTCTGTAGCTCAGCTGCATTGCATTATAATGATAGCTGGTGACATTAACTGATTAAGCCGATTTATGCGTGTATTCTTTATGCAGGACCATGCTAATGTTCTCTGTATCGTTCCAATTTCATCGAATGTCCCAAAAGAGACCTATGTATGAATCATTTGACTCTACTTTCCCCCGCCCTTGTCGTTATGCCATTGACCGACGAGGATGTTGATCTAATGATCACTAAACAATATGAAATATGCTAATATTTTGGATTTTGGTAAACAAAGGCCAATTGAATTTGTCTCCATTAGCTGTTACTCCATTCTATATCAGAAGTTGGTATGTACAGCTCTGGCATGAATTTAGTTATCTGTGGGCTGTGGCTGCAAGTCTACTTTATCGTAATCATATATTATTAGGCTAATAACTAATGTCCCATTTGGCATGATGATTGATTTAGGGTTGAGGCATCGAGATTTGTCAGGAGAAAATGGTGTATTGAAAATGATAACATGTGAGTTCCCCTTTTTTAATGGATCTCATCACCATTTCCCTTTGTAGTACAAGTCTAATTATCACTATTATTATTTTTCTTCATGCCCAAGAAGAAAGTCATATGGAGTCCTACAGACTTCTTTCTTTCTTTCATTTGGGGCCAATCATGGTGAAGACCTTGAGAGGGATTCGGCGTGTCATTTCGTGGTCTCTCCCTCCCACCCCATGTGATTATACATGTGAATGCTCTGCAAATGGATGATTATTCTAGGCACGAGCTTGATTTGTGCACTAAGCTAGTTTAGCTGCTGTAATTATGCATCTTGCTGCTGTACAGGTTTCCGTATTCAAATTGCATTGGATGCTGTACTGTACTCCCACTTATCATCGGTACCAATGGTTGACCACCTCAAAATAAGAAATGTTTGTGATCCAAGTGCAGTAACGTGTGTTTTTCACAACAATCCGTACCCTAAAAGAATTCCAGAACTTTGGTTCAAATTTTGCAGAACTGGGCGGTCGCTGGATGGATCGCACGTCCTGCAGTTCATAGCCGTTATACGATTTTCATGTATGCATCCAACGGTTGTAATCACAGGGCGTAATGACATCCTTACTACTCCACCAACGGAATCGAAACTTGCGAACCCTGTGGTTTAATATGGTTGGTTATGTGGAATTAGATCTCAATGTCATGTAGCATTTTGGTTGTTCTTGCTGCATTTACCCCATCTCCCAAGTATCAGATTGAAACTGTCTGGAACTGCATAAAGTCGGTTTATTATGAAGATGTCGGTGGCACGGAATTTCTGATGAAGAGTGATTTAACAATTGGGAGGTGGGTTTTCCCTAGGTTTTCAGGGTTCTCAACTTGGCAGTCTGAAAAATCTAGTCAGGTTGTTGAATGCTAGAAAGTAGGAATCTTTTGATGGATTACCTTGGTTCAGATTTTACCCTCTATTGAATAGAAAATGCTTAGTTTTTTTACAGGATGGCTTGGCTCGAGCACAAGGTAGCGGTGGAGGATGTTATCATTCGTACATTACCATCAGCCTGAAACGAAGTTACTTGGAGAGTCTTGCATGTTTGTTTGGTGACCTCCCCTGAGTCTCTGATATATCATATTAGCCATAACAACCAGTAATAGAGCAGAAACCGATATGTGAATAACAACAGATGGATGTATTATCTGGGTTGTTGTTTCTGCAGATTTTTCAGAAACAGTAATCTCTTACAAGGACATCTCACCCTCTCCTCCTAAAACATTGAAGAATCAAAGTTATTGAACTACCTCCCGCAGGATCTCTCTCTCTCTCTCTCTACCTATTACATAACCTCATCCAACAAGAAGAAAAAAGTGGAAGGGTCACACAAGAAAAGTGGAAGAAGAAGAAGAAGAATGACAGTGCATTAACAGCAAATCATCTGCACATAGGGCTCTGAGGGTGATGAACAGGAGTACTACATTGCTGCCCCGGCAATGAACAGTAGCCATACCCTGCTCCTGCTGCTGCTGCACCATCTTCAAAGTCGAACCTGCAATCCTGCTGCTGCTGCATGAAGCAGAGAGCACCATCCTTCTTCTCCTCAACAATCTTCACCACGCTCTCGAACACCTGAACCTCGCAAGGGATCCTCAGGACGCCAGCCTGCTGGAAACCGAACTCCTCCTCGGCCTCCCTGAGCAGGATGTGGAATGCAGGGTGGCTCAGGTACTCCGTCGGGATGGTGAACCGCTTCTGCTCCAGCCCGACGCTGATCGCCAGGTAACCCTTTGGCACCGTGCCATTGTCGCTGCTAGCATTGCTGCTGCTGCTCTCTGACAGTGACAGAGTCCTCTTCAGAAACTTTATGCTCTTGCTGCCGCCGCCGCTGCTGTTGTTGTTGTTGGTGGTGGCAGTCCCGGTTGTAGTGGAACAGGTGGTGGCGGTGTTGGTGGGGGGCTTGGATGAGTTGGCTGCCTTTCTCCATTTCTTGAGGATTTGTTGCAGCCTGACGATTTCTGTGATCTTGTTGGACTTCTTGCACTCCATTTTTTCTTCAGGTTGGTGAAGAAGAAGAAGAAGGCTTGCTGGTGGGGGGAAAGGGAGCTGCTTTCTTTCTTTTTTTTAGGGCTTGGTGCAACAACGGGAGATGTGAACTTATAGGCATGGAGGAGGGGCTCAGAATTCTAATTTGTTTCTTTTTTTTTAAAATCTCATGGATAGTAAATATTTTTTGATACCATCTGTATAGCTTCATTATAATATACTGGCTTGAAGAAGTCATCACCCACTGCCAGAGAGGAGGCTGGCTGTAGGGTTGGTTTTTTTTATTTGGTGAAGAAAACCTGGGGAGGGTGAAGGAACTAATAAACAACAATCTCTGAAAAGTATACCGGGTACGACGTGGATTGGTATTATGTATTTTCGGGTTCAATTTTTGCCGTCCTTAAGTAAAACTATGAAGTTTGTATCGCCGACTGTTGTAAATTTGTTGAATATTCATGTAATCGGAGTAGCATATGTAACTATCAATTCACACGTATCAATGGTGATCCTGTTATAAAAAATTAAAAATCCATGGTATGCAGAAAATCAATGAATTCAGGGGGGTTAGGGTTTTTGATTGCTGGTTCCCAAGGACATGGAGCAGTGGTGGATAGGGTTGTTTTTCACTCCTTTTCTGAAACTTTTTTCCAGGTGCAGAAATGAAAGGCAGGCCTAGCAGTGGCACTCATCATGAGTCATAACCTATGAGGTGGTGAGGAATTTATTAAATTACATTAATCATTCATGGGAAATGAGGAATTGCAGTTTGCAGTTTTTTCAGTTCTTTCCTTTGTTTTGGGCACCGAAAAGAGTTGCATTATTTACGAGCAAATCCAGTAATAAGTTTATTTTAATTTGTTTTACCAACTCTCGCAACGACTAGCTAGCATTCCGATGCTCAAAGGTGTACTTAAAAGGTACATTTGTTCAGAAGGGGAAGGCAACTTTGGGTTATGGTGCTCGTAAGATATTTGTGAGAATGTGCTCGTAAATAGTTGAATTGTGCGCATTAGATGCTACGTTGTCGTTGAACAAGTGTGGTGATATTTTATTCATAAAATTGTGAATCCGACAACCGTTAACCCGTAATTCTCACAAATTGTAGTGAACATTTTAGGGAAATCCAAGGGAACGAGTTTGTGAAGAAAATTAGCGGGTATGGTCCTAATAATTATTGAAAATGTCTTACCAAGATGATTAAATAATTGTGGTGGGATTCTCAAGCTATGTAAATAATTTTAGATGGTATTGTATTTTGAGGAATATTCTTCTCCCCTATAGATGCACCGTCACATGTAATTACTTTGATTGTAATTATAAATACTTGCTTAGAAAAGACAAATGCAATGAAGTACGTTCAACATTCAATGCTGTTAGAGCTACCTGTTTTCCTGATCCTGCATGCCTAATTGATTATGATTTCACAAGAACCAAATCCGCATTTACATTAAGAATTTCAACCTTCTACTTATAATACATTCATCCGTCGAGTATGTTGATATTGTAAAGAATGTGTATCCACGATAGTTAGACTTTGTTCTCCATCATCTATCTAGTGGATTCGTATATAAATTTTACATACTATCAACCAATTACACTAGAAACAGTCATTGTGCACCTTAGTCATTTACTCATTTTAGTGATAGATTGTTGTGTTGATGGATTTAAAAATGTGAGTGAAGAAAATCAACAAATTCATAGACTGTTTTGTAATTTCAAATTCATTGTCTATTTGACACTTTTTTGCCATGCATTTTTAAAAGTTATCCACTATTTCATAAATTATTTATTTTAAAATATACACCATCTTAACTAGGAAAAAATTGACATAATCAACTCGTTTGGGTATTACATGGACAAAGAGAATAGCTGACGGGCATAGATCTTTCTTATACTCTAATAATTTAATGTCGCTACAACTAAGCCTGATTTTCGAATTCTCGAAAATATTGACTTTGTTCATTTTAATTTTCACACGAAATCGAGTAGCTTTACACCAATTTATGCATCGAGCTAATCTCAAATACACCCAACACGAATTAGTGTGGATATGAAACTAACCCATGTGGCACATTATCATAAACTTCTAATTGTACCTTCAAAATTGTGATTAACAATCCACTAATCCAACCCCCCCGCCCCTCAAAAATTAAAGGGCGAAATGAAGGAGAGAAGCTCCGGCTCCGTACTCTTCCTAGATTCCCTTTTAATGGCTTCCGCAGCTTTCTCTTCTTTCTTTCTTCGGCCTCTGACGAAGGAAAGGAAGGGTACCTTAAATTTCAAGGAACTGACAATTTAGAAAAGGCCAGACCCATGTGAGACCGTTACCATCGCCTTCTTTCTCTCGTGACCTTCTTCTTCTCATCCTTTAATGGTGTTTTCGTTCCCAATCTCCAGAAAATAGTTTATTATGTTAATTATCAGGCCGGTGCCAGTCAAATCCCACTTGCAGAATTTAAACGGCTTCGATTCTTTGAATGTCAGTCAGCATACATGGCATGGGAAATAAATAACCGGTTCGCAACGAAAATTTGATTTTGGGAGAAAATTGGATCGATGTGATATTGAGGTGGGTATCCTTCAGTTTCAATCAAGGTTATCAACTCGCATAGGGATGGCAATTTTGCCCATACCCATGGGTATTTTACTATCCAACCCAATTGGGTTGGGTATGAAATCTAAATATATGGATATGGGTGAAGTTTGATGGGTTTGTACCCATACCCATTTACTTTGGGTTGGGTTGGGTTTATAACAAATGGATTTGGGTTTGTACCCATGCCCAAATACAAATTACAGTTTGGTACATAAACTTAATAGATATGCATTATAGTACCTAAATTTAATTTTTTTTGCATATAAGTCCTCAAAATATCGATGGAAAATTACGTTTTGGTACCTAAATTTTTTTGGTCTTACATTTTGGTACCTAAAATTTTCAAGTTTTACAAATAAGTCCAATTTTTGCATGTGTAGTTAAAACACCCTCAAGTAAATGGATATCCATATTCAACCCATACCCATTTAGATAATATCCATATCTAACCCAAACCCATATTCAAACCCCAAACCCATACACACATCACCCAAATCCTACCCATAATAAATGGGTCTACTTGGGTTTGGGCAAAATTACCCATGGGTGGGTAAATTGCCATCCCTAAACTCGTAGGTTGACTCGGACTCGGTTGAGCTAGTGGGTCAAGGGTTAATGGGTCATCCGTTTTGGCTCGGTTTAGCCCGGAAATATGGAAGTAGTCATTATATTGTGCTTATCCAGATAAATTATATCAAATTTCATCTAACATATGAGTTATAACATAAAATCTTCCACCAAAACATATAGTGAAAATTCACACACACTTATAGAACATCAATATTCAAATGTTCAACTTAGGATTCCAAAGATTGAGTTAGGCGAAAAGAAAAATCGGAAAATAGGCGCATTTCGCAAACCAAAGAAAAAAATGACACAATTTGACCTCCAAGATAAAGCAGTGGCTTTATTTATTTTTTCTTTTTTCCAATAGCTAACTTGCATTACCAAGATAAAGATAGAATGTTTACAGCACAGAACTCGCCCATAAGCGAAAATCAAACCCCAAAATAACGATAGGACACAATGAAAAGGCTTTCCTAGCCACCAAATGGGTCACCCAATTGCTACGCCTACCTATTTATCGAATTGCGAAACCAAACATCTGCCATTTCCAACCATTAATCTCCTGGAGAATTGCACTGCCTCTATCATCCATCATATCACCACGATGAATCTGATTCACAATGACATGCGCATCCCCAAGTAACTCTACACCATGAATATCATGCATTGCACACCATCGAATAGCATCCCTGAACGCTAGGAGTTCCACCAGGTAAGGATCCACCATACCCTCATGTCGAAAGTCCAGCGCAAAAACAATTGAACCTGCACTATCCACTATCACCACTCCCGCCGCACCATGAGACTCGGCACACACAACACCATCTACAAAACACCTGAAAGGAGAAGAAGGCAGGACCGGCGAGGCTAGCATCTGGGAAGGAGGGTTGCGAACTTGAATCCCATCGTTCACACTCCGCCATTTCTGAACCTGCAAAGTGTATTGGCGCAAAAGAACTGAGATTGTATATTGGATGCCATCAAAAGCAACCCAGTTGCGGGACTTCCATATTCGCCAAAGGAGGGAAACAAAAGCCATGATTAAGTCCGGAGCAGCATTCTGCTCAAACCATCGACGCAGAACACATGACAATGTTGAACTCCGGTACTCCTATCCTTGACTGCATTAAACCCGAACCTTCTCACAGCTCTCGAGCCACACGACAGTGGAGGAACAAGTGCTCAATGGATTCACATTCATAACAGCACACCGAACATTGCGAGGGTACAACACATCCCTTCCCCCGCATCGCTTCCATCGTCGGCAACACACGGCGCATAACTTGCCACATGAAAACCTTGAGTTTTGGATGAATATCGAAGCCCCAAACCCTTTTCCAAAATGCAACAGTGGCTTTAATGTGAGTTTGGTATGTTAAACATCCGCATCAAAATCACCCAAATGTATATATTCTGCAAGTATGCTACAGACCTCTACCCTTTATCATTTTGGTCATTCCTATCGCTCAACAATTATATTTATATCTCTGAATGAAATTATTCATCGCTATCCTTCTACTCTCCAAATGATAGTTTAAAAAATTCAATTTATATTGAAAAATGTTAATAAACTTTTTACTATATACCAAAAACTCAAAACATGATTATAAAATATAAACAAGTGGAATTTCTCGAACAACCTATATGTGGATCTTGGTTTGTCTGTTTGTCATATTACAACCTCACAATCTTTAGATTAGGAGAAATTGGGCCCAAGAGAATTGTTGTTTTCTAGAAGCCCAAATTTACCTCTGCCAACGGAATGATCCAGGCCCAATAGGACTCCACTAACCCATTGGCCCATTCGCCCGAAGGGGGGCATAAACATAAACACACAAGCCTTTGGCTCTAGAGTGTCACCAAAGGACAAAGGTGCCCGCCTCGCCCACTACCTACCTAATTAGCTACCTTCATTTTATTTTATTGACAAATTTATTTTATTAATGAATACTCTTCTTCATAAAATTCTTGAGTACCACAAAATTTTCACCGTTGTTGTTCTTATTTCATAAATATTTATGTCTCCCCTTCCCTTCTTCACTCGTGTACGATGAAATTTGATTGATAACGTTTATTTCGTCGTCTTCATTGTACTTTAATGAAAAGAATTATACGCAATGACGAACAAGGGATTGGTCTAGTGGTAATACTACTAGCCTTGAACCTGGAGGTCTCAGGTTCGAATCCCTTCAGTAGTACCTAATTACAAAAAATAACCTATATCACCCTTATCTAAGAAAAGAATTATACGCAATGAAAAGTTCACTATCATATCTTGTATGACACAACACATGTTGTTACCTATTATGCAGAGGTCACAATAGGCAAGGTTCTTCAATGCATCATCACCAGCAATCCAAAGTATCCACCTCGTGATTTCAAAATTCAATCGAGCCCTCCACCACACTCGAGATCATCATTCACTTTCCCCCTCGTTTCCCGCCATCTATGTCACATGAACAACATGCTCTAAACCTGAACTCAAACGAAGAATACCACTCATAAATTTTCACCTAGAACATGCCATCGCGATAAACCACACAAATTCCCGTGATCCCCACTTCCCCTCCTTTTGTAACAACCAAAGTGATCCTCATCTCACATACTTGTGTGTCTGCCGACCTCATGGCCAACAAACTACACCAACCGAATACCAACCATACTAGAATCCGAATAAGACAACTCTTATCTCTCTCCCCCAAGCATTGACGTGAACGAATTGGAATACGAATCACTAGCTAGGAAGGTAAGGAAAAGGGAACAAATTTGGCTAAGTTGTTATAAGCTATAACCTATAGCATTGTCACGATCGAGTATCAGTTAGAGAATATGTTACAATTGTACGAAACCGCCAAACCTAATCCCCTCTTTTCTGTGTATTCTAAGAATCCCAGAATCACTACCCTCCAAAAAACCGCACATAATTATGGTATTGTGCGTGCTTAGGTGGAAGTAAGTGGAACACCTAAGATAACACAAATAATAATATCGCCAAAATCGTGTTCCTAGGCTTTGCTTGGCGGCTCCCCATTAGACTACAGTTTCTTGCCCTTAGGTCTTTTCCTCTCCTTTCCCCCCCCCCCCCCCCCCCATTATTTTCCCTCTTTGGTGGAACCTAAAGTAGGTAGGACGATGCCACCATGCATATTATTCCACCATACACTTCGAAAAATCTGAAAAATTATATAAAAAAAATGGAAAACCCAAAACCCGTTTACGCAATTTATTTTTTATTCATGTCGTAGATATACGTATCTAGAGATAAATGTTAGGTATATGAAGTACCATCCGGTACTTGTCAGATCAACAAAGTCCAAAAACCTCCAACTCTGCTGCAAACAAAGACCGCGCGTGTACGTCTTTTCATGTGCAGCGCTATCGCGGCATTATCAAGTGGACAATCTCTAAATTTACCGTTTTTTCGTCCGTTGAACGCGATTTCATCCTAATATTGTGATATCAATAATTTTTATCATGAATAATCCCTACGCGTAGATCTTTGATACCGTGACGGTGTAAACCCTCCTTTATTAAAACAAAAGGATGACATGTACTTATGTTGTTGTTGTGTTTTCTTCTTTTTAACTCATTAAGTACAAGCCAACCGCCAATTAAGCCCAAATAAAATACAATCTAATTATTCAAAATGTTACATATAATACATAACCACCACCGTTGGAATATAATCATGATTCCAGTACATTTTTTTCAAAAAAAAAAAAAAAAACTTGTGATAATCCACCATTATGTGTGCCCACCAGAAAAAAGATAAAAACTTTCTACACCAAATTACTCGAGTGATGACAGTGGTCGACGGCGGGTTTCTTCTTCTTCTTCCCGCCGGCGTCGGCCAACAAGAAGTCGAGGTTGTAGAGAATCGGCACCATGGCGACGGAGCAGAGGAACACGAGCACCGGGCCGAAGATCCAGAGAAGAAGCGGCAGCGCGGCGTAGAAGAGTCGATTACCTACCGTGTTGAGGACGAAACCCTTCTCCAGGAGGTCGCCGACGTACTCGGGAGTAATGACGCCGGCGGCGACGCCCCCTTCTTCGTCGTCGGCGGCGGGGTTTTGAGGCGAGTTGATGAGGAGGTTGACCTGGTTGACGAAGCGGATGGAGAGCGAGTGGCAGAAGAAGGAGAAGAGGAAGATGGTCAGGATGGTGACGTACTTCAGCGCAACCATGAAGTCACCGTGGGCCCCGAAAACGGAGTCGTTTAACGGCCGCTTCACGCTGTACGTGCTGCTGATGATCGCCGCCAGCCCCGCCGAGAGGAGGATCGACGTGGTCGCCATTAGGGTGGACCCCATGATCAGGTTCCTCAGCGTCTGCACCGCCAGTATGTTCTTCTTCTCGTTGTCCTGCACAAAACGTACGACAACACGTGCTGACATCATTGGAGTGTGCGCGCGCAGTTTAAAATATCGAATTTGAATAGTTACACGAAAGAAAAAAAGAGAGTAAAATCGAGGTAAATGAAAATGTCTCTCAGCAATGCTCTGTTGATTGTGTCTTTTTTTAAAAAAAATTCTGGCATGTATGTGCTCTGTTGATCCCAACAGAGCACAACAGCAGATTCTAGCTAGGAGAGAGAGAAAAAAACGACGACGACGTCGCGAGGGAAATGTTGATTCGGACTATATGTGCGTGTGTAGTGTACCTTCATCATGGCGGCGACCCAGCAGCGGCGGCCGGCGGCGTTGGTGCCGAGGGTGGTGGAGAAGGGCTGGGTGCGGACCTTGTGCCAGAGCCAGGCGTGGTAGCCGGCGATCACCATGAAGGCGAGCGGGACGAGGATCACATCGAGATCGCTTTCGCTCCACTTCATCATGGTGTGATGATGAAGATGGATGGATCAAACCCTAGCTAGCTACGATATAAACTGATTGTATCCCGATCGAGTTCTCTCGATCGTCGGGTTTGTTGCTTCTTGTTTTTGAGGGAGCTAGCTAGTTGTTTTTTTTTTTTGTCGCCTGGGAGAAGAGGGTGTTTTTGGTAGGGGGTGAGGGGACTCGTGTAAGTAAACTCTCTTTCTGTTGTGTGTTGTTGGGTTGGAGTTACTTGAGGGAATTTGTACAAACGAGTTTGGCACTGTGTTTATATATAGAGCGAGGAGAGAGAGAGAGAGAGAGAGAGAGAGAGAGAGAGAGAGTGGGCCTTAGCTCATGGTAGTGGCCATGAGGATCCATGCGCAGGGGCCCAGATAATGCATTTGGACTTGTTACAATTCCAACATTCATACCACTACAACACCAAAAAAAAAAAAAAAAGGCAACAGTTTCCTCTCTTTTTATTCCTTTGTTATTCTTTTTATTAACAGATGGGGTGGGAAAAAGAATGTTCATGAGATTTAGGGGCATCTGCAACTTGTGAGGAATCGGTTCTCGTGGATCATGGTATCAGAATTTTTCATCGAGAAGAATTGTATCTGAAGTTCGATGATTTTGAATGTTAGCTGTGAGGATCGGAGGTGGCTAAGATCCGTACTTGGATCTTTTCTAACATTTCGGATTATTGTAATAAGTTGGTTTATAACATGATATCAGAAATGATTTATTTCTAAGTTATGCGTGTGCAAATTCCCAGGACCCCTAATATTACTCGTTGTCTTAAAGCATATGTAAATTATATGAATTTATGTATGACATTAATAAATCATATGTAAATTATATGGATTTATTCAAACTTCAAGTTTATAAATCGACTCAATCAATTTGACACAATTTCTTTATATTTGAGTATGAAATCTTACTTTTTTTTCTTTTCCTTTCAATCACCTTATAAGCGTGTTAGTGTCTGTTTCCCTTTTTTTATCCTGACTTTTTCATCATGGTTTCTGCATTTATTTATAAGGCCCAATGAAACTATCATGCAACCCCAAAGCTTTCCCCCTTAACAACGTTGATTATTTAATTTGACGTATTGCTTATGACTTTTGGGAAATTTGTCTTTGTTTGCCACTTCATGTGCCATTTTCCTTTCAGTTTCTTGCTACTTTTGGATCTCCACAATAATTAATTAGTGTGTATAAAATTCCACAGCCACAATTAAAAGTATAATGATTTGTATATTTTGTTTACAAATGGCTTGTTTATCTTATGCAAGACTCAGTTGATCCCAATAATTCGAGTTGTTGAAAGAGATTCAATCGTGAATCATATACCATTCACTAACAGTGAGTTGATCAACGGGGCATGGCTAACTTTTAGGGAGCCAATTAAGAGCAACTATTATTTTTGTTTTGCCCTCCCATTTTGTCCATGTATGTTTTAATTAGTCACCTAACATAATCCATAGTTGCCCTACCGAGTTGTTTGTTTGTAGTGGCGGTAGCTGATAACCATGGAAAAAAGAAGAAATGTACGTGTGCTTAGTGGTGATCCGACTTGGATGCCATTTTTCAAAGCAAAAGGGTGGAGACACATACAACGTCAGGTGAACAAACATGAGATAGAGATAAAACCAAAGTCAAGTGCCCTCCTGTTTGGTAAAAGGCTCAGTTGTCCCATTTCCATGGTGGTGGAAACCGGCAGTGAAAATTCGACTACCCGCAATATCGCATTGCTGGTTTTAATGCTTGGTACAATGTAAACCACGAGCCCTCTTTCTTCCCCATTCGAAAAGTAAGTGTGCTTAAATGGATTATCATGCCCTAAACCATCCATGAATAGAACTATAATGGGTAAATTGATATCGATGTCATTGTCTGTCGACTGAAGTTATAGTCTAAGGAAATGAGAGCTAGTTTTTTTTTTTAATGATTGAGTGGGGAGAGGGGTTAAAGTAGCCCCCTCAAGGAGTTTTGATGAGAGGTGATCACTCGATCCCTCAAACGAAAGTCAGTTATCTCATAAGGGTTTTCGTTTGCACATGTCTGAATACATGATACCATGTGTTTCATAAATGGGATACCGGGATTCGAACACAAGACCTTTCGGTCACATAAGGCCCTGATACCATGTCAAGAACCAGTTGATCCCAATAACTCGAGTTGTTGGGAGAGGTTCAATCGTGAATCATATACCATTCTCTAACAATATAAGGACTAAAGTTTACTGAGCTAATAGGATTTTGACTAGATAGAGATTTTGAGTTTGTCTTGTAAGGATGTTACCTCGAGTTATTTGTCTATCTCGGTTATATTAGATTATTGTTTAATTTATAGGAACCTTTGGAAAACTGAGGTAGTTTGGCGATAAGGTTGAATTAGAGAAAGTGTCGGGTAATGTTAGACTATGTATATTATTATAAACGATTTCTGAGAGATGATTTTATAACTAACCAGAAAATTATTATCTTATAATATTTCTCTTTTATCTCTTTCACTAACAAGACCCTCCTCTCATCCTATTCAACTTAGGGTTGGGAAGCGGTGTAGTCCAGATTGGACCATACATACGGTTGGAACTTAATGATGTTTTTTCCCTAGTATTTCTTGAAGAGGGCGGCAATTACGAAATTTTAAGATGATTTTTGTTCTGAATTCATATTTTCACTACCCTATTCTCTTTAGATGACATCTAATTATTTCACATTAGCAAGTGTATAAAATAACGTATGTTGGATGGAGAAAGAAATTGAAACTTGGTTCGAGAAAGGAAAAAACTAAAAAGTATTTGATAAGGACCAAAAATGCAAAATTCATAATAGGAGAGTCTGTTTGAAGAGAGCGCATAGTTTAGGGGCTAAAGGGGTAACCCTCCACATTTCTAGGTTTCCCCTAACGAGGAGCATCGGCTCGGCTGTCTGTGGAGTTCAGATTTGGGCAAAAGCTAGACTGCTAGAGGCAAAGACCGTGCACCAGAGCCGTCCAGAGACGAGATCTAACCTCGACGAGTTGAGACCGTCGCGGAGAAAGTAGTAGCTTTGACAGTGTACTAAATCGAAGGCAGGGGAACCGTATCCTGATTCTTGGCTTGCTTGGTGTTGATCAAGTAAGAAACCTCTTCAATTTCAGTATCAAATTAGATCTTTATCAAATTCTATAGGCCAGTTATTCTCGCATTGCTCGTCGCACTTCATTGCTGGAAAGAGAAAATTGGAGAAGGGTTTTGCCTGTTCTGAGTCCTGACCGTAGCTTGATTGTCCTGAATTTAACCTCTCTGTCTAGGGTTTGGACTTCGGAGGATTGGTAAGTCTAAGAGCTTAGTTTGAAAGTTTTGTCGAATAAAAAAGCAGAAGTCTTTATCTGCAATTGAGCTTGTCTAGGGTTCTTAATGGCTTCGAATTTGATGGGTGTCTGTGGAAATGAATGTCCCTTTGTTCTGATACAATGGACTTGTGATGTTAACTCTATGCTTGAAAGGCTGCTGATGCCGTAGCTCGGTCATCATATTGTTACTTTGCTAAGGAAATGTCAGTTGAAGTTGGATAACATGGAGTTGGTTGATTGCCGCTGCAACAACAATGGTCTCGTAATGCTTCTTTTGCAGCTACTTTTGTGTGTTCAGTCCATTGATATTTGTGGCGTGCTTTCTGTTTCAGTTTCCAGAGTGCTTAGTGCTCCGTTTGAGGTTCTTTGCCAGATTCCGATGCATGCAAATGGAGTTTTAAGAATTGATTATCCTTGTTGTTGACTTGGCTTAGTGCTGGTGGTGGGGTTCGGTTTTGGTACTTTAGGAACTTGTGTGGATCCAACAGTGCTACCGGTTAAATATGAGTATTCTGCGTCTTTCTTATTTGTAGTCTCTGTATTGTAGTCGACATTTTAGCATTTGTGCTTGTGTTCACCCCTTCACCAGCTGATGTGCGAGACAGTTGGTGTGACACATTTTGGAACTCTTATGTTTCAGGACTTTAATAAGGAACTGCAGACATGTCTACCTCTTACCTTCCCGCGACGAAAGAGTCTATTGCTCAGGCTTTGGAAGCTGAAGCTCCATCAGACGCCATCTCCATGCTCTACCGTGTACTTGAAAATCCTTCCTCATCCCCAGAAGCACTGCGGATAAAAGAACAAGCCATTACAGATCTCACTGATCTGCTTAGGCAAGAGAATAGGGCTGAGGATCTTCGCAGCCTTCTGACTCAGCTGCGACCCTTCTTTTCTGTGATTCCCAAGGCTAAAACTGCAAAAATTGTCAGAGGAGTGATTGATGCTGTTGCCAAAATACCCGGCACGTCCAATCTGCAAATCTCCCTGTGCAAGGAAATGGTGCAGTGGACCCGTGCAGAGAAGAGGACATTCCTCAGGCAGCGAGTCGAATCAAGGCTTGCAGCACTTCTGATGGAAAACAAGGAGTATACGGAAGCATTAGCCCTTCTTACGGACTTGGTAAAAGAGGTAAGGAGGTTGGATGACAAGCTACTCCTTGTGGAAATAGACCTGCTGGAGAGCAAGCTTCACTTTTCACTGAGGAACCTGCCTAAGGCAAAAGCTGCACTCACAGCTGCAAGAACCGCTGCAAATGCCATATATGTACCTCCGGTCCAGCAAGGCACGATCGATTTGCAGAGTGGGATTCTTCATGCCGAGGAGAAGGATTACAAGACTGCCTACAGTTACTTCTTTGAGGCCTTCGAGTCTTTCAATGCCCTCGAGGACCCCCGGGCGGTTTTCAGTCTTAAGTACATGTTGCTATGCAAGATCATGGTGAGCCAGGCTGATGATGTCGCCGGGATAATTTCCTCTAAAGCTGGACTCCAGTATGTGGGGCCGGAGCTGGATGCCATGAAAGCTGTTGCTGATGCTCACTCCAAGAGATCATTGATGTCGTTTGAGACTGCACTGCGTGATTACAAGGCCCAACTGGAAGAAGACCCCATTGTTCATCGACATCTGTCTTCTCTGTACGACACATTGTTGGAGCAAAACTTGTGCAGGCTGATTGAGCCCTTCTCCAGGGTTGAGATTGGACACATTGCCGAGCTTATTGAGCTGCCTACCGATCATGTGGAGAAGAAGCTCTCACAAATGATTCTGGACAAGAAGTTTGCCGGGACCTTGGATCAAGGCGCTGGCTGCCTCGTCATCTTTGATGATCCCAAGACTGATGCTATATATCCAGACACACTAGAAACCATTGCCAACATGGGGAAGGTTGTCGACAGTCTTTTTGTGAGGTCAGCCAAGATCATGGCTTGAATCGAATGTTGTATCCTCACTGTGACATTGCCAAAACACCTTTCCGTCTAGCAATTCCCAAAGGAAAGGCAATAACTTTAAGTTGGGTTTGCTTCCGCGTCCTCATGACTCCTAGCTAGCCCTTTCTCCCCTCCATCGTTTAGTTGCAGAAGAAATTCTAGTTACTCTATCAGGAGTTACTGGTACATTTGTTTGCAGTTCACCTTGCTTTCTTGTTCTTCTGATGAACTTTCTCAGTGGTGGAACTAATGGTTGGATGATGGCTAAGTAGTGTCATCTTCTGTTTTCTTAGCTTTGTGATGATGCATGATACTATTTTTCCATAGTGATGAATTTGTCAGTTCAGTTCATTTTAGTGCCCCTCTGAACTACCATGGGACAAAGGGCATTTGCTTCCAGATGCGGCGGATGGCCTTCAATTCATTGGTTCATCTATGTGTGTGCTTACAGTGGAAGAAATCTCTGATTCGTGATGCTGCTCTTCATTCATTCTGCCCTTTTTTAGCAGAAAGAAACAGAAATAAAGGCTTGCGTGTTTTTCAAATGCGGAAAGGGAAGTAATTGATTGGTGAAACCAACGTGCATGCGATAGGATGGCTTATTTTGCCTTTGTCGTAGCCCAGGCAGCTTAGAACGAGTGTCAGGTGATGGAGCAAAGTACTGAAAAGCAGATCCATCATCAGTTTAGTCCAACAGGTAAAGCTACGGTCTAACCCACGATTCTGCTTGACTGCTTTTGGAACCTCTAATAATGCAGAATACCAAAAGCAAAGTGGAGAATGCTTTCGATCGAATTGGAAGCACGACCTTTGTCATGTCTCCTCAGACGTTCAATTCGTGATAGCAAGGTCTTGTTACATGCCGGGCGCGATGAAAGGTGAGCGACGATGATGTAATTTTGTTGGTTCAAGTGTAGGTACATGCATCATTTTCAAACAATGTGCTTACATCCTTTTCAGCTGCTGGATTCGTCACTAGATAACTGTGGTGTGCTTTGAACAGAGCTTTCCATCCCATGGTAGTGCGAAAAAACAACATTGGGGTTGTTGCTGGAGCTGATCCAGATGCGGTTTGCTTTCAAGTAGAAAGATGGTGGTCAAAAGGGTGCGTTTGTGACAAAAGTTGCTGAAGAGGACTTTCCTGAAAGCATACTTCCCACCAAACATTCCATTATGGACAAGAAAAACATTTGTCCTCCTCTGCTTTTACTGCCATTCTAGAGGCTTTCCTTTGGTGATATCGATCTACAAACTTGTATTATCAGTAAAGCCAAACACTCCTGAATGTTGAGATCTTAGTTTTTGTTGGTGCTGGCCGAGTTGTCCACCATAGCATTCTCTTGGCCATCTTTGTGAAGGGATGGGCATCTGGTTTTGGGGTGACCATATCGTCCACATCCAAAGCAAATGTTTTCTAGACCCTCGTACTGTACTTAAATAGACTCTTAAGTCTTAATATAATTGGGAGTTGGGAAGATTCAAACACATAACCACTTTGTCAAACCAGCTGTGTATCATTGTCATAAACAAGTTGGTCATAATAATTCGAGTTGTTGGCAGAAGGTTAATTATTGATCTTATACCTCTCTTTTACATTAACGGCCTTTGAGGTTTGGATCGTAACATAGCCTTCCACCTAATTCTCCAAGTTTAATACCCCACTTCCCCACTCCAAGCTCGGAGATGCCCTTAGTAACTTTGTTTTCTTTGTCAAGAAAATACTTCATTAAAGTGGCGGAATGAAAGTTGGTATGCCTATTAAACGACTTTAAATGTCATAAAACTAGACTTATCCTCACGAGACACACTAGGAAATTTCATAATTGATATTGCCTTTCTAACTCGTGAGGAATTTATTATAAATGTTAATTGACTTGTCTAATGGCTTGTGAGAATTATTTTCGGAGTTGATCCATAATCCAATTACACCCACCTACCAACCTAATCCAATCCAAAAATAATGTAGTTGAATTTGTACCAAGATCGAAAAATATGGTTGACTTTGTACCAACTTATTAATAAGAGGAGTGAAATAAATCTTTTTCACATATTTATACAGATTGCTTTATCAGATGGGGGAAAAGAAATTTCCATCAACTCTAGAGAAAACCTAGATGTCATCCCCAAACAAATCCTCTCTCTAACTTTCCTTTTCTCTGCCTTCTCTCTAAGTTAGGCTTCAGATTCAAGCTCCATGGGGCTGCCGGCGGCTTCCCTTTGGGACCGACGGTGGCCCCCCAACCCTTTTTTTCTTTCCAGCTTTTTATTTTGTTTTGGTTCCAGTTTTATTCTCAGTGCATGTTTCGTTTGTTCCTTGTCCAGATCTCCGTTTCACCTTCATGCCCATCTTTGGGATTTTCATTCTGCCACTCCTTGTGAGATGGATGTCTCCTGTTCCAGACTCTACTTCTGATCCTCAGATTTAGATGTTTTGGTTCTTTCTCTCGGTGGTCAAAGGGGGCTATAGATCTCTGATCGGTAGCTTGTCTTCGCATCTTCTTACCTTTCATCTACCTCCTTGCTTCACCCATTGAGCCGGTGTTTCGGAGATGCAAAGGCCTTCTCATATGCAGCGGCCTGGATGCGGTTCTAAGATGTTGAAGGCAGGGATGCATCGGCCTGAAGCTCGTCTCTTTTCTCCAAGCCTGTTCGTTGCCGTTTTCTTGGTCTCCGGGCTCCTCGCGGACTGCTGTTCTCCCGTTGTTGTGTTGGTCCGATCGTTGCACGGCGAGCTGGTGGTCGACGTTGGTTTTTCGGCGCTCTGTTCGTATGGTTGGCGGCGGCAGGTTGGAGAAGAGATGATGGCTAGGGTTGATGTTGGTAGTTGTCTGTAGGGTTTATTGGGCTCACTTTGCAGGCTCTGGGGTTTGGGCTTCATTTGTTGTTTTCTTTTTGAAACATTTGCTAGGGCTTTGTTTGTGGGCTTTGTTTTCCCTTTTGATTTCTGCTGTATCTTTCCATGGGTTTTACCCTAAACTTTGTACTCACTTTTGAAGTGCAATATAAGCAGCTTCTTGTCAAAAAAAAAAACTCTAGAGAAAACCTCGCCCGGAAAAAGATGGCCGTTCAACTTCCCGAATCGGATTCCCAGCAATAGACGGCTCGATTCCCGCTGCCAAGTTCGTGGACCGGAAACCTTCGTCGACGGGTTATCCCCTTCAGCTGGAACAATCCTGTCATGGTGATACCAACTTTGCCACATGATCGAAATCCAAACAATCAACGTTCTATTGCTGGGAGTTCTTCTTTTTCTGTCTTTTCTGTTTGTCAGTGGTTTGTCTATGGTTTGATTTCCTGTTTCGTTTCTGAGGTTTCCTGCAATTTTTCGTCAAGTAGTGCTTTACTCTTGTTTTCAAATCACTTGTTGTTGTTCTATCTATTCCTTTTGCAATCTCATGGTTACTTAGCTTATGTTTTTACTAATCTGGTGTAAAATACTACTGCTTGCTCTACTTCGGCTCTACCATATTTGTGCCCTCTCTGTTAATTTTTCTCGATTCGTTGGCTACTGCTCTGTTTTTGTGTACCTCTGTTTTGCAGGCGCACAAGGAAGACGGTAGCGGTGGTTTGGGAAGAACGACAGATCCGGCTTTCCGTGGTTCTCTCGTCAGACTTCCCTGGCGGTGTGGCGGTGGATGGATCAGGACTCTTCTTCAAGGCGGCCGAGTGGATAATGATGGCGAGATTTGTGTACACAAAAGTGGCGGGCAGAGCGAATAACTCTTCCTTTTTCTTTTCCTTATCTGCTTATTAATTTTACTTTAATTTGGCTATTTTTTCTTGATTTTTATAATTTGTTTTTTACTCTTTGGTGAAAAGAATTGCAGAGGCGGTGGAGTGAAGGGCGTTCGCTTGTCCTTATCCCAATTTAAAAGGATATATTGAGTTGGGCCTTAAGCCTTGTGGGCTTGGAGGAATTTTGTTATCCGCACGTACTCAACTAATTGGTTGGGCCTAATTGGTGCATTTTGCTTTGTTTGTTTTCCAGGAAGCGGATGGACTTTACTCAAACTTTGGAGACTTGGTGGGATTTACTGCAAAGACATGGATCTGGTCAATGCATTTATAAGGGTTGCTGCTCTGCTTCAATTTTTAGCATGGTTAGTTCATGATATTGATCCTTTTAAGGAAAGATCATGATATTGCCCATGTCGTTCAATTATTATAGGGCAGCCCATATCGTGGCAGGAAAGCCCTATATTGTCAGACCTGCAAAGGTCTTTTCATTTTTCATTTATGATTTGACCTGCAAAGGTCATGTATATTATTATATACTTCGTATCTGCTGTTCTCTTTGGGGATATCTATGGCAAAAAAAAAAAAAGAGAAAACCTCGCCCGTGGAGGACGAGAGAGAGGATTGGGCTAAATTTACGTTGGGCTTCGGCGGGAAATCAGGACTATTGGATCAGTTCGTGGGCCAACACTCGTCCAAGCCCATTTCACGTGGCGGGAAAGCCGACCGTTGTCCATTTGGCGGTAAAATCAGAAACCTGCGCTCACTGCTCCGTTTCCAATTGGGAGAAGGAAATCCCTGTTCCTTTCCGATCAAGGAAAGGATTCCATATTAGTTTCGGTAAATCATTTCCTCTATATAATGGAACTCCCACATATTGAGATTACGAATTATTTCCGGCAATTTCCTTTTCTTCTCCTGTTGTTCGCTACTCTCTGTTCTCCTGCAGCCGCTCTCTGTTTCAGTCTCTCTGTTTCCAGCCACCGTCACGATGGCTCTTCCACCGTGCTGGAATCCAGGGAAACACAAGGAGCTTCTCTACAAGCCGCCACAGGAGTTATTTGAGATCATAGAGTGCGCCATGACCCTCGCTGCTATCCGCTGGCCGAAGCAGCTCCGGGCTGAAAAAGCCCGGATTCTCGGCGCCTTCGACATGTCTCGGCGCTCCGCCGCATCCAAGGAATCGACGGCGAAGAAGACGACAAAAACCATCAACTCCGGCGACCAACGCGTGCAAGAAAAGGAGGAAGCAGTGGAGAAGCCAACAAGAACCATCGATGTGAAAATCGACTTGCCAGTTCGTGATCGCAGATTGACGTCATCCGACCTCGCCAAACCCGCGCTCCAAAAGCCATCAACGCCGGCGACGAAGACGACAAAAACCATCAACGCCGGCGACCACCGCGCGCAAGAAAAGGAGGAAGCAGTGGAGAAGCCAAGAAGAACCATCCATGTGAAAGTCGATTTGCGAGATCATGATCGCAAATTGACGTCGGACTCTGCTAAACCCGCGCTCCAACTCTGCCAAACCGGCGCTATTTCGACGACGGCGAAAAGAGTGTCCTCTGAACCGAAGCTAGGCGACGAAGCAAAGGGAGAGTACGAAAGGAGATTGGAGATCACCAAGAGGAAGTTGCAGAGTGGCTACAGTGCCTGCGACGGTGCGAGAAAAAGGTCCAAAGTGATTGACTTTTGGACTGAGGTTCCGAAGAACACGCAGCAACAGATTCTCTACGACAAAGACGTGTCGTCGGCTGGCAGATTCAACAACAAGAAGAAGATTCAGCGCTGTCGTCCTCCTCTTCATTGCTAGGCCTCCAATGGCTATCTGGTTGCAGATTTCCGGCGTGTAACTAATCAATTTCACATTGCCTCTGATTTAGGGGAAGAAGATATTCTTTTGTATAGAGTTAAGGGTTCTGGGTTTTTGCTGTTCCTTTTTCCCTTGGTGTAAAAATTTTGTAGTGTTGAAACGCTTAATGTTAGCTTGATTGGTTCTCGTATTGAATGAAACAAGCTGAGTTTTTATGCACGTTCCATACTTGGTCATTTAATCCACTTTTATTCTTCTTTTCCCTCCAACTTGAAGATGACTCAATCCTGTTCGATTCAGAACATCAATTTCTTATACCTGGCAACTCCAGCAAAGTACCAGTATGTGAGCTAAAAAGGGCAAATTTGTTAATTTATTGAAGGGTTTGACAAGTGTCAAAGGCACCCAAAGGCCAAAACTTTGCAGTTTTCAAATGTTTTCTGCTAACATCAGTTGGAAATTTTGATCTGCTTGAGTTTCTCTAGTTAGTTATTTCACATTTTCCCTTCCAAAAAATGGGTAATTAATTGATCAGTTGGGAGTCCAACATTAGCTAAGCCAAAAGTTACATGGTGTGGTTCCTCTCCAGAACCATCAAACGAGGATGAAGAAGATGCTGAGACAGAAGCTGGACCTTGTGAGCAGAGCACTAACCCTGCAGTTGATGTCAAGCGTTTTCGAAGGTAAACAATAACCCCAATGTCTTCAAGAGATAACAGATGTATAGTTACTCCAGATTGTCCTTAGCTCTTATCTGCTATTGCTTCTCCCAATCAGGATGGTTTCAAACCGGGAGTTTGCTCGACGATCTCGAAGAAGGAAACAAACTCATTTAGCTGAGCTGGGGTTGCAGGTATTCCTGCATTACTGATATGAATCATCGAGTCAAAATTTATTGATCAAAAGGGCTGCAGTGAAGGGATAATTAAGCAACTTGAGGAACTGATTGACATGAGATGATTGAAAAGCACATGGTGTTTTCAGGTTGAACAACTCATAGGAGAAAATGCAGCTATGTACAAACAGCTTTCAGAAGCTACTCAACAGTATCGTGATGCTGATACGAATCATCGGATGCTGAAATCGGATGTTGAAGCCTTGAGAGCCAAGGTAAGCAAATACTAGTCATGATGTCCCATGCTAGGAGATCTAGCAATTGTCTCAAGACTAGTTAAAACCTGATAATAGCTTGCATTTCGCACCAGGTGAGGTTGGCTGAAGACATATGGTAGCCCGTGGAACTTTTAGCAGTACCATGAACTTGCTCCATCCAACCAATCCACCTGCTGCAACACCTCAGTTTCTGAACCCTCCCGATCTCCATCCTCGAATCGCGAATGTGTCACCAACCATAACAGTACAGAGAGACGAGATCTCTTACATTGGACTCACGATTCCAGCACAGAATTCCGTACTTGGGATGGGGATAAATAACGTCGATCTTAGTAATGGAAGTGTCGAGAACACTGCTTAACGATGTTGTAAGCTGTTTATCGAAGGATATTTAGCCTTGAAACAGATCCCTTCACCTCACCATATGCTTAGAATGTACAGTCTGGTTGTCATCTGTAGATAGGTCTCTCATTCCAATAAGTACCCTACATGGAATCTCTAGTTGTATGCTTATGTGGGGCAACTGTAAGACCTTGGTCCTAGGGCTTGGTTTGTCTCATGTTTCTTAAGGAATTGTTTGATATCATTCCTATTAAGGTATCTATCTGCAGCCTTTGGGTCATATTTCTTTTGAACAAATTTAGGTTGCCTGATCTAGCACACTCTTGTCGACTGAGGTCCCACTTGGATAAAGAAAATGGGAAACTTAATTAGAAGAAAACGATGGACTTGTCATAATAGAAGCAATATGCAATTTGGAGGGACACAAGTAGAAGTTACTTGAAGGTATCATCATCATTATTAGTCTTGCAAATGGAGTAGAAGAAAATTAAAAATAAGTTTGAATAACTTGAGTTTTGGGAAGGTGAATTATGGCCTTCTATACAACTATTTTGCTTTTCCACTCAAAAGAAAGTTAACTCACAGACTAGAAGTTGGCACAGGTATACCATATCATGTGCTTACATAGAATGTTAATAACTTGAGTTAATCTGTAACCTAATCGCTTACACCCTCCACCAACCCAACCCGATTTGAAGAAAAATATGATTGGGTTTGTACCAACTCGTTAATAAGCAAGTGAATCAATTTGAAATCGAAAAATGTGGTTGGATTTGTACTAACTCATTAACAAGCAGGTTAGTGAAAAAATCTTTTCACATGTAAACAAATTTCTTTATTGATTCTCAGCCATGGAAATCAATACATGTATAGATAAAATAATCTAATTTTTTTTTTATAAAACCCGTAATGGGTAATAATGGGATAATGACTCACATGTCATATATCGAAGAAACCAACGATACAAATTGACCAAAATAAAAAGAAGGAAAGGAATTGTTATACATTCTTCAGTTGGAAGATTGAACAAAGATCATGAACTTGTCCATTATTAGGTAGATTATAGATTTGATGAACTCTAGAGAAAAAGGAATTTCCATCAACACTAGAGAAAACCTCCGCCGTTAAGGACGTGATGGAGGATTGGGCTAAATTTACGTTGGGCTTCGCCGCGAAATAAGGACTATTGGATCAGTTCGTGGGCCAACACTCGTCCAAGCCCATTTCACGTGGCGGGAAAGCCGACCGTTGTCCATTTGGCGGCAAAATCAGAAACCTGCGCTGTGCGCTCTCTGCTCCGTTTCCAATTGGGAGAAGGAATCCCTGTTTCTTTCCGATCAAGACAAGGATTCCATATTTGTTGTGGTAAATCATTTCCTCTATATAATGACTGAAATCACGATTTCTTTCCGGCAATTTCCTTTTCTTCTCTTGTTGTTCGCTACTCTCTGTTCTCCAGCAACCGCCACTCTCTGTTCTCGCGCGGCCGCTCTCTGTTTCTGTCTCTCTGTTCCAGCCGCCGTCACGATGGCTCTTCCGCCGTGCTGGAATCCAGGGAAACACAAGGAGCTTCTCTACAAGCCGCCACCGGAGTTATTTGAGATCATAGAGTGCGCCATGACCCTCGCTGCTATCCGCTGGCCGAAGCAGCTCCGGGCTGAAAAAGCCCGGATTCTCGGCGCCTTCGACATGTCTCGGCGCTCCGCCGCAGCCAGGGAACCGAAGGCGACGAAGACGACAAAACCCATCAACGCCGGCGACCACCGCGTGCAAGAAAAGGAGGAAGCAGTGGAGAAGCGAACAAGAACCATCGATGTGAAAATCGACTTGCCAGTTCGTGATCGCAGATTGACGTCATCCGACCTCGCCAAACCCGCGCTCCAAAAGCCATCAACGCCGGCGACGAAGGCGACAAAACCCATCAACGCCGGCAACCACCGCGCGCAAGAAAAGGGGGAAGCAGTGGAGAAGCCAAGAAGAACCATCCATGTGAAAGTCGATTTGCGAGATCGTGATCGCAAATTGACGTCGGACTCTGCTAAACCCGCGCTCCAACTCTGCCAAACCGGCGCTATTTCGACGACGGCGAAAAGAGTGCCCTGTGAACCGAAGCTAGGCGACGAAACAAAGGGAGAGTACGAAAGGAGATTGGAGATCACCAAGAGGAAGCTGCAGAGTGGCTACAGTGCCCGCGAGGAGTCGAGAAAAAGGTCCAAAGTAATTGACTTTTGGACTGAGGTTCCGAAGAACACGCAGCAACAAATTCTCTGCGACAAAGACGTGGCGTCGGCTGGCAGATTCAACAACAACAAGAAGATTCAGCGCTGTCGTCCACCTCTTCATTGCTAGCTAGTCCTCCCATGGCTATCTGGTTGCAGATTTCCGGCGTGTAATTAATCAATTTCACATTGCCTCTGATTTAGGGGAAGAAGATATTCTTTTGTATAGAGTTCAGGGTTCTGGGTTTTTGCTGTTCCTTTTTCCCTTGGTAAAAATTTTGTAGTCTTGAAACACTTAATGTTAGCTTGATTGGTCCTCGTATTGAATGAAACAAGCGAAGTTTTTATGCAAGTTCAGTACTTAAAGCCATTTAATCCACTTTATTCTTCTTTTCCCTCCAACTTGAAGATGGCTCAATCCTATTTCGTTCAGAACATCGATTTCTTGTACTTAGCAACTCCATCAAAGTACCAGTATGCGCGGTAAGAAGGGCAAATTTGTTAATTTATTGAAGGGCCTGACAAGTTGTCAAAGGCACACAAAGGCAAAAACTTTGCAGTTTTCAGATGTTTTCTGCTAAGTGCTATTGCTTCTCTCAATCAGGATGGTTTCAAACCGGGAGTCTGCAAGACAATCTCGAAGAAGGAAACAAGCTCATTTATTGATCAAAAGGGCTGCAGTGAGGATTGAATAATTAAGCAGCTTGAGGAACTGATCCATAGAAAATTATTTGAAAAGTTGTGGTCACATGGTGTGTTCAGGTTGAACAACTCATAGGCGAAAATGCAGGCTACCATGAACATGTTCCATCCAAACAATCCACCTGCTGCAGCAACACCTCAGCCTCTGAACCCTCCCGATCTCCATCCTCGAACCATAACGAGATCTCTTACGATGGACTCACGATTCCAGCACAGAACTCCGGGCTTGGGATGCGGATTAATAACTTCGATCTTAGTAATGGAAGTGTCAACAACACTGTTTGTAACGATGTTGTAAGCTGTGTATCAACGAATATTTACCATATGCTTAGAATGTACAGTCTAGTTGTCAACAGTAGATAGGTCTTTCATTTTAATAAGTACCTACATGCAATCTCTAGTTGTATGCTTATGTGGGGCAACTGTAAGACCTTGGTCCTAGGGCTTGGTTTGTCTCATGTTTCTTAAGGAATTGTTTGATATCATTCCTTTCAAGATAACTATCAGCAGCCTTTGAATTTCGGGTAATTTTTCCCTTGAACAAATTTAGGTTGCCTGATCCAGCACTCTCTTTTTGACTGAGTTCCCACTTGGATAAAGAAAATGGACTTGTTAATACATAAGGAATATACAATTTGGAGGGACACAAGTAAGAAGCAACTTGAAGGTATCATCATCATATTAGTCTTGCAAATCGAGCAGAACAAAATTAAGACTACTTAAAGTCGATATAAATTCGGAAAACAAGATGATAACAACAACGAATGAATGAACAAATGGTGCAATCCGAATATGGTCCTAATTGTTGTAAACCAGTTTCAATAACTTGAGTTAATGGGGGAATGTTAATTATGGATTTTATGAAACTTTCTTACTCGTTCACTCAGAAGAAAGGCAACTCAAGGACTTGAAATTTGCATAGGCCCACCATACATCCATACATTATCCAGGTGGATCAATTTGAGAGCAGAAACCGTGTTTGGGTTTGTAACAACTCGTTAATAAGCAGGTGGATGAAAAAATCTTTCCACATATGCATAGACAGTGGAATGAATTCATAGATACAATTACCCGATTAATACAATCATTGTTTGCAAAAACAATTGTTGTTTGCACTCTTATATAAGTCTCTTTCAATGTATCCCATTAAACAATCATTAGTAAACTAGTTGCCTATTCGTCTTGGAAATTTGTTCTTAATATAATTTGAAGTTGTAAATGCTCTTTCATCTTTCTACACTTGTAGTTGCATTGTTGTAATTGGTAGAATCAAAACTAGTGGAAAAAACTTAATAGGGATAAGGAGAAAAGAGATCTGATTATGTTTTTATTGCAATTGAAACTTTATTTATTAATTTTTAAATAAATAATGAGTTTTGTTGTAGTGACAAAATACTTTCATAACACCTAGGTGTTGTGTTCCATTATCAATATAAATATATACACGGGCTACTTTTTTCTTCCAAAATTTATGTCTATGTCGTGACAAAGCCTAAAGGACCTGCCTCCGCCTATGTATACAGATGGCTTTATTGCTTCTCGGCCATGGAAATCAAAACATGTATAAATAAAACAATTTAAAAACTTTCATAAAATAAATATAATGGGTAAATAATGGGAACAATGACTCACATGTCATATGTCATATATCGAAGGAAACCAACGATACGAATTGACCAAAAGATTAGAAAGGAAAGTCGTCCAATCCATTATTCTGATGGAGGAATGAACAAAGATCATGAACCAGGAAAAAGAAACTCCATAAACTCTAGTCTTTTTTTTTTTTCCCCAAACGATCACTCATAAACTCTAGTCTCTAGAGAAAACCTCCACCGTTGAGGTCGAGAGGAGGATTGGGCTAAATTTACGTTGGGCTTTGGCGGGAAATCAGGACTATTGGGTTAACTTGTGGGCTCCAAGCCCATTTCACGCTCTCCTTGGCGGGAAACCCGACCGTTATCGATTTGGCGGCAAAATCAGAAACCTGCGCTCTCTGCTCCGTTTCCAATTGGGAGAAGGAATCCCTGTTTCTTTCCGATCAAGGCAAGGATTCCATATTTGTTGTAGTAAATCATTTCCTCTATATAATGGAACACCCACTTAACTAAAATCACGATTTCTTTCCGGCAATTTCCTTTTCTTCTCTTGTTGTTCGCTACTCTCTGTTCTCCAGCAACCGCCACTCTCTGTTCTCGCGCGGCCGCTCTCTGTTTCTGTCTCTCTGTTCCAGCCGCCGTCACGATGGCCCTTCCGCCGTGCTGGAATCCAGGGAAACACAAGGAGCTTCTCTACAAGCCGCCACAGGAGTTATTTGAGATCATAGAGTGCGCCATGTCACTCGCTGCTATCCGCTGGCCGGAGCAGCTCCGGGCTGAAAAAGACCGGATTCTCAGCGCCTTCGACATGTCTCGGCGCTCCGACGAAGCCAAGGAATCGGCGATGGAGAAGACGGATAAACCCATGAACTCCGGCGAACGCGTTCAAGAAAAGGAGGAAGCAGTGGAGAAGCCAACAAGAACCGTCCATGTGAATGTCGATTTGCGAGATTGTGATCGCAGTTTGACGTTCGACCATGCCAAACCCGCGCTCCAAAAGCCATCAATGCCGGCGACGAAGACGGAAAAACCCATCAACGCCGGCGACCGCGCGCAAGGAAAGGAGGAAGCAGTGGAGAAGCCACGAAGAACCATCCATGTGAAAGTCGATTTGCGAAATCGGGATCGCAATTTGACGTCGGGCTCTGATAAACCCGCGCTCCAAAAGCCCGACTCCGCTAAACCCGCGCTGCAACTCTGCCAAACCGGCGCTATTTCGACGACTGCGAAAAGTGTTACCTCCGAAGCGAAGCGTGGGGACGAAGCAAAGGGGGAGTACGAAAGGAGATTGGAGATCACGAAGAGGAAGTTGCAGAGTGGCTATAGTGCCTGCGAGGAGTCGAGAAAAAGGTCCAAAGTGATTGACTTTTGGAAGGAGGTTCCGAAGAACACGCAGCAACAAATTCTCTACGACAAAGACGTGCCGCCGGCTGGCAGATTCGACAACAAGAAGACGAGGAACACACAGATTCAGCGCTGTCGTCCACCTGTTCGTTGCTAGTCCTCTCATGGTTCCGGCGTGTAATTAATCAATTTCACATTGTCTCTGGTTTAGAGGAAGAACATATTCTTTTGTATAGAGTTGATAGTTCTGGGTTTTTGCTGTTCCTTCTTCCCTTGGTACAAATTTGGTAGTCTTGAAACGCTTAATGTTAGCTTGACTGAATGAAACAAGCAAACTTTTTAATCCACTTTAATCTTCGTTTCATTCAGAACTTCAATTTATTATACCTAGTAACTCCAGCAAAGTAGCAGTATGCGCGGTAAAAAGGCCAAATGTATTAACTTACTGAAGGGTTTAGCGACTGTCAAAGGCACCCTACTTTGCAGTTATACAGACAGGAAATGGCGGTTAATAAACGAAAGAGCTTTGCGGGCAGGGAAGAACGAAGGAGTCTCAGAAACAGCAAAATGCTGCTCAATTTTTACATATCGAAGAACACTGGACTTCGTCTCTGTAATTCGAAAGAAAACACTTTACATGTCTACTCTCTGTAGACACGAAGTGTTTCATAATGTTCTAAAAAGACTGACATACAGCTGAGATCCGTGTTATCGAGTATACAAGTGTGATTAACATTAGATAGAGATCACTTAACGCTTAGTTAATTAGAGGCGGTGTCCCGATGCTCGACTCTATCTCGCCAGGCGTTGCAAGCGAGAACTCCACCGGTAGTGGCAGATTCAACTCCGAAAACACCAACTGCATGATTCTCCTGGTTGCATACCCAAATGACATCTTGTTTACTGTCACGGCTATAGCAAACCTGTCCTTGGGGTAGCAGAAACCAGTCGACCCTCCCATGCCAGAGTGCCCAAACCCGAGAAAGGTTCCGTCCTTGGATCTCAACCTCCTAAAACCTAACCCAAATGCCCCATTTTCCTTGGCCAATTGACCATACTCTTCCCCAACCCCTAAGAATGCTTCATGAATCCTCGGGTTACTATACATCCGAGTTTCTTCCTTAACAAGCAACTTGCCGTGAGAGTTGGCACTCTCAGCCGGGACATCATCATCACTAGGGTAATTGTCATCAGCAAGCTTAGTGTAACCAACATCTTCACTACTGTGATTGTCATTCTGTTTCCTGTCTGAAGAAGTGCCGACCAGTGCTTCACTCCATTTCTTTCCTTTTGGTTTAGAAGGTTTCTTTCGGCCGAGTTTGGGAATGTGGGGGTGGCTTCCAAGAGGTGGCTGCGATGAAGACGAGGAATGTGGAGGTGGAATAATGCCACCATCAACAAGTGCAGCATAGTATCTCGCAAGAGCACGAGCTGAGCAGTGTCCATTAGCTGCAGGGATAATGGCACGACGTGTAATAAGCATGTTGAACAGAGCAGGAATGGTGGTCAGCATCTCGCCAACCCTCTCAGGCTGGAATGTCGAGGGGAGATCAGGGCGATTGGTGGTCTGTGCCAGCTTGCTTAGGTCATTGGTATCTAATGTGAGGCTAGCCAGTCGGGATTCCACACCTGTCCAAGTTGAGAAAAACAATTAAGCTCGTCACTCATCCTACCCTTGAGTTGACCAGGAAAGCAATGAAGCAAGTCCGTTAAAGCAACAAGATGAAAGAGACAAGAAGTTCAATGTACCAGGAGGTATCCCAACATACAGCTCGCCTTGAACATTAAGGGGTTTAACAATTGCTTCTTCAAGTATCTCCTGAAATGTCTTCCTGGAAGCATTCTGTTCCATCAACAACACTGTTAAAATGAGTGGAAAAAGAGCAAAATCTCGCACACAGCCACCTGGGCATCTAAGATTCAATGTAACTACACATACATAATCGAACACAGAAATGGTACTTTTATCCTTGTATTTATGCATACAAATGGAATTTGATCCCTAACAAGCGACGAATGTAGGTGGAAACTACACTATCTCAAACATTCTCAAGGAAATAAGACTGTTCTCACTTCACTGCTGGTGTGCATAATCCGGTCCGGTACAGAATTGGACCGAATCGCATAAGATCGAAATGAAAGATGAGGACTAGCGTCAAATTAAGAAAATGCATTTCATTCAGTTTTGTCCGCATTTTGGATTATTTTTAAGAGGATCCATGGAATTTAGACTGAATTGAACTACATTTGGTCCAGTATTTCTATTTGGTCAAATGGGACACGACTCGTTGCACACTGCTACAGTAATCACAAATCCAAGCTCAAATCAACTACCATAAACTAATAAAGATGTAAATTCTCAAGTGATTCAGGGAAAACAACAAATAACTTCTAGAAATTGTAGGACAGAACAGCATCATTTAGTATGAAGGACATTAAGCACAGTTACTTCAATCCTCTTGAACTTTTTATCCAAAAGTATAAGCACCCTTCCACGCATAGAAAACCTTTGCAGTTCACATAGGTTTTAGATAGCACCAAAAGAAAGACATTGGAAAATACCTCAATAATTCCACCGCAAAGCCAACCATAAGAAAGATAGTGGTACAATTGCTCCTGACCCGGTTCTGTCTCGGGCTCTGCCAGAGCAATTTGTTCCAGGCAAGCTTTCCAGTCACACAACAGTAAGGGATTCCCACCATTAAGATTGGCCATTGCATTATGCAAACCAGATGTGTGATTAAGAACATGATTGACCTGATGCAGAAGAGAATATAAGTCAAAAGTCAGCGAAAGAACGCGCATCAAATTTCACTAAAGCTAACAGGTCAAAGAAGTTTCACTTTGATGCGATCTTTTCCGTTTGTTCCAAATTCCGGCCAGATGTTGACAACATTGTCATCAAGCTTGAGTTTCCTACAGTAAAAGAACATACTTCTTACAAACTGTGGATAATTCAGAGTAATGTCAATTGTTTTCATCAACAAATAAAAGTACATAATACCTGTTGTCTACAAGCCAATGCACTAAACCGGCGGTGACACCCTTAGTTGCTGAAAAAACTGGGAAGAGGCTATCAAGTTGGACTGGGCGAGGGTCATATCTCCCAAGTACCCCAGCAGCTGTGTCGATGATAACCTTCCCATCTTTGTAAGCACAAACCTTAACATACAACCACAGAAACCATTATCAACACAACTTCTATCTTGCTAAGCCCTCAAATTACAACAATAAAAGTAGCAAGGATGGAGAAACCCTACTGTCCCCAAAGCAAAAATACAAGTTTCTAGTCCCAAACAAAAGATAAATAAGTAATCAAGTGCTTTATCATGAAAGTGCACCACATGCTTTTAGAATGACAGCAAAATGTGAATACAGGTCAAAGATAGATTAAATCAAACCACAAACTCATAGCTAAGTAAAGCTGTGGAAGAAGCTTCGCGTTGATACGGACCTGGACTCCGAGTATCTTCTCTTCATTCCCGAGCTCAACTAAGAGCCGCCTCAACTTGGCCTCCACATCAGAATTTACAGGTGTGTCATAGATCCATTCTGTATTTGCTGCTGGTGCCTTGCTGATGTATCTGGTGATTGACCTCACATGTCAGATGTGACAGTTAATATAAAAGGAATAGTCAAGAAATAGTGTATCGAACAACTGACCCTTGCAGCACAGATTCAGCAAATGGTCTCATGATCTCCTGATACACTATGCGAACATTCAAAGTGGTTGAAAGTCCTGCATTGTACACAGAATCATTAGCAGGAGGCATGAGTCTCAATCAACCAAGCTAAAGAAAGGAAGATTTTTCTGCCACACCTCTTAGAAGATTGAGGACCCGACCAAATATGACAATGTCACCAGGAAAGGCATCAATCTGAAAAGTGCAATTGTTATCAAGTGGCACCAAAGAAGTCAACTTACAGATTGACATAGATGTTAAAGAACTTACTGGATTAAACCTTTTAACATCCTTTTGGTTGAGTTTCATCCTTTCCTGGACCACCTTCATGTTTTTCGATCTTTGATCGGACAAAGTTTTCATGTTTGCCTACACAAAAAAACCCTAAGAAAATAACATTGACAAGGTTGAAAATCAAACGATGAACAACACACTTACTGCAGGATCGTTAGCTGGATTCGCAGTGCGAAAGAACACATTAGTCACTTCCATTGCTTGCTCTGGTAAGTCCAAGTTAAGCTTAAGACCCATTTCTGAAAAAGCAGACAACAAAGCCACATGGTCCCCCTGTAACCAAAAACATTGAAGAACTATATCTCTCAGCTGATAAAATGAAGTTAACAACCAAGAGAAGTGTGAGGATAAGAGCACAAATGCAAGATAGGAAAATGGGAGTTCAAACATACCTCGACAGATGCAAGGAACATTTTAGCCAGTGCTTGTTTCAGAGTAGTTGATATTTTCTTTGTAAGCCCGAAGTCCAGTAAGATCGGACGATGTGGAGCTTCCTTGCTCACCAGGAAATTCCCTGCAGAATGTAATACGAGTATACAGCAATTCAAGGGTATAAAGCTTGAGATTCAAGTTGTCAATCAACAAGTATATGTGTGTTTGCCTGAGCACCCGTATGCATGAGAGAGGGAGAGTGTGTACCAGGATGTGGATCGCCATTAAACATTCCGTCAACATATATTTGATGAGCATAGGCACGTGTAATTTCTTCAACAATCCTTTGTTTGTCAACACCAGCAGCTTCCAAGGCTACACGGTCATTCAAACGAATCCCATCCATGTACTCCAAGATTAGAACCTTCTCAGCAGACTGCATTGGGAGAAAGAGAGAACCATGATAAATCAAATAACCTAAAAGTAAAACACCAGCTTAAGTACAGTAGCAAATCCTTCAGCCGTCCAATTCATAAGAACTACATTCCATAACAAGTTACCCAAATCAATTGTTTTGCAGTAAGAAACCATCACATGGATGAAGTTTTTTATGATGAATAACCGAAGAGGAATTCATCATTAACTTTCGCTTTGAACAACAAGAAAAAAAAACACACAACTTACTAAGATCCGTAAAGAAACAATGGCGAGTAGTGTATGGGTGTTTGTCTTAAGAAAGAGGTAGGGCACCTATCCTGATGTGATGAATAATCATCGTTCTGTAAAGAGCACAAGACAACTTGACATTCCAGATTCCAACTTTCAAACATCAAGAAATGACAACTACAGGCAAGGAGGCATGTCCATCAAGTGAAGGAGAGGGGGTAATACCTGAATGACTTCTGGGATCAAAACATCCACCTTGTTGTCATGTGTGTTAATGCCATCTTTGTTCCTGCATCCTAGATTAATAGCTACGGTTCTAGTGTTCTCTGCAAGAGGAAGCAAGTGTCATTTTCTACATTAAGAATGTTGAATTAAATTATGTCAACCTGCAGAATATGGAATTTACCAACAACGTACCAGCTTCAAGATTGAAGTCGAGTTCTTTAGGAGCTTCTTTGCACCACTCGTCAATCATAGGGTTGAAGTTGTATTGTGGCTCTGCCCAGGCTATCCAGTCAATAATTGCCTTGGCATTCTTTAAGTCCTGCCAAACACATGTGCGCCGATCATTAATCTATCCAACTTGTATCATTTTCTCACAATTCGGAAGTGAATGAATCCAACCTCTAGTATGATTGCCTTGATGCCCTCATGTTGAACTTTTACAACCACGTCACGCCCATCAACTAAAGTTGCTCGGTGGACTTGAGCAATCTGTTTTATAAAGATCATAACAGCAACTATTATGCCACTGAGGTGGTGCAAGTAACCTATGAAACTTATGTTAATAGCAAATAGGGATGCACTACACAACAGAGATGGTCAGCATATCTCACCGATGCAGTTGCCAGAGGAGTTTCATCAAAATAGGAGAAGAGATCGCCCATGGTCTCCCCCAACTCCTTTTGTATGGTAGAACGAATCTGTGCAATCAAAAGTAGAGTATTTAGTGAAACTAAAAAAATTGATCACCTTAACATGAGCGAGAACATGACTGCAATGTACAGATGAGGACAAGCAATTGAGCAGAACAGTAATAAAGATTGTAGGCTAGTTCGACATGGTATGTGTAGTACTAAGGTCATCTACTATATTTTCAAAACATCTTTGAGAACTACAACCATTTAAGAGACCTTGACTGATCTACAAAGAACACGAGGATTTTTTCAAAATGATTGGCTTGTGGTAGACAAAGAGTGGGGAATTCAAAGGGCATACAGGTGGTGCCAATGCCATCTAAATAGAAGAAACCAAAATTTGCACATGGTCCAGAGTGGTCAATACCAAATTCCTACAGCCCATTAAAATCATTCCAAGGGAGTGCGAGGAATCAAGGAGACCCATTCGAGCAAGAAAAGCTTACACTAACGATATTGTAGATATTAAAGGAGATAAGGCAGAAGTGCATCAAAATCAAATCAACATAATACAAATATTTAGCCTTGATAGTTATCATCACTGAATCAGTTTCAAAATACAATCACACAAGTTACATCACTACTATGGGTATATGATCCCTCTGTCAATTATTTAGTTATCATATGGAACACACTAGATTTTATGTCGCCATTGCAATTACGATTACTCAAAGCAGCATAGCAGAAAAGAGAGAGCATTGCATAATTTCATTAGCTATAACCTCTTGCAAGCGACGAGGAGGAAGTGCATCTTGTAACTGCCTGAGAAGTGCTATGTAAGCACGAGGAAGCACATCAGCACGAGTGGATAAATATTGTCCAAGTTTCACCCACAAACCTTCCAGTTCAATCATTACGTTGAGAACACGCCTAGCATTCCGCTCATGGGCCTTCTCCCAAAGAGCATCTCTTTTAGACGGGCTAATCCATTTTTCTCTTTGTTGTAAAGCCTATAGTAATTGATGCAATTAGCACAATCAGAATTTTCCATCGCAAAGATTCATATAAATGCAGTCATGGCAATTCCGAAACTCTACCTTGTAATCCAAGTAAATCACAAGAGTTAGCGTAAACACTCTCATTCGCCTTCTGTAAATGCTACCCCATTTCACTCGAGCCACCATTTTCAAACAGCCTGTGGAATTTCGCTGAGAAAATGTCACAAACAAGGACACAATTATCAGAATTTCGATTTCCACAAAGATGTCCATGAATACAATATTGCCACAACCCCAAACACCCAGAAATGCAACCCGTTTTACACAGCCAAATGTAAACCACACAAAGCAACTCTCCCAACCTTTGAATCCCTCTAAACCAAACCCCACGATCGAATTCAACCTTAAGCCGATCAAAAAACCCAGAATACAATCCAATTTCACCATTCGGTCAATCTCATTCTTCATACATAAATTTCCAAACTTTCACAAAGTAAGGTCTCAAATTCGGATGTGGCAGATGCACAAAGGGAGAAGGAAACAGAGTGAACAAAACCCACTAATCACAAAATGAAACTACGTCAGAAAAAAGCCATTCTCGGCCAGAAAACAATCGCCAACACTGAATGAAGATAAAGCTAAGTTCTTGGCAGCAATCGCAATTAAATTACCTACAACTAGCACCCTCAATTCTCGGCAATACAAATGGAAGCTGAGTTCATCATCTCAGTTAAGTCGGTTTACAGCTTAGTGGAAGTCGCAAACTTGAACAGGGCCGCTCACCTGGGGATTGTCTTCGCGCAACCGAGATCACCTCCGATCTCCGTGAGGCAACGAAGACAGCCTTCCCCCTAGTCGAATTCCGGGGTGAAGTTGACCAAGAACTCCCTAGAGTCGTCGAACTCAAAACCCACTTTCCAAATTCCTCAAATTCTCGGGGGCTGGAATTTCGATTAGGGAATTTTCAACGAACTACTTCCCAGATAGCTCAGCGAAGTTGCTTGGCGAGAGTTAAAGCCTGGTTGGCCTGGCCTGAAAAGACGCCAGTGGCAAGCCCAGAGACTAAACTCCAGACCTCAGAATTGATGTGGAAGGAGAAGAAGAGGCAAGTGTGAGAACGATGAGATCAATGGGGGAGAGGGGTTAGCTTAGCCGCAATGGTATTGTCTGATGTGCAAACTGCAACGTACTCCGCTTATGTGGCAAGCGTTGTTGTATACAAAATAAATTTCCATTCAATTAGATTCTTTCCTTCCTTGTATAATAAATTAATTAATAATAAAACAAAGGGAAAACAAGAAGAAAAAAAGAATGTTAAATTGTACAAGACACAATATCGGGAGACTTCGTCCCCGGCATTGCCTCCGGGAACACACAAATGATGTCATTGGGGATCGAACTCAAAGCCTCTCACATCCTGAGCCAACCAGACCAACAGTTTCACCGCTAGGCTATATTACCTTTGGCAGAATTTGGCATTCACAAACATAATAACAAGTAATAACTATAGCCAAAGAGTGGTTTTCAAAGATAAGAATATTATTAAACTCTTATTGGACGAATCGAATAAGTAATTTTTTCCACTTTTGTATTTTAATGAAATTGAAAATGATAACTTATACAAAATAATTCGGTATCAATAGGACGATAATAATATCAACCACATCTTACGTTGGGGCATTGAGTTTGAATTTTTTTACAATGATGGTGGCAATGGCATGGTGCATAAATTTTCATTGAATCTTAGGACTCGTTTAAGTTTATTTTAGTTCTATTTTAATTAACTAGTCTTATTCATGGGAATATTCTAAGTTTGTAATTTTGTTTTGGATGAGTGGTGTATGTATATTTTGAAAACGGGAAAAAATAAAATAAAATAAAAATAGAAGGCAGGTGTTGGTTGGGTTGGTGGCGTGGAGGAGAGGCAGAGAATCCTCGGGAGTGGGCCATGTGGGCCGGGAAAGGCCCAAATGGGCTGTTGGGGCGGGCCATCCCGCGTTTTCCTTCCATCTTCTTCTTTATTTAATTGTTTGGTGGACACGTTGCCTACTATCTACCAAACCATGGCCGCACTGATCAGTCTTTCTAGGAGGGCGCCCGGAGATTTGCGGAAGGAATATAAAGGTTTGTTTTGTTGTTCAACAAATCAACACACGCGTTTGACAAAATGATTTTTTTTTCTTTGCCGGATTCCATTTGATTTTTTTTTTGGTGCGAGATTCCATTTGATTTTCAACAATGCTATTCGTTGATGTTTATTTATTAGGCATAAAAATATATGCAAAAATAGAAAGTTAGACAGGAAGCTTCTTTTTTCAGACTGGTTAGACGAAGGAATTTGTGTTATGGGCTGAAAGGCCTGCTAAAATGGAAGAAAGGGCCGGGATGCTGGGTGTAATGCTAGAGCGGACAAGTTATGGGTTGGGATTTAAATAAGCCCACTCAGCTGGGTTGAAGGCACACTGGAATGGGATTGGGCTAGAACAGCCCATCTGATATCTGAGACGGAGGAAAAGGGCCGGGAGCAGACTGGAAGCCGCTTTATCAGCTGTGGTTGGTTTCTTCGACTACTCTTTGACTATTTTTGACCACTCACCAAGTTTTTAGTTTTTGCTTTATATTTTTATTATATATGTAAAAACTAAAAACAGAGGTTGGAAGTAATTTTGTAAGGGAAATAATTTGTTATTATGTCAACAACGACTGGGAACATAGCAGAAATCAACAAAAACCACTTACATAGCTTCCGTTGTTATGCCAACACCAACTGTTTTCCAGGTTTCTTGTTGCAGCGGTGAACGTGATTTTGCTTAAAGGGGATTGAGATAGGTTCGGATCCTAAAATTTTTCACTAAACACGTTTCAATTTTTTTTGTTTTAATTTTACCTGGTTTTATATTTGTTGTTATTCTCCTGATTAAAAAAAAAGTTATAACCTTCTCTCTCGAAGAACATCTTATCTATCTTTATCCTTAATAATCCATATGTTACGCGGTTTATCCACGTGTTAATTATTACAAAAAAAAATTTATGTTTAGCCTTAATGAACATATTGACATTGCTATACCATGGAAATATTAGATAGTTGCGATTGGATAGTGTGTAATCAATTTGGTCGACCTTCAAAAGATCACTTCTAATTAAACCTAAACTCTAGGGCATCGAAACGTCTTTCCAAAATCCCCCAAACGACATGCATATAGAATCCAATTCCAGCCGAAACCTCTTAGAATTGGAACTTGCAAGCACTAGACCTCCTCATAGTTGAAGTTACATTCCTGTCTTGTAGCTAGCTAGATATATTTCTTCAAAGGCAGGAAACATCAGAATGTACACATGATATCTAGAAACCCGCAAGCAAAAGCGGTGGTCGATTCAGTAAAGCTTGCAAACCCTATCTACGGGGAAAAGGAAACTGAAGGCGAGCAGGTGGCGCGGCTAGAGTATACATGCTGTGCTGTTCTTTCCAAAACAATTTGAGGATTGTGGAATTTGTCGATATGGGTTAGCTGTAAGGAGCTTAGCTAGCAATGAGTGGGCGGTGCTCTCTTCTCTATCCATCCTCTGCTCCCACCACTGCCTGCCTTTTTTTGGCCCCTTGGGATGCTAATCGGCCACTTGCTCACACCTTCAATTTTCTTCCTATAAATAGCGCATACGATTTGAACACTACCAATTGCAGTATCAGTAGTTCTCAAAGGCATATATAGTGTCCTACACGATAAGATTATCTGCTGAGGGTCGGCCTGGCATGGAGATGGAGAGGGGCGCGGTCTAGCCAAGGATGACTTGCCGACAGACACGCGGCTAAACCTGGCTTTGCTGGTCGGCAAGTTAGCCTTGGCTACATTGTGCTCCCTTCATATCATGCCAGACCGTGTATTAACTCCTCCTTTCGCCGGCAGGTCAGCCGGCCGCCTTGAAGTAAGCTACCTATCTGGCTACAGATATGTCTGATTTACAAGGTGAGGCTCCACTTGGTATTTGCTTTAATGTCGTGTCTTTTTTCAGGACGAAAGGAAACGGAACTGTGAAACTACAGAGCACGTTGGAGTTGGATACGTGCGTGCATGCCGCCTTTTCTGACTTCCATTTTTGTGGTACATGATGGCGACTTATTTGAACGTGCACCCTTTTCTGATGCTCTTTCCGACAGATCTTTCGCCTTTTCCTTTCTGGCTGACGATGGGATTCCACTCACACGACAGACGACACAACCCCTTTTCTGAAACGATGGGGGACGGTAGATGCGTAATTTGGTGGAAATTACCTTTTCTATTGGACATTCACAGTTCACAGACTTCACACGGTTTTTTTTTTTTTTTTGTATCTAGATAATAAATAAAAGCCGAATGATGAAAACTGTTGCTCCATTTCAAATTTCCTGCAACGAGAGTGATTATAGGAAGGACATTTTGGTCTTCACAATTATTTATTTTCTTATTTATTTATTCATAAAAAAGGCATGCACTGGGATTTGAACCTTGGTCTCTTTAAAGACAAGCAAGGACCATAACCAATCACACCAAGTATATTTGTTGTATCTATTTAAATTCAAACATACACGAACCTAAATTATGAAAATCATATGACTTTTTTCACGATTAGTTGGCCACTGAATCTCCCGTAAGTACTTATTTGGTGTTTTAATACTTTGATTATTTTAGTTGTAGTTTAATACTTAATTTAAATTTCTATCTATTTTATAAATATATGATAACCCTAAAATTGCAGCCCAAATATCACTTGTTCGAATATTGCATATCGAATTGCAATATTAAACATGTAGAAGCAATATCGACTTCTTAAATTAGTATTATTTTTCAGAATTACTATGAAGAAATTATATCTTTGTGCAAACTATATGAGACTGGTTCTTTTAATGTTTTAGTCGGGATAACCGCTAAATTTTAAAATTCTTCATAATCTGGCATGATTGGATCCAATGATCATTATACAAGATTGTGTTTAATAGGGTGGCTTATTTCACCACTTTTTGGCGTGTTAATGAATTTGTAGGACAATGACAGGTCTACATCTACACTCATCACAATCTACACATCATATAAATGTGAAATGTGAAATGAGAAAAGAGGGATTCCATTTCAAATTTGATGCGTACAGAGCAATTTTTTAGGGGTAAATTTAGAAGATGCCAGTGCGGTCGGTCTGTTGAGCACGAAAGTAAAAATATGTTTTCATTTAAACGAGCCCAAACTGTTATTTGGCCCACTAATCGTGCACCCATCGGCCATCGTAGCCTCTCCAAATCTTCCTATTCTACTCGCCGGGTCATCTCCTCCACTACAAAATATCTCCTCATGTACTCAAAGTTCTCACTGAAACCTAATATCTACAACTTAGGCGCAGAGGGAGCAACCGATGGATTGTAGCGACCCCCACTATTTTGATAGCTAATCAGGAAGAGCGCGTTTGTTTAGTTGTATGGTGATTCACTTAATTAACAATTTTTATTCCGTTGACAGCCTCCTCTCCGCAATTGTATTGTGTTCACGAAGATCTGAAGGCGCAAGTGCAACAGGTCCAGGGGTAAACAATATGTATAAAGCGTTGGCCAAATTGAATTGAGTCATTCTACTTGAAATATGAAGATTTTTGCTTAATTGCTTTGGTTCGTGATGCAACTATGTTATGTTTGAAGGTAGACCAACGCAAACAACAGCACAGCTCCAGGGCTATTCTGCACATTAGGTAGTTGGGGCATTAATTGATAATTATTTGGGATTATTCCTACAAGTATATAATTTGGAACGTGCCTTTATATTGCATTGATTAATAGTTGTTTGAGATTTTTCAAATGAGTGATTTGACATGTTAAACTCTCTTATTTTTGAAAATGGAGTCTTCGAAGTGGAATATGAAGATTTTGGATTAAGCTTGGTTTCGTAACGCCCTTATGGGTGTTTATTCTCTAAAATGCAGCTGTCTTTCAAAGTGCCCGTTGCAAATGGCAAGTCAGGATACAACGATGGTACCGGTACACGTTTATATCATTAGTAGGTAGCAGATTGTGTCCATTCTACTATATCATTTAGCTAAATACTTAGTTGTTCTTTTCAACTAAAAATTATGCTTAAATGCTGTGATTGGCCTCAGAAATGTATGTCTTTGCATTAACAATTAATGATTGTGAGTTTTGGTTTAATGGTGAAAAGTTCATTTATTTAGAAGTCTAAATTGGGCAAACCTATTGGACAATAGGAATGCCATACATTAGTGTCGTTGGAGGTTTGTTTGATGTCTCGCCTTTTTTCTTATCTCTTTTTCTATTTTTGGTTTTTGTGTGCTACCTTCAGTTGCTAGGTCTTCATTTGTGAGCCATCTATACTTTTCTTATTCAGTGCCTAAAAATCATATATACTCGATTGCATAGTAGTTACTAATAGATACATTTATACCAATAGAGAGATTTTAAGTTTTATCAGTTGTTAGTTTTAATATTTACTTACATTGGTTGTTTATTTAGTTTTCTTTGTAATATTTCTCATTATACAACTAACTACTATGGCTACGTAGTTGTATAAGTGGGGGTTGGACATGATAGTTCTTAGAAGCATCAATACTTGAAAGTTATTATAATGACCAAATTCTAAAGTTATGGCTTGCCTTCAACTTGCTTGGAGCATTTCAATTATGCATCAATTGTTCTCTCTGTGTAGTTAACTCTCAGACAAATCAAAAATCTTGCTGATATGTGCTTGATTGTAGTTAAATTTAGGGTTCTACTGCATTGTTGCTTTACTCTTTTTTCGTGGTTGAGTCTGCTTCAAAAAATTTAGTTTGATTTTAGAAAATTTTGCTTCTGCAGTCCTGTCTTGCCACCAACGCGTTCAATAGATGGAGACGGCAGAGGCGAAGGCTATTTTTGTGTTGTTGTTGCTGGTTTAGGGATCGGTTTGTGAAGAAGAGGGAGAAGAGAGGGGGAAAGGGAAATGCAGGAGAGGGGGATAACTCTTTTCTCCGATAAAAATGGAGTGAAGAAAGGAATTATGATTAGTAAGAATATGGTTATCTTACATAACGGTCTCTATTCTGTTTGAATTGAGCTTGGGAGGCAGTGATAAGGACGAGCTGCAACCAATTCATAGTGAGAAGAGAGCTATGAACTGTGATCATGTCTTATTTCAAGTTAGAAGGTAGTTTCAGTATAAGGATTATTTAATTTGACAAGTTGTTTCGTCCATGATTCTTGGTAGTTTCAGTGCCATTCTAGCCAATGTTTAGTCTGTAATTTTTGAGAATTGATGTGCGAGTAATGACTTTCACTTAGCTTCAACTATTATGTGTGTATTTATTGGCATGTGATAGAATTCTCTTTTCCTTTTCTTTGAATTCATTTTCATACTCTAATTGTATTATTTGTACATAGGCAAATCATGCTCGAGATGGCAACTCGCTGATATGGCTGGTGCAAGGAATGAAGCCATCATTAGAATTCAGACCGACAACGGGGAGGGATGCCCAGGACTAATTCAATGATGATTGATGATGGTATAATAAAAACTGCAGTCTGCATCAGCACCAATTTCTAGGCCTAAGTAAAGGTATTCAACCCAGAACTCTGCTTAGCGCTAAAAATTGCCCTCACCCAACCTTGATCCTGTTTGACCCACTTCTGAAGAGTCAAGATATATGACTAATCCTCCCCGTTCGTATTTTCTTATTGACTCTTTCTGACCCTGTAGGTTGGGGCGGGTCGGGAAGAATTGGATTAGTGGGTCGGTCCTAATCAAGTGGAATCCCAATCCCTTCACTCTCACTTGCTTTCTCTCCCATTCCACAAGTGGGTAACATACAGTAATCCGGCCAACGGGCCGGGTAATAAGCTAGTATCTATAAATGGATGCAGGATTATCTTCAGTCCGACGACCATGTTATAGACAAGCAAGGTATATGCTGTTTACAAGAAGGAACGAGTATCAAAGCAAGTACTATTTTCGATCGATTCAATTATAATTGATCATATATATCTCCAATTTGTTTTTTTTTTTTTTTTTGTGTGACGAATAACCCTTACGTACCTACAGGTTACAAGCACTACTTAGGCGAGGCCGCAAACAGCCTAAATTCCGGGGCCGGGGGAGTGGTGCTAATAGAGGCAAGATCAAAAGGGCGACGCTAGAGGCAAACTTCAAACCCCGGTTCGCAACGAGGAGAACAACAAACCAACACTCACATCACTAGAGCTAGCCCTCGTTCGCATCTTCAACGTGTTTCGACATAACCTAGCTAGTACGTACCCTTTATTTTCGTACTAGCTTGAAATAAAGCAATCGGGCTGTCATTCATGATAAACAGCTATATATATTACCTTCTTTATCTCCATGAAAAAACAACCCTTTTTGCTGATGATCACATTGTCTTCAGAAAAGCAGCAGATTGGCAGGAGATAACAGCTACGTATGTACCAGCTGGCCCGATAGCTTTCTGGATGAAACAACCAATCTAATTACCATTTTCACGGCAAGTTTGTTGCCCAGACCAAATATTAACTTGTACCTTCACACAATCTGTGTAAACTTAATTATGAGACATATAGAGGTGTACCATTTTTTTACCTGCAAGTTTGTTACAAAACCAGCAGTATGCTGCGACCCAAGTGTTGTTTTCCCGAAGTTAACTTGTACCTTCACGCAACCTGTTGCAGAAAGTAGAGTAAGTTGTCAAATAGTATATATCATCCATTTCGTCACTAACTGGGGCTTCTTCACACAATGGCAACTAACATGTTAAATAGGTGTTGCAGCGATCGATACAACAATTTGCGTACTATGCCTGATCACTCCCAAGCTCACTTGACTGTCACCAAAAGATGATGATATAGATGATAACATAAAAAAGCTTTATTGGGAGTGAATCGTATGTGTCCAATGTCCATCCATTGATCGTTTCGCAGTTTCCATTCAGCAAGATAGCGCGCTATATAGTAACGCTGTCACAAGCAACTTGTGAGGGTTTCACATTGACATTGAAAACTATTTGCAGCAACATTACTTTAACGTACATATCCACAACTTGAAAATATGCTTAAAGCTAGCACACGAGGACAAGGGGGTTTCACCTCCCTCGAATGAATGAGAGCAAACCCTATCCATTATATAAGTGAGGAAGCAACATAATCCTCTTGACAAAAGATGCTACACAAAATGCATTAACAAAAACACAACCCACCGTGCTAGCTAGTAGGGCTGGAAATCCGGTCACGGTTTTCCGGTTAAACCGAAAACCGGGCAGTTTAAACCGTCCCGGTTTTAACCGGAAATCGGATTCCCAACTATCCAATCCAATTACCGGTCGCTTATCTGCTGAGAAAAACTGGGCCGGTCCGGTCCGGTTTAAAACCGGAAAACTGGTAAAACCGGATGCCATACAAAACCCAGCCCAGTCTTAGTTTTCAATAGGCCCATATTAGATGAAGCCCATTTTTCAATTTCCAATTCCCAGCCCAGCAGCCACCAATCCATTAGCTATACTGCTCTAGGGTGAGAAACCATATTATCCACCACTTTCCAATTCCCATTCGGCAGTTTCCCCACCATCTCCCTCGTTCTCGCCGCTGCTACCTCCTGCACGAGAAGCGATCCCTCGGCTGCTGTTAAAGAAAATATGGCGGACGATGGGGCGGCTCTTGACGAGTGACGACCACGACCTTGGAGACGACACCATCATTTCCATTTCCAGTTCTCGTCCCGCGACTGTCGCCGGACTTCCGTCGATCTCCGTTCGAGTTCGAGAGCAGCCGATCTCCCGAGCTCGAGGTCTACCAGAGGAAAACTCCGCCCCTTCTCCTTCTCCTTCTCCTTCTCCTTCTCCCGTCGAGCATCGAGACGAGTCTGCCCAGACTCCGACGACGAACTCAGTCTCACCATTTCAGTCTCCGGTCAAGACGGTTTTCCGGTCAAAACCGGACCAAACCGTATCTCATCCAATTCGGTTTGGTTAAAACCGTGTACCAATCCAATCCCGTCTCCAGTCACGAGTATGCCCAATCCGGTTGTAAAAAACCGGGTCAATCCGGTCCGGTTTAAACCGAACCGGACTGTTTCCCAGCCCTACTAGCTAGTTATCAATCTAAGATCAAACTATCTAAACTCTTGTCTAGTGGTCCTTCGCAATTTAGACGATATGTTCAATCCTATAAACGTATAACCCTAGCTAATACATAGTAGCTAGGATCCCTATATATTGACATAATGAAAAGTGCAACATTTTGCTTAACTGAAATAGTCCAAGTCACACTATATGCAAACGAGGATCGATAAAAAGAAAGAGTGAATAATCATACCCCCATTGAACTCTCTTATGCAATCAATTGTTGTTGCGGGTAAAGACACGACAATATATATCATGGAACTGGCTAGCTCTCCGAGAGAAACTTATAGCAAAATCGTCCTATCGAAAAAGAAGATGAGTTTGCTAAGGCGGGAAGGGGATGCTAATGGATTTTTTTATTTGATGAAGGACCTAGCCTTGATGGGTACAAAAATTGCTCTCCATGAAAGATCAGTTAATGTCACTTGACTTCGACTCTCATTGTTTAGACGATCGATCAAACAAATGACTTTCATGAGTGACCATGTGGTTAGCTTTATCTCTTCTCCAGAACTAGCACCTATCTATTTAGCATATAGCTAGGGAGGAACGTACCATGAAGAGGGGAATCAAGGGTTTAAGGGAAATGATGAGTGACTTCTTTTACCTTATCAAAGGCTAAAGAATCAACCCCTCAATAAATTCATTAACCCTAGTTACAAACATCCTCACAAAAACACAAATTGATAATCACCTCTACATGTTCAATTTTAAAAAGCCACATCTCCAAAACCCTTCCAAAGTCTTGAGCAATGATTATGACTTCCTTTTCCTTTTAAGGCAATGACATCAATGCCTTATAGTAGTTCAGGGATTTCTAAGTGTAAACCAAAAGGAAATGAAACATAAAACTCATACAAAGTCTTTCCAACAACTGGAGCTAACGAGACCAAATGGTTTGTTCTTTAATGATAATAAAACTTCAACCTAGCTGGAGTTCAATTAAAAAATTGCAATTAGGTATGTCGTGGTGGAGGGAGGTGAGGGGGAGAGGGGTCCTAGGATCCCAATTGGTAAAAAATTGGGCAACAAAACCCTTTAGATATGTAGGGTTTAGTACGATCCTTTAAATTTCGGACCTCATATTCTCGACGATATTAGCTTACCAAGGACCCTGATCAATTCAAAATTCAGTAGATACACAGGGTTTAGTGTTAGTAAATTTTTAAGGACCCTGGCTACGCCACTGATGTCATCATAGAAACACAACAAGAGCCAAAGTAGGAAAGAATTCAACCATCCCCAGTTTAGAATTAAAAATTTTAGGTAAAGCTTTTTTTTTTTTTTTTTTCTTCCCACGAGATATAAGCCAAACACATTAACATCCAATCTTCAGAAAAGGAAACTACTACTGCCTTAAAGGTAGTGTTTGGGAACCTGAGAAAAGCTTCAGAGCAACAAATCAGAACGGAACCCTGACAAATAGTAAACTACAAAAGAAAGCTCAGGCAGCAAATGAGACTATATATATACGAGAGAGTGAGCAGATCTAGTGCGAAAAACCCTAATAATAATAATCGAAATGCTGGTACTAGATAGATAGTCTACACATCTTGATGAAAAAATGTACTCTTACGGATAGTGTGTGTCTCCCCTGCCGTCACGGTCGCATCCCGAATGCCACCTGTGTCGCTATATAGAGCATGTAATACCGCCGGCCGGGAAGAGGTAGGCGAAGAATAATGTGAGACTGTCTCTCCGGCGGATTCGAGTAGCTGCGACAGGGAGAAAAGAAGCGGCGGCGGCCGGCAGTTGAATGACGAGAATGGGAAGGAGATGAAAGTTGAGATGTTGTGGTGGGGCTTCATTGAAGCGGACTGAGGGACGGGTTTCAACTTTCTAAATCCAGTTTAGTAGATAAGGTAAAAGTAAAACCTGCGAGATTTGATTTGAGAGGTGCATGCGTTAGGGTTTATTAGATAAAGGGGTCGTTTGCTTGTTGGATTTGAAAAATGAGGGTTTTGGCTCAAAAAAACCTTTGGATTTATGAGAGATTTGTACCATCATGGATTTGAAGAGTCTATTGTTTGCATGATAGATTTGATGATATAATTATGATGGATTTGCTATAAATATAACTAGCCATCAAGGATTTACAAATCCCACCTCAATATGTGGGATTTACAAGTCCGTGGGGTCCACGGATTTGGATCCAAAAAAGGGGAACAAATCCGTGGACCCCACGGATTTAACACCTAACAACAAACAATGGACTTGGCTAAAATCCATCATACTTGGGATTTGAGTCCTAAATCCATGACCCAAATCCATCAAGCAAACGACCCCAAAGTTATATATTTTTTTTAATTGATCATCCTTTAATTGACTATTGTCATGCCAGTGGCATGTCGGCCTGTTGAACCAGGTTCAACCGGTACCGGTCATGAAACCTGCTGGAATGTCACCGGTATGATGCCTTGGTCCATACCGGTTAATTTCGGTCAAAACCGGAAATATCGGGTGGTCCAACTGGAATTTTGAATCCGGAAATTCAAAGAAACGTCATCGTTTTGGATGGAGTTTTGGGGACGTTTCGCGAGTCAGACTCAACTCTTCCTTCCATTCAGTCGTCGATCCCTAACTCAACTCTGCTTTCTCCTTCCTCGTGAACATTCAATCCTAGAGAAATCGGCGGTCAGACAGGTCACGGCGAACTCTGCAGTAGGAAGGCGCGGTGAGATCGGAAGGCGGGGCGGATTTGGCAGCTCGGTCTTTCTACATCCTCGCGAACCCTAATCTTAGAGTTGTCGGTGGCGATGCAAGCCGCGAGATCCAGAAGGTAAAGGCGAGAAGAGAGAGTAGGGAAAAAGGGAGAGCGGGTTGGATTTGAGGTCGATGATTCGGAGGTGAGTCAGGCGAAAATTGAGATGGGATTATGGAGTTTCCATTCTTAATGCGAGAGGGATTAGGGAGTGCACATGCGTAATTATGGAGTTTCGAACAATGGATTTTATACTCTAGGTTGAAATGGGATAGCTCGGAACAATGGAGGCCTTATGATTATGGAGTTTCCATTGTTGCTGTTTGCGAATTTCCTTTTTTTGGATTACGAGAGGAAACGAACAAATAAATATTAATCTACATATATTATTGTTTGGGATATTTTGGTAAAACCGGCGTAATCGGTATATGAATTGGTTGTACCACGGTTGAACCATTTCACTTATAAAACCGGCACACCGACATAAACCGGTTTGACAACCTAGATTATTATTATTATTATTATTATTATACTATTAAAAGAGTCACGTCAACAAGGATGATTTTATTGCTTAACTTTTTATTAAATAATCAAATGTTTTAATAGTTTCCTCTTATCACAATCTAACCCAAATAGGGATGGCAAAAAATATCCGTAACAGTGGATATCCGCCCGAATCTGGCCTAATCGGGTAGGGTAAAACCCGAACCCGAAGGACATTTAGTGGGTACGGGTAAAATCCGAACCCGAATATCGCGGGTAATGGATGGGCATGGGTTTCTCACTATCCAACACGAACTCGCCCGATTATACACATGCATATGTATTTTGTCTAGAAATAATCAATATTTTTCTCTAACATATTTTATATTTAGCATATAAATATAATATTTTCATGAAATTGTGTAGTTTTAATTAATTTTCTTCATTCTAGTGAATTATTGGCGTACTTCTCCTCTTACGTAATTTGAGAATACGTATGAATGTTAACATATTGGTTGGAGTTATGAAGAGAAATTATTATCCATAGATAACCGTGGATACCCGAAATTCGAACGGGCATGGGCATGGTTTTGATTTTCTACCCGTTTCACATGTGGGTATGGATATAGTTAAAACCCGAACTACTATGGGTAGGGTAACGGATATGCACTATCCGCGCCCGACCCGACCCATTGCCATCCCTAAACCCAAATCCATGTATATATAACCTAATTCGACTCGATCAAAATGAGCTTAACCCAATCTTGACGTCTTACTCGCTTTTATAATTAACGAATTGAGTCGGATGTGGATTTTGTTTAAAACTCGCATCGCATTATCAAGCCAGTAAAAGCGACATTTGATCATTTCCTCTTTATCACAATCGAACCCAAATCCATGTGTATTTCTACCCGCTCAAAATGATATGAACCCGGTGTTGATGAATTATGAGTCGGGAACAAATTTTATCTGCTTCCGTAATTAACGAATTGGGTCGGATGTGGATTTTGTTAAAAACTTGCCTCGCTTTATCAAGCCAGTCAAAGCGACATTTGATTATTTCCTCTTATCACAATCGAACCCAAATCCATGTGTATTTCTACCAGGTCAAAACGATTTGAACCCGGTGTTGACGAATTATGGTCGAACAAATTTTGCCCACTTTTGTAATTAACAAATTGGGTCGGGTGTGAATTTTGTTAAAAACTCGCCCCGGTTTATCAAGCCAGTCAAAATGAGTTGAATCCAGTGTTGACGGATTTAGGGGTTCTTTTTGTAATTAACCAAATCTTGGAGGAGTTTTTGTGCCAGTAATGTTCTAATTAATTAACTTATGACAACTGAACCCAAATTGAACACAAACCAATGGGTATTCGTCCTACTTCGATCCGATTTAAGCGAGTTGAACCGGGTGTTTACAAATTTTTGCTAAACAACAAGTTTTGCAGACTTTTCGAATTGAGGGGTTGGGTCGATGTGAATTTGTTCAATACTTGCCCCGCTTGCCTTTGCTTCTGTGTTGGCGAATTTTGGGGTGAAGACGAGTTTTACACACTTAAACATATCACGAGGGTGACCATTTTGGAGCTGGGGAAACTTTGGGGATCTTTTTGCAATTTTTGTTGCTTTTCAATCTTCCCTCCTCTTCCCAGCCACACAAACTTCTCTCTCTTCTATTTCATTCTTCTATTTTGATGATAAATTTGAAATTGGTTCGTTTGTGCTTTTTCCAAGGAAGAGTTTCGTTGTAATGTATTGTCCCTTTAAAAGATGCATCGTGAAATGGGTTTGTGCTTGAAGTTGAGGTTGAGAGGAGTGCTGCTGGAGGGAAGTCGTGCGGTGGATTTGTTTGGATGCTTGCCATGAAATGAGTTTGTGCTTTGTAGTTAAGGCTGAGAGGAGTGCTGCTGCAGGGGAGTCGTGCGGTGGTTTTGTTTAGGTTCATGCCATGAATCCAAATGTGATCCTAACATTACAAGTCCGTTTTAGTTGCATGAAAGGTGTTGATTGATTATGATGGAGTTCAAAGTGTATTCCTCAAGCACATGCTTGAGTTCAAGGTGAGAACATGGTATTGTTTATGTTACGACTTTTCCTCTGATGACCATCTTAGTTTTGTTAATTAGTTGAGTACTATAAAATGTTTCATTTGGAAGTTAATTTGTTTGGTCTGAGTTTGTTGGTATTTTCTTTGTATGTTTGTGATGATCCTACACGGTTAGATGGACATATTACTTCATTTTAAACTAATGGGCATATATCTCATTCACTTTCATTGCAGATTCTTTCCCAACTTCTCTCTCATATTTTATATTAGGGTTAATTGCAAGGATGGTCACTGGGTTTACTAAAACCGTTCATGTTTGGTCACTGCAAATATTTAATTCCATTCATGGTCACTAAAATTAGTTCAATAGTTCAAGTTTGGTCACTCTCTGTTAGTCTCCGTTAGTTTTTGCTGATGTGGCAGTCAACTATTATAGTTGACCGTTAAATGAGTGATGTGGCCAATAAAAAAAAAATAATAAAATAATTTAAATATTTACAATTTCCAACTCATTTTACAACTATTAAAAAATAAAAATAAAACTTACCTCCGCCATCTTTCTTCCCAGAGACTCGACGACGAGGATGATTCTTGGGTGGGTTTCAGCTTCTTGAGCTTTGATCGTAAGTGCTCGTGGATGGGTCCAATTGGGTATATCTTGTGGCAGTGAGAATTGATTTGGGTGAGAATTGGACCTTCTAAGTCAGGGAATGTGTTCAGGATCAGCGCATAAGCTTTGGAGGACAGTCTAGCAGCGGAAACCATACCTTGGAGGTAGGGTTGAGAGAGATCTCTTCCGCGGCACAAGCTCGGGAGATCTCTGCATCTGAGAAATCCCTCTGCTCCGGGAACTTTGGTTATCAGTCTGTCCATTTCTTCTTCCCCTGCTTCTCAGAGGAAACCATAGTCTCTGGGAAGAAGACTATTAAAAAATAAAAATAAAAGTTTTATTTAAATTTTATTATTTTATTATTTTTTTAATGGCCACGTCACTTATTTAACGGTCAACTATAATAGTTGACTGTCACGTCAGCAAAAACTAACGGAGACTAACGGAGAGTGATCAAACTTGAACTATTGAACTAATCTTAGTGACCATGAATGGAATTAAATATTTGCGGTGACCAAACATGAACGATTTTAGTAAACCCAGTGACCATCCTTGCAATTAACCCAAATAAAAATAGAAGGCAGGTGTTGGTTGGGTTGGTGGCGTGGAGGAGAGGCAGAGAATCCGCGGGAGTGGGCCATGTGGGCCGGGAAAGGCCCAAATGGGCTGTTGGGGCGGGCCATCCCGCGTTTTCCTTCCATCTTCTTCTTTATTTAATTGTTTGGTGGACACGTTGCCTACTATCTACCAAACCATCGCCGCACTGATCAGTCTAGAGGAGGGCGCCCGGAGATTTGCGCTAGTTTTGCGGAAGGAATATAAAGGTTTGTTTTGTTGTTCAACAAATCAACACACGCGTTTGACAAAATGATTTTCTTTTTTTGCCGGATTCCATTTGATTTGTTTTTGGTGCGAGATTCCATTTGATTTTCGACAATGCTATTGGTTGATGTTTATTTATTAGGCATAAAAATATATGCAAAAATAGAAAGTTAGACAGGAAGCTTCTTTTT